TTAAAACAATGTTTAAATGGTGTCAAAAATTGGACATACAATGTTAAACTAATATTAGATAATTATGGTTTTGGAGATGTATTTTTGAAACCAAATGAAATTAATATAAATGCATTTTTGGTAAATTTTAAACAAAGAGTTTTGGATTGCTTTAAACAAAAATGGCAAGCAGATTTAAAGTGTTTTAAACACTCTTTATATTCATCTAAAAACACATTTAAATTTTGAAAATTATTTAAATACTATCAAATCTAAATATCTAAGGAGTAGTATTACGCGTTTAAGAATTTCTTCGCATAATCTTAGAATTCAAACAGGTAGATATGGTAGGAATAGAATAGATAGACAGGAAAGACTATGCCAAGTGTGTCAATGCTCTGAGATTGAAGACGAGTATCATTTTATTCTTATATGCAGTGTTTACCATGAATTAAGAATTCGATTAATTAAACGTTATTTTTATCATAGACCCAGTATGTACAAATTCATAGAAATGCTTAAGTCAAACAATAAATCTGTTCTTAACAATCTTAGCAAATTTATTTATTTAGCCAATAAGAAAAGAAACGATTTATTGAATTCATATCCTAGACTTTAAGACTATAATTATATTCATTATATTCACTGTTAGACACTTTATAAGTGAACAATTGCAGTTATTCAATATCTAATTCATGTTAATAAGAGCTTATTCTCCATATTGTATAAACTGAAACATTAATTATTCTCTTTCATTTGAATACCAACCGTGACAAAATGTTTTATATGTATTGATGTATAACGAGATACATGTATATGTATAAGTTAAATAAAATTTTCTTCTTCTTCTTCTATGTTGCCTGTATTTGAGTAATTCATTGATTGTAAAATTTGGATTGTGTAACTGTCAGTTTTGGTTTTGTAATGTTTACAAAAATAATTTGATTATTTTTCCTATTGCAGAATCTTCTTTATTCCATTTCCGGACAACGAAAATGATGTTATATGGACATGTATGTTTGGAATTGGCTCTCATAAAACCAGTATCTAGTGCTGTGATTATGGATTAAGGAGTCATTCATAAAGGGGCGCATTTAACGAGACGAGAACTGATTTAAAATAACTTATTCATAGTTGATTTTACAAGGATATTAAACTAATACTGAAAGCCGACCCAAAACACGTACACCTGAGGACGAAGCAAGGGACCCAATTATTGTAGCAATCCAGAGGAGTGCCAAGTGTGAAAGCGTCATACTACATTGACTCATTAAACAAATTAGGCATTTTACAGAAATGTATATCAAAGGTCTTTGTACATCATTTTGGTTTAATTTTCAAGTTCATGTGCATGTATGTTTTGAATTTAAATGACGGATTCAGAAACGATATGAAATCTTATTAAACTTTTAACTAAACGTTTAAAAATAAGTATTGTTATTCTTTCGACATCACGACTAGTGAAGTTTTGTAAGGAGCCAACCATTACAAAAGTACTAGGCGGCTCTGTATTTCCATTTTTTCTTTAGAATAATTCTTAGCAGATCATCCATTAATAGCGTACCTCAGCATGAGGTATTGTGAGTTGCATTTTCCATACAACAATATTCACCATTTATTATTATTATTTAAACATAAGCTGATAGTTGATGTTGACCTACATATATCATTGATCTTTACCAAAAGTATTATTGTAACAGAGCTGAAGTATTTACTTTATTTTGAGTGTGTATGTGGGTATGCTATCGACAAGTTCATGCGAGATTGTGATATTTTTTTTGGTGATAAATGAGTGTCTTTTATCATGTTTTGCAGTTTACTGTAACTTTAATAAAGTTTTATGTATGAGAAGGCAGTTATATTTCCTTCTTTAAGCTCTTGCAAAACCGATTTTTAAAGTTCTAATGTCTAAGTTCTAATGTCTAAGTTCTAATATCTAAGTTCTAAGAACTAAGTACTAATAACTAAGTTCTAACGTCTAAGTTCTAATGTCTAAATTCTAAGATAATTGAACCACGTTTAGGCAACTTTGTAGGTCTTTCACTGCCACGGGCCCCTTTGGACCACCTATTTAAAGCCTTTCATTTCAAACAATCAAGACGAGGTCTCCGCTTGGTTATACGTCGATTTTGTCTGCATCGCATTGTTAAACATGTTGGCCAGCACATTTAAACATGCGTCTAAAAGACAGGCGCACGTACAGAAGTATCTCGTGAAGTTCTTCTGATGCTGAAACTTCTTTGATTCAAAGCCCCCCCCCCCCCCACACACACACAAACACGCACACACGCATACACACACTAACAAAAAATAAACGTATTGCATAGTAAGAAATACTTTTGCAATCTGTGATTTGACATATCACTGAAATTTAAGGGAACATGCAACTATAGCCATACTAATGGCATGTTGTTTTTATAAAATCGCTATGGACTCTTTCATCATTTTTTGCCCACTTTACATCTAGTATTATAGCTTAATTGTTATGCAACATTTGCTTGATAAGCTATCATTTGGTACGTTGCCAATGTGACGAACATAAAATTATATTATGCCAATTCCGTAATGCGATTCCTTTTGAATATACTGATGGCTCCAATTTGTAGCCAAGAGCTGGTCACACCATCAAACATTTGTACACCAGACGTTCCTCATTAACAGTAACTTGAAACAGTTCAATAGGTTTTTCAATGTTCCTGGTATTATTAACAAAAATGATATATATTGGGACACACAGGTTGAAGGCTCTGAAATAACATAAATCTTATTTTTTAATTATAATATAATTAATAATATAATTTCTATAATAATTAATCAAGAAATAGTATTATTTATAATTATGAATGCCAACACGAAACCCAATTACATGCTCATTGTAAGTCATTGTTAATGCTCCACCATCATCTGTTAAATTCAAGGTACAATTGATGTTAACGATTCGTTTTATAGATGTCAAAAGCTTTCTGTTACTCGACGACAACACTTTAGTTTAATCATATTTTATTGCTATATACATGTATATACAATACAGATACAAATTTCATATGTATTTTAAAAACAGCAAAAGCAAACGGGTTGGGCCCAAGTTCTTACAACATTAGCGGTCGGCCCTCCCCCGGACGACAACACTCAAACATGTTTCTCGGTTTGGTTACAATGAAGCCGTTTAAGAGATCCATAAAGTTCTTGCATATATGTATGTCTCATGATTAACACGATGACCAAAATATGCACACCATAGATTCCAGGTACAAACAATATTTTATCAGGTCTTCCAAATTATTTTGAGTTTAGCTTATCATTTAGATTTCTTCTAGGGTCAAATTAATTAAACAATGTCTTATGCATTCAATGTGTACACGATTTGTTATATCCAAACTTTGAAATCAGTAAGATCCTTGAAAAAAGAAATCCACCAGTGCAACCGTGTCTACGAAGTTATCCCTACCAGGATTCTAAACGCTGATTTGCTACAATAAAACTTTTCTACCTTGATACGCTTTCTGTGCCGTTTTATTTGAAAAATGGTTGAAGCAATGCTACCGTTGAATTTTCATTTCCTCCATCACAACGAAATCGAAGGAGCCTTGGGGCAATTTCTATTTTGTTTGTGTCTGGGTAGTATGACGCTATCACTGCAAGCAATCTGTCGCTGTTTGATACTAAGAGCTATAACATAAGTCGACTGTACAGATCGATCCTTGGATGCAGAATCAAGATGGCTTTAACTTGTAACCATTTATATGTAAACAAAGTTTATCAGTTCTAATTTTGTTAAATGCGCACCTCTGAGAATGACAGTTAAATCTATGATTACAACACTTGTTCCTGGTGTAATAAAAAAGACCCAAATTCCAAACGTCCATGCCCATTTAGAGACCATTTTCGTCGTCCAGAAAAGGGACGAAGAAGATTCTGCAATAGGAAATATTATCAAATTATTTAAATACACATTAGAAAACATTTTTAAAATTATTATAACACTAACAGATACACAATTTTACATGACAATTGGGGAATTACACAAATACAGACAACATATATCAGTTTCGACACTTGTGCCCTTGTCGTAGATTTTTGTTGTAGCCAGGTTCGGCAAAAATAGCTGAACTGGCTAAAATAGCCGCTTATGTAGTTTGTCCCAGCCTGTTGAAGACAGACTGTCGTCTTTGCCTGCCATTGAAATTGGTTGTTTTTTTTACCCAGATATAATCATTAATCTTTTAACGTACTAGCTATATCTCTAACAATACTTTAAATTACAAAAATAAAATTCAAGAAATAAATAATAAAAAGTTTACCTCACACATCTTCTTGTCTATTGTGCAGTTAATATGGCGTTTTACCGCCTTTACGGAACCTCTAAGTTCTAAGAGCTAAGACTAAGTTCTAAGATCTAAGTTCTAAGATCTAACACCTAAGTTCTAACTTCTAACTCAAAATGGCCTCAATGGGCTTCCGTAGAATTGTTAATTCAGGAAATGAAAACGAAGCCAGCCAGAGTATGATATGGATTTGACATAGATATTTTGAATATTTCGACTCTGAAAATGAATCAGGTACATTATATATACGATATGGAATTGGAAACGAATCTAATATGATAAGTTTGTTGTCCCTGCGTGAACAGGTAAACCGTTGGTTATGCACATCAATACCTCCCTGGGACTAGCATTGTGGGTCACTTACCCGCACTGCGGGTTTTACGCAAAAAAACACCATATACGGCATTCGTTAACCTATTATTGTAAGTTTAAAACATATATGGCACTGTTCTCCCATTATATATACCCTGCTTTATCCCATCCCCAGGATGGGGCAGTGGCAAGATGCAAAGCTACAAAAATAAGATTAAAACATTGTCTTTAGATAAATTCTAATGCAAACATAAACCATGCGATTATGAACATGACTTTAAGGAAAGCAATGCTAAAGTCATAATGACATAAAATCTCTTGTATACCATTCATGTATTTAATAACTCGAGCAGTAGTTGTGCCCCGCCCACCTTTTCCCGCGAGCTGACGTCAGTGCGATACAGTTCACAGCTCGCGTGCAGTAGGGAAAGTTGTGTATTTGTGAAGGGTGATACAAGCAGAAGGATACTTTTCGTAAAATAGAATTTAATAATTGAATATGGAGGATCAACAGGCGGAAACTATGGTGGTTCACCTTTCAAGACCAGACTCTGGTATGTCATGGGGTTTTAGACTGCAGGGCGGAGTGGATTTTAATACACAGCTATCTATACAAGTGGTAAGCGGCATTCTTTTGAAGTTCTAAAGGTAAACAAATCATAGGTATAAAGATTGTGTATTGGGGATACGCTACTGTATGTTAAATAGTAATTATACAGGTTTAAAGTGTATTGATTAACTAGGCAATGTTAAATTGTTAAAAACATATATTTTAACAAAGTTATACAAAGCTAATAATAGAAAGAAAACATTAGTTGTATGGCTTTGATTGACAGCTGATGTAACACGAGATCTTGGGAAGTAGGTAATTCCTGCTGCAGTAGACACTGCCAGCCTCACTTTCATCATTGCCTCTCTCTATATATGGAATACGACCTGATTATAAATCCTAGCAACAAATGAAAACTGACTCCAGATTTTTCTGGTTTTTCCTGCAGTAAATATATACCGTGTGTTAACACTGTATGCAACGTGCATTTACATTAAAAGACGTAATCGTTTTGCTTGCCTGATCATGCAGTTATATAACAGTACACATAATGGGAATGATATACTATATACATATATCTTATAAGTCATAACTGATACTTTTTTATACTTACCTTTTTACAGGTGAACCAAAATAAATGATATTAAATGCTTTTAAAGTTGCTTGCTTTAGTGAACCAAAGTGGACATTTTATATATGAATGTTATATATACAGTGTCATTACAAAAGAAAGTCCATCCAGAGTTCAAATATGTGTCAACTTGTACAAGGTTATCTCTCAGGATTGATATCAAAATTCTTTCATTATTGAACTTCTCTGGTTTCCAACATGTTTTAAGCCTATTATTATTATAGGAATTGATTTTTGGTCAAAATATTTAGAAATAAGATAAGATCATATTTAAAACTAATGCATTGTCTTTATAACAAAGGTATGGTAATCTATGAACAAAAACTGAAAAAAAACAATAACAGAAATATGTGACAGTTAATTTCATTCTACATTGTTGATATTTCAATCTTTTCTACATGTATGCAATTTACAAGTATAAATTGAAAGAATTCACACATGCAAAATAATTTTTGATAAAATTTGTATGTTTTGAATAAATCTTATTTTATTTCATTTAATACCTATTGCCAAACTTTATTTATTATATTTCTATAATGATGTTTTTGTAAATATTTTTTTCCAATACATGTAATTATGTTTTAAGCATGCAAAAATCATAAGATACAGTTATTCTCTAGATTCATTGAGGTGGAAAGCTTCAGCATTTTACTTTCTATGTAAATACAAACTGTTTAAGTTTATGATATAACAAAACTGCAGTAGATTTATTGTCTACTTTTTAAGGGAAAAGTATTATTTTAACCTGAGATTATATAGACTGGTTGGCAGGTGGTCAGTATAGTACAAAACTGTAGACTGTAAATGTTCTTAAGAGATTTATATTGACTATAGAATTTGTTGTCAGCTCTGGTCATCACTTTACAGGGATTTTTTTTACTTATTTCATTGGCTGATATTCGGTCATATTCCCAATTGAAAATAGTATATTATTTTCCCAATCCACAGAAAAAAAATTCCCAATTGAAAGTTACAAAATAAAAATATTAACTAACAAATTCTAAAATCTTTGAAAATTAGGACCTCTTCACTGTTATGGTGAAATGTTTGAAGATACCATCCTAGACAGTGATTCTTTGGATTCATTTAATCACTGTGCAAAATTTCAGTCATGTATTTTTCCAAATTTTTAACAAAACATCACAGAAATTCCCAATTCCATGGGTATGGGTCATGTTCCAAAAATCCTGGAAAAAAACCCTGCTTTAATTGTAAAATATACATTGTTTTAATATATATTGATTCTAAAACTTTTCTAATCAAGGACTTATAATTCATGTATATGAATGAACTTCTCAGTGTTTAAACATTATAAAAACTGTCTTTTTTTAATTCTTTATAAATGTTTCTTTAGAATTTCAAATTGTTCTTCTTTTAATATAACTTTTACCAAAGTTTATTGAAAATGATGGTATAAAATGTAGCATATATATAAATTATTTAATCATTTTATGCAACTCAGTGGTTTCTCATTATAAGGTGTTGAAGTATCGGAAAACGTAAACAACATTCCAACATTCATGGCATTCACCAATTGAATTTTAAGTAGCTGAATATGACAAACTGTGTTTCATTTTGCTAACTTTATCCAAATAGATGCACCCTTATACTGATAAATAGCTAAATTTTAACATACACTCACTCACAGTATATGTATGTTTGATAAAGCAGAAAGTTTTAGTTGTTGCAAAGGGGTGAATAAAAACCTTATAATGGTTTATTGGCAGTTCTCACATACAATTTTAATCTAGCCAACAAACCTTTTTTGAAACTGTCTTTTTTGCATTAAAAATGAATATGTGTGTGTCACAGAGGTTGTTGCTAATTTGAGACTAATTTGCACTAAGATTACAAATTAAAATATGGAAAAATAATGTACATTTTGTACAGATATATTTTCAAACGAAAATCAGTTATTTTGAAAATTTTGTATAAATATGGTACAGCAACAGTTGTGCTTTGTATTGTAACCCCCTTCTGTCACTTACTGCAGTTAGTCATCTTGGATGTAATTTTATACAGTACATAAAGTATTTATACAGTAAGATAGCATGGATCAGCTGTGGGGGTTTAAATGAACAAAAGGTTGCTGAACAATTAACCTTTGTTGTACACTTAAACTTTAATTTGACATAACATTCTAATTTATTAATGGTAAGATTTATATTGGGAAATCACAAGGTGCAAACTCTAGAAATTCAATTTGTATACACATTTTAAAAGGTACAAAAATAATATGAGTTTATAATACATTGTTGAGTACAATTCTTCATTCTACTGAATATGTGCAAAGCAGTCAAAACTATTTTGGAAGAGGTGCTAAAGCAGAGTCTGATACAGGTTTTGCAGCTGTGTAGCGTCCCAAAGAATCAGTGTTCACTACAGTTCTCAGCAAGGTTTTGCAGCTGTGTAGCGTCCCAAAGAATCAGTGTTCACTACAGTTCTCAGCAAGGTTTTGCAGCTGTGTAGCGTCCCAAAGAATCAGTGTTCACTACAGTTCTCAGCAAGGTTTTGCTGCTGTGTAGCGTCTCAAAGAATCAGTGTTCACTACAGTTCTCAGCAAGGTTTTGCAGCTGTGTAGCGTCCCAAAGAATCAGTGTTCACTACAGTTCTCAGCAAGGTTTTGCAGCTGTGTAGCGTCCCAAAGAATCAGTGTTCACTACAGTTCTCAGCAAGGTTTTGCAGCTGTGTAGCGTCTCAAAGAATCAGTGTTCACTACAGTTCTCAGCAAGGTTTTGCAGCTGTGTAGCGTCCCAAAGAATCAGTGTTCATTACAGTTCTCAGCAAGGTTTTGCAGCTGTGTAGCGTCCAAAGAATCAGTGTTCATTACAGTTCTCAGCAAGGTTTCAGCTGTGTAGCGTCTCAAAGAATCGGTGTTCACTACAGTTCTCAGCAAGGTTTTGCAGCTGTGTAGCGTCTCAAAGAATCAGTGTTCACTACAGTTCTCAGCAATGTATAATATTTCACACCACAATTTTTTTACATTTTGACAGAACTTTTTCTCTTTAAGTACAATAAGTTTTTGATGCTCTATAAAGGAAAACAAGGCAAAGGGATACGATATGCATTTGATATGGACATTTTGGACACTGAAAATGAAAACAATTTTAAATCCAATAATGATTTGTTTTTTTTAATTTATTTGGATATATTTTACAAGATGTGAAATAAATAAATGAATTGAAATCAATTAAACACATATCTTAAAAAATGAAGCGCTAAAATTCCTGTAAATAAGAGAAACACAAATTTACTCCCTGACCATTGGTCAGTAAGAAAACTTAGCTGTACAACAGTTTTATGACCAATTTTGAGGTCAAAATTTAAGCTCACTTAATGGGTTAAAGTCTGTTTTCTCGGAAACTACCAAAGTTATTCACTTAAAATATTGTACATGTATATATTTTTTCATGCCATATAACATAGGCAGATAATCCAATTATACATTGTGTATATTGCAAAGATAGGCCTAAGATTTAATATTAATTGTTTCCCTGACTGCAATCTACATTCGTTAATAAGTGAAGCATGACCTTGGCCTATAAATGACCTTGAATGTCAAGGTAAAGTATGAAATTTTATTTACATTCTGTAAAACTATTTACCTCCAGTGTAATTGCCTTTGGAAATAAGAAAATGTGGAGCATGTCTCCTGCTTGCAGTGGCTCTTGTTATCAATTTTAGATATATTATGTATATCTGATAAGAAACAAAAACCCAAATATTTCAATGTGAACTTGTTTAAAATTTAGAAGCACCCTTTGTCAAAAGAATATAATATACAGAGTGTAAATTAGAACAGCCATAAGTGTCACATCTCAGTTATCTTCTAGTAAAAAACCCTAAATATCATTAATGAGCCGCGCCATAACAAAACAAACATAATGGGTTTGTGACCAGCATAGATCCATGCTGGTCACAAACCCATTATGTTGGTTTTGTCATGGCGCGGCTCATTTATAAAACAAGAAAACTTTAACTGTCCAAGACTGGATCAGTTGTAATTTTACTGTTGAAATGTTCCCACAATATAACCTGTTGTGCCAAAATCTCTTGCCTGATTGCCAATTTTGTTGTCTGAATCTATATATATTTCCCAGATTTTCGTTGTAATAAATCATACTGGCAACTTTTCATCACATACTTGACTCCCACATGTTTCAGGAAAAACTGTTTAATGTACAGAAATATTTTGATTTGAGCTTATACTGATGACTATATATTTTCTCGATGACCATATACTTTTTATACAAACATTTTTCATGAAAGCAGAGAAAAAAATATTGATCAGTTATCTAAGCCTCATTTCAGTTATTTGATTTTTTAAAAAAAAATTAGCTAGTTGATATTAAAACATAAATATATACCAAAATATATTGAGATATACCAAAAAGTATCTGCAATGTACTATGAACTTTAATGTGGCTCACCTGTCGGCCTTGACTTAGTAATACATGTTTTCCTATTCTAATCAATGTTTTTATTATACATTGTTTAAAGTAACAGGTATTATAGTGCCTAGAAACATCCAGTTTTTTTGAAGACAATAATTAATATATAGGTAATTTTATGTGCATTGTATAGGCAATATAAAGCTTGTACCTGAAATCACCAACAATCACTGGCATTTTGTTAGAGTATGTCTCAAGATCATCATGAGAACGATTAGTATTATAAAAATGTAGCATAAATCTAATTCCTGCTTGCAGGTTCAGCCTAAAAGTGTAGCTGCGAGATGTGGACTGCGACCAGGAGATGGAATCATCCGTATAAACAATACAAACACAGACGGTCTAACACATGAACAGGCAAAAATGGAGATAATCAGATCGTGTAATGATATTGATATGCTAATTGCCAGGTAATTATTCAATATCAGCCTTTGATGTTACACACCTTTTGTTGTAAAACGGCTTTTGGCAACTAAAATCATATGCTTTATGCTTCTTTTGCTACTTTATGTAAATATTTGTTATACATGTAAAATATATTGGTAAACAATATATGCACAATCTTATTCTTCTTGAACTTTCTCCTAAAACACATATCTATCAATACTTCTAGTATAATTACTAAAAATTTAAAAGCCAGTCATATTTATATTAACCTAGCTTATTTAGTTTCTCAAGAGTAACTATTTGGCACTGATTATAAAAAGTGCCATCAAATATCTTAGATCTGGTTATCTTCATCAAACTTATTGAGCTATATAAAATAATTTTAATAGCTATGTTAAAGAAATAAATGCCTTGTTCAGTTTTATTTAATGGTGGTAGGGCCATTGCTTGTAATGAATCTTTCTGTATGCAGTGGTGGCCAGCAGGCTTAGGTTTAAACACAGCAAGTCTTGTTACAGTGAAGTAAAGTGTTCATTAAACAAATTATTATGATACAATGTTAATAATTGAATGACCAATTTTTGACACTGCTTGCATTGGTGTATCTCTTTAAAAGATCATCTTTTCAAGGGCAAACTTGAAAGAGAAATATTGAATAGAATATCAAGAAAAATATAATAGTGCATATACCTGTAAAGCTATAAGTGTAAGTTTTCAATATTAATTAATGATATATACATGTATGTAACAGCTGTTTGTATTACATGTAAATTAACTGATGAATGATGCTTATAGGTGTGATTTGAAGTGATAGATAGGTGTTAATTAACATGTGTGTTTTCATGTGGTTACAAATAATATACATGTACATGTTACTAGTTACTGGTTTGTTTATATAGAATTGCCAGCAAGTTTGTCCATATAGAATTGCCAACAGGTTTCTATATATTGAATTGTCAACCAGTTTGCCAGCAACTTTGTCTATAATAGAAACTTAAATCCCCTTTATATTGTAATCCTTTCTTTAAATTTTATCTTTTTGATATATATACTGGTATGTCTCGAAGTTTGATTGTTCTACTTGTAATGTTTATTAATTGACTTTGTTCATAATAGAATTGTTAGAATCTTATTTTTTGATGTACCACCTAAAAAGTATTTCCTATTTTGTTTAATTCAATATGCACTTCTTTGACAAGTTATACGCTATGAATGGATTGTAAAAATTAACATGTATTTCTTGTTCTGACAATTTCAATGTACATTGTGCTGCATTGTTGTTGCCATATTATTGTAGTATTGAAGTTGTATATATTGTAAATTATGTTTGTCTTAGAGGCCCACATGGAAAATCGGGAAAGTTCAAACCAAATGTGAAGCCTCGATAAATAAAGCCTTTACTTACCTACTTTAACTTACTTACAATTACCTCCCTTGGAAAGATTTTCACATTATGAACAAATCTACATGTATAAAACCTGAGAGTGTTATTATATTTACGTTATGAGCTGTAGTTAAAGGGTAAAAGATGGATGTAATGATTCAAATACGAAATCTTAACCAATGAAAATAAATTTTACAAGGGTCACTTAGGACCAGGATAAATTGTAGACACTTTTATTTATTTCAATATCTATAATCTACACAAAAATTCTGCAAATATATTCTTATCTAGATTTTCTATATAAATACAGTGTATGTGACAAGGGTAAGAAAATATAAACATATTCATTGTTCCCACTTGATTCTTTATCATTTTTCAAATAAAATATTTCACCTTGAAGATAGATTGCTTGAACCCAGTTTGACATGAAACCAATCTTGATAAAGAGATTTATATAATGCCATTTATTTCAGATGTGATACAATTTTACACTTTTATTTGATATTTAACTGTTTATTTTCTGCATGGTAATTTAAGATGAAAATATGTGAAGAATTTAATTTGTGTTTAATTTATTAAGAATTTAAGTATGTAGTAAAACTACCTAACTCTCAACACCACAAATCCCCACTAAATTATAGTAATTTTATTGTACTTTTATTATTTAAAACAGTTTTTTTTTTGTTAAGTTCAAAGTTTCAATAAGAATTTTTTGTAAATTGCTAATTCTATCATGTTCAGTTATATATGCAATGAAAATGATGGCCTTGAAGAAATGAGATAAATTAGAAAAATGAAGCATTGAAAATTGAGCAAACTACTGGCATATTGCTTGATAGTTTAATCTCTTATGAAATAAATTGTAATAGTGTGTTTTAATGAGTTTTATGTAACATAATTTGAGAGCTATCAATATGGCAATCAACAAAATGATCAAGTTTCCGCATTATAGTGTATGTTTAAGTGTTTGTGAGTGTGACAGCTAGAAGAAATGTCCATGCTGATTTTGCAAGTTTGGAATGCTGTGTGTGTCTGTGATGGTATGCCAGCCAGATTTTCCAAATTAACCGATGAGAATGTTGCCATCAAAAACATAGAATTACAGTTTGGAATTTTTATTATCCCCCGCCGAAAATTTTCGGCGGAGGATATAGAAATAGTCTCCGTCCGTCCGTCCGTCCGACCTTCCGTCCGTCTGTCCATCCTTCCGTCTGAAATTTTTGTCCGGAGCATATCTCTAAAAGTATTTGAGTTATCAACTTGAAACTTCATAGGTGGATAGACCTCATTGAGGAGGAGTGCAGTGCACAAGAATGATAACTCTACCTTGCATAATTTTTGAGTTATTGCCCTTTGTTATTTTTCAAAATTGATTTTTGTCCAGAGCATAACTCGAAAAGCCTATGAGATATTAACATGAAACTTCATAGGTGCATAGATCTCACTCAGGAGGTGTGCAGTGCACAAGAATGATAACTCTTCCTTTCATAATTTTTGAGTTATTGCCTTTTGTTATTTTTCATACCTAATTTTTCACCTGAGTGGAGCATAACTCAAAAAGTGTTTGAGATATCAACATGAAATGTCATAGAAGGATAGATCTTATTGAGGAGGAATGTTGTGCGCAAGAATGATAACTCTTCCCTAAACAATTTTTGAGTTATTGCCCTTTGTTGTTTTTTTCATGCTATTTTGTCCAGAGCTTATCTCAAAAAGTATTTGAGGTATCAACTTGAAACTTCATAGGTGGATGGATCTCATTGAGGAGGAGTGCAGTGCTAAAGAATGATAACTCTGCCCTGCATTATTTTTGAGTTATTGCCCTTTGTTATTTTTCAAAATTAATTTTTGTCCAGAGCATAACTCAAAAAGCTTTTGAGATATCAAAATGAAACTTCATAGGTGCATAGATCTCACTCAGGAGGTGTGCACTGCACAAGAATGATAACTGTACCTTTTATAATTTTTGAATTATTGCCCTTTGTTATTTTTCATACCTAATTTTTCACCTGAGTGGAGCATAACTCAAAAAGTGTTTGAGATATCAACATGAAATGTCATAGAAGGATAGATCTTATTGAGGAGGAATGTTGTGCGCAAGAATGATAACTCTTCCCTATACAATTTTTGAGTTATTGCCCTTTGTTGTTTTTTTCATGCTATTTTGTCCAGAGCTTATCTCAAAAAGTATTTGAGGTATCAACTTGAAACTTCATAGGTGGATGGATCTCATTGAGGAGGAGTGCAGTGCTAAAGAATGATAACTCTGCCCTGCATTATTTTTTAGTTATTGCCCTTTGTTATTTTTCAAAATTAATTTTTGTCCAGAGCATAACTCAAAAAGCCTTTGAGATATCAAAATGAAACTTCATAGGTGCATAGATCTCACTCAGGAGGTGTGCACTGCACAAGAATGATAACTGTACCTTTTATAATTTTTGAATTATTGCCCTTTGTTATTTTTCATACTTAATTTTTCAATTCAATTTTTTTTCTCAAAAAGTATTTGAGGTATCAACTTGAAACTTCATAGGTGGATAGATTTTACTGAGGAGGGATGCAGCACACAAGAATGATAACCTACCCTGCATTATTTTTCAGTTATTGCCCTTTGTTATTTTCAGCCATCAGTATTCACATAGGTTTCAAATCTGTAATCACTATAGCCATCAGTTTTCATTACCAAAAGACCTCTTAAAATGGAATTATTCTGCTCTACTACATACACATTCTTCCAATGAGCAAACACATTCGGCGGGGGATGGCCATGTTGACATGGCTCTTGTTAGGTATAAATTAAGCTCCAAGTGTTAATATTTTCTAGTAAGTAAATTTATATATTACATGTACATAAAAACTTGAATTAAGGTTTATGTTAGAAACATAGTGTTGTCATCAGGTTTAATATTAAAGTTATATAGAATTACATTGTGATGTATGTAAATTTAAGTAAAAAAATTAAATTCTGTTAGGTGTCTTAAAGAGAAAAAAAAAATCTTTTTTTATTTTCATTTTTGTAATAAATCTTTCATAAATGTCAAAACTCTGATATTAAGCATAATTTTCTATGACAATTAGCTGCTCAGATAACAAGTACATATGCAGGACGTATGATAAGCTGAGATTTTTGTTTGTTTCCAGGCTGGGAAAGTAAAATTGTGACAAGTGACAGCATCTATTATTAAAGACTTTTCCTGAAACACAGAAAATTGTGATTTGTTTCTCCAATTATCTAAATATAATAAAAGACATTAATCTAATATATAGACTTACACAAGTGTACACAAGAACAGTGCTGACTTTTAAATGTCTCACCTGGACTATAACATTAAATCTGATTTATCCGCCAGTGATTTAAGTGATTGACTTTGGTTATTTTTATGTCTTGCTGACAAAGCTTTATAATAGTAGTTTTAAAAGGATTCTTGAAATGTTGTCTGTTATATTACTGTGTTATCTGTCTTAAGAAAAGTACAAGAGTAATACAGATGTCTTATATAGTTTTATTTTGTATTATTTAGTTTAATGATTTTGCAGTGTTATATATTATTGCGTCGACAAATTTTAATAAATATTAAAAATTTAGTTTTAGTTACAAATTATTGTGAAAATGTGTAAAATAAGTCAGTATTCTTTAAAATTGTTCTATTTGCAAAATACATAGTTCAATATCTTAGCTCTTTCACTTACTGGAAATATGAAATGCTCACAAACAAATATGGTCAGTGAATGTATTTATCTTCTATAAATCAACCAAATAGGTACACTTAAATAATTGATCTTTTTGTCACAATTTTTAAAATTATGATATTTCTTATAATAAAACCAAACAGTGTTTTGATTTACATATTTTACATTATTTGAATAATAATTGCTTATTATCTAAGTCTTTGCACTAAGTAGGCTGGGTGATATCACAGACAATTGTTTAAAAAATAACATTAGGTCACCACTAATGGCAGCGTCAATGACTGAAAAGGCATTTGCTAATTTTTAGTTCTTTCAATATTTGAATAAAAACATATACCGTGTTCCATGCATATATTTGCCAAATTCAGTGGTACATATTTTTCCTATGTAGCTATCATGCTTGAAGCAAATTACTGCATATTTTCTTAAAAATATCGCTGCAAAGGAAAATTTTTTCTAAGTATGACAGAAAAAGTAAAAGAGCTACAATGAAAAGTTTTGAACCATTGGAATTAGCTTATATTTGCCTGAAACATGGTATATGTTTATTATTCAAAAGAAATATTTGAAAGATATAACAGAAAAATTAGTAAAAAAACATTTTAATAATGGGCATGGCCATCAGAAATGACCCAATGTTACATTAAACGAATGCCAAGTGATCATCTACCCTGTTTAAAGGTTTGATAGTAAAATTTTTGTAATTTATCCAACATAAGAACAATCACTTTTGATTATATGAGTAATTTGTATTATCATGTGTGTAATTCCGGACAAAATTAAGTTTCATTAATACATTTTGGTGGCATTTGAATAGCGTGAACTGTATGAATGCTACTTGTGACTTACTTCTTTATTGTATCAGTGAAGTGATTAGCCATTACATTAATCCTTATACAGTCTAACCATACTTATAATGACTATACTGCTCATGGCTTTTTTTCAAATCTGGAAAATTAACAGTTCAAAGAAGAACAAGTCTACCTCAGAAAGAGTAAGCCTTAATTTTAATGCACTATTATTGGCAGATTTGGCACAATTTCAAGTGAAGGGCATAGGAAAGAAAGAAACTGTAATGTTAATTATATATCAGGAACTGTGAAATACTGTGTGATATTTGCCAGAACGTATGTAGGTGGATAATGTAGGCAAACTAATGCCAGAAACAGCATAGATATTGGTGTGCTTGTAATAAACATACAATAACTGTTACCTTTTACCTGTTTGTCTAATCATTTCTCATTACCTGATAAATATCACCTGAAAAATACCATGAACACTAACAGAACTGATAATAATCACAACCTACTTTTTGTATTAGTCTTCTAAATTGGTATACAAACAACTTTGAATGCCCCCACTACTTATGGGAGGGCATATAGATTTACCCTTGTCCATGTCCGACATACTGTCTGTTCACAGACTGATAAACAGTGAAATGTGGGGGCATCCATGTCCTATGGACACATTTCTACTTTTCTTTATTACTGTTCAGCTACACTATTTTTTTCTAGCAAATCAGAAATGTATATGTCAATATATTGCTTTCTTCTTTTCCTGATCATTTAACAGTACATATATATATATCTAAAGTTCTAGAAATTTAACTAAATTTATTCTATTTTCTGTTTATACCATTACACAGTAATACAATATCATTAATTTTGTAAACAAGCAATTATAGTGTATCATTTTTATCTTGTACCAGTTTGCAATTGTTGGGTAAATTTGATAAAACATCAGGGATTGAAAATGTTATTATTTATTCTAGAGGTGCAGTACAGATATGGAGACCAAAAGTAACCCCCATGTCAGAGCTGAGACCAGAAACAAAGCAACCTGTACAAACAGCAACAGGAGATGAAATATATCTGCAACAAAGAACTTCTCTAGCCAGGGATCACCAAGATGTAAGTTTTGTCCAAGTTGAGAATGTTGAGTAATACTTAAATATACATAGGGTATCATACTGTCCATATAGGGCTAACATTTTAATGGGGGTACAAATTTGTTCAGACCAAACATGTTTATTTAATCTTAATTTTGAAACAAGTCCTTTAAACTGATATAAATTGTTTTTGCATCTACTGAATTAATTAGGTGTGAATAGTAGTTTAACTCATTTTACAAACTTATTTTTACTAGGAAAAGTCAAAGCCCATTATGTCTGTCTATGGTGTCATGTGAGAAAACATGATTGTGATACTAGCTAGATTGAGAGGCAGACACCTTTACTACTGTCAATGCCCCCCCCCCACCTCTCAACAGAGGTTTATACTATGGTATTGTGTTATTAAATGAGTAATTCAAGCTTTGCAAGCCCTGACATTAAGCTTAAAGACCTCATAACAATTGTTTTATAAATGGGCATTGAAGTCAAGTTGTCCTCAATAGAATTTGTTGGATATTGCTTTGTTTTTATTGCAGCAAAATTGTATAATGGAAAACTATACTTTGTTATGATCTATATATACATATGGACTAAATATGCTTAACAACACAAATTTGTTGTTTCTGGCACAAATTGATTTCAAACAAATGTATATATAAGTGCATCTCCTCCAGCAATTAGATCCTTCTAGTTAGATATGGTTTGTGATAAAATCATCTATAAGAACTTGTGTGTAACTGTAGACATAAATCTGTTGGTATTTACCATTATAATTATGTAAAATGTATCAATGCTGTATCATGATCAGGTATAGGTAGGTAAGTCTTGATTACCAGTACTCAGACAGACATCACACTTATGTCAGATTTAAAATAAAATAAAAACAAGACAATGATATCACACTGAGATAGGCATTAAAAGCATTACAAAACCTGTATCATTATATGGAAAAAAAAGGGTCAAAACTCCAAATTACAGAAATTCAAACATACACTTATATTGTGCAAGAATAACATTAGGGTACTTCTTTCATGCATTAACATCTGCAGAAGCTCTTGCTCTGCGAGCTTGGACTTGACATATGCCCCCATATTTCTGCCAATGTTAATGCATGAAAAAAAAGTTGCAATATCCCTCTAATGTTAAAATGGGTACTATATTAACCCATAACCCCATGAGCATTTTGTGAAAAATGGCTGTTTTCATTGAAAAGTCTCCCGTTACAAGTTCAAGTTGCTATAAAACTATAAAAACTGCTTCAATACTAATCAAACATGGCACAAATGTTGACTGGACCATTGCCTTTGTAACAACATGCACAGTCTTAAATTTTCTGTTACCATGGCAACTAGGGGACATCTCAAAATTGCCAAAAATCACTATTTTGCGTTGATTTTTTTCCATCAAAATTGAATTCAAAGTGCTGCCACTTCTCAATGGATTGAGATAGAGACAAAGGCTTTTCAGCATTGGTTACACGTTACCTTATGATCGACCTGGGGTCATTTTTAGCCTCTCACAAGTCCAAAATTTTCTTCGCGATGAGGGGGACTCCGCCCCCCTTCAAACCCCCCAAACAGAAGGGGGCACATCCCCCTTCTGGCACCCCCTGGTGTATCTTTTGGATGGGGGACAGCGCCGAAAAAGTGGTCAATTTTTTAAACAACATTTCTCAAACAAAAACAACTGTTTGGGGGCCTAAATAAGGCAATTTTTCACCATTTGAGAAAGCAAAAAGGGTGGGGGGTGAAAAAGGCGTAGAAAGGCGTATATATCTGGTAATGGGTTAAAGGTGTTACAGACAGGTCTGTTGAAAACTGAAAATTTAAGATGATTTGATGAACGCTTGACTGTTTTGGTGAAATACTACATGAATACTTTTTCTCATGTTGAATAGCATTACACACATGTCAGCATTGTTAAAGATTGTATAACACTTAATTTTAAGATTTATGTCTAATTCAAAGACCAATTAAAGTACAAAGAGTATTAATTAATGACATCTTTGTTTATGAACAAACAGATTTCTATAACTAAGTTTATAGTATTCTATTGACTTTGTTGATGAAAATAGTATCATTGATTGATTCAGGAATCAAGTAATATTGGTAGCTCATACAACAGATCAGCAAAACCTTTCAGTGGATTTGGAGGGGGTGCACCCCAGCAGCAACAGCCTCCACAACAACAATACGGTGGGCAACAACAATATGGTGGCCCGCAACAATATGGTGACCCGCAACAATATGGTGGTCCACAACAATATGGTGGCAGTCCACCACAGTCACCAAAGCGTGCTGTGCCGAATGTTGTGCATGCACAGTTTAATTCCCCCATTGGCTTGTATTCAGCTGGAAATATTGCTAATTCATATGCTCAACAAACTGCTGGCATCCAGAAACAAATGGAAAAGTATGCTTTTGTTGTGATTTTTGCTATAGTTTTGTTGACTTGTGAATATAATTCATATTTAAAGAAAAATTAACTAACAAAGATTTTATTTTTTATGACTTCAAGATAAAGATTTGGTCAGTGTCATGAGGGTGCATTTTTCTTCTATAGATCTTCTTATTTGTTATTTTATTTTTAAGACATTTTTCGAGTGCAGAATTGTTAGCTCTTAAATACCACAATAATTACTGGATGGTTTTACTCTCAGTTAACAATTGCCTATTGTTTCAGTTGGACAACATATTCTTTTTATCAGTTGACCAAAGCTATTAATTTTGAAGAATGATTTAAAAGTCTGAAATGTCTTTTATGTTACTTTGGTCTAAATTTGCTGCACTTTATTTTGTGAAAGTATTGATTTTTTTGTTAATCATTTTTGGATTATTTCATCGAAATTTCCATTTAATTGTTAGATATAATTGTTTTGTTGATATAATTGTTTTGTAGTATTGATGTAAATGATGCTCCAGTTGGTGCCATGATGACTGGGACCTATCAAAGGCTAGATTCAGACCCAGGATCTCAAGGTGATGATGATGTCACCAACCCAACAAATAATCCATCATCTGGATCACCCACAAGCTTGCAGAATAACATACCATCTGAATCAACTGAAAGCTTGCAGCCCCAGAATGAAGTGTTATCAGATGAGCATGCTACAAATGCAGAAACTAATACAGTTATTAACCCTAGTAGGTTTTTGTTTTCAAATTTAGTTCTTGTAACTTATTTTTAGTACTGTTCAGCATAAAAAATTGAGGTCCATCCAGAGCAATAAAAACAAAAATAAATATATGGACAGTATGTAGCTGTCTATATAACTAGACATTTACTTTGACGGAACAATTTTTTACTCTTCTTTACTTCAATAGGTAATTTAAACTTAATATTGGTCTTTCAATACTTGCTACAATACTTGCAATATTGTCTTTATAAGTTTTAAGAACCTTAGAAAGGATAAAATCTTCAGATACTGTATGCCAATAAATTAGGGTCAGTACATGCAGTGGTATGGAGCAGTGAAATAAGATAATGTTTGCTGTGGTTGTTTGTGTGAAAATAAACATAGAAGGAAAATCAATTATAAAAAAGACTCGTGTAAAAAACTGGGAAAATAATTGTTACTTAACAATACTTAAATATGAATAAATTGTCTTTTATGTTTTTATTTCTATCAAATGTAATACCTATGATTTAATTCAGATATACTAGCAATGTCATTATTAGTATATATATTTTTGTAATAATTGAATTACTTTTCAGAACAAAGTTAATTGTAAGGGTTGATGTTTTTTAAAAGGTCAAACAAAAATATATATCGTCATTGAATGATTTTTGGCATTAGTTTTGTTAGCTCACCTGAGCACATGATGGTGCTCAAGATGAGCTGATTGGATCACCATGAGTCCGGTATCTTTGATGTATCTCCAACAACATGTACTCATTAACCCATTTGGCCAGTTGTAATGAAACTATACATGACTGATCCTTGGATGGTCTTCCACAAACAACTCGAAAATCATTCAAGTCTACTGAACAATGGCTGCCACAGCTTGAAATAGAATAACATTGAATGATACTTTAACTGCTGTGCAGATTTTGATAAAAATTGAGTGGTCCTCAACAATAATTGCTAAATTCAGTTAAATATAGAAATAATCTTTGAATAATATTTCATTCTTAATTGCTGAACAAGTTTTGATAAATTTTTGAATGAAATGCAATAAATATTGTGTATTCCTCTACAAAAGTAGCTAGTGTGGGAGCCAAAACTGAAAATAGAGAAAATCATTTTCTTCACAACCCATGGCAGAATTTTATAAAATCTCAATTTGAATAATCATTGGATAGTCCTGTGTCAAACTGGCTTAAACAATTTTGGACTGCTGAACATATATGTCTAAGTTAAAGAAATCAGTTTAAACAACATCTTCTAACAACCGCTCCATAGAAATGAGCTTATAGTGCAATCTTGTTCACAGACCATATCCATAGGAGGGTGAGCAAGGGCCATTTTGGCTCTCTTGTTTGTTATTTAATTCCAATTATTTAGTTCCAATGTTTTGTTGTTACATAATTGTAGTTTATTTTGTTTCTTCACTAACTATTTTCTTCTTGTTATGGGTGGCATTTGGATGTAGATTTGATTGTCATATTCACATTCAAGACATATGTTTGCTCATGTAGAGAACTACCAACATTAAACATTGTTTGTTAGGGCTGTTGTTTTAGAAGTGAGCGACCACAAACCATTTGGCCAGAGATACCTTAGTTTACTTTTACTTTTGTTGATATTGCTTGTTCTGGTTATGTTATTTGAAGTTGGCTTTCATGAATTGTTGTATTGCAAGCTTTCAATTTTTGTTTTGAAGTGTGGTGAAAATAATTTTAACATACTAACTTAATCATGATTCGATTTTTAAATATTTTACTCAACTTAATGTTTATGAGATGTAAAAATAATGTAAATACATACAAAGGACCTGGGGTCTCTAAACAGCTGCAACAGTTTTGCACCAGTGCTTCATATGAGAACATTACATTGTAGATGCCATTTTCAGTTTTCTTTCTTCCAGTTCTGTGTGTCAAGATTTTTTTTTTTAATTCACAAAAGATACATTAAATGTTTCAAGTTACTAGTAATTTAATAATTGATACATTTAAAAGATATAGTTAAGCCCTTTTAATCCAAGTTAACTTTTATTGAGAAAGTCAGTTGTCTCTGGTTCTGGGTTTGATCCCCTTAGATGCTTTGGTAGTTTACCGCAGAGGAAGGTAGTCTAGTACTGGTGTAACTCTCCAGGAACGATGGTTAGGAAGCTACCCGCTTGACAATTTTATGTAATTGTAGTAAACTAAATGCTGCTGTATTCAGCAAATCATTATTGTACTTTACATTGTACTATACTCTTTCACTATTCTGCACATTTATGATATTGTATTGGTTCTTAATTAACTGGAAAATATGGCAGCAAGTTTAAACATTGTGTCTCTTTTAAAACCTTATTTTAGGTCAGCCATCTGGATTCCGATCAGTGTCCGCCCCTGTTGCTAAGCCACCAAGTGCTTCAGCTCCAAAACAAGAGAGCATGCATTGTACCGGCTGCGGAAATTTAGTCACGTAAGTTTAAGGAGATGATTATTTCAGATTTTTGTTGTAAGAGATTATCATGATGCAATTATGATATTTGCATAAATAATGTACTGTTATGAAATAGTTTTGAAATGAAAGGAAGCTAGTGTATAAATGCATTCAAATTAAATACAAAAAGGTTTGTGTATTGTAAACATTGCTTCAGGTAAAATGTTTTATGTATATTCTCAATTTGTTTACAATTGTTATGCTCATTATATATTACAGGGGTGTGTTTGTTAGAATAAAGGGTATGCCATACCATGAAAAATGTTTCAAATGTGTCAGATGTGGGGTTTTCTTAAAACAGAAAGGTAAATTAGTATAACCAGTTATTTACCCTAGTACTGTAGTAAATTACCTTATTTAAACACTTGATTTAATGAATCCATATTCATCAACATTTAAAGCTGCATGCCACCAGATGCCAAAATATTTTAAGAAAATCATACTTGAGAAAAATGTACTGTTCTTTTAGGAAAGAAAAAAGATTCCAGGAATGATTTACACATTATGTACGATTATTGACTGATTTTACAGTATTTATCTCTATAATAAGGGCTATTTTTGCATATTTTTACCTCTTTTTGTTTAATTTACTTAGATTGTAAGTGATGTTTGTAATGTGTAGATTATTTCCTTTGTTCACTTCAAAATACGATGCTTTTAAATTCATTATCAAAATTTTCATGAAAATTTGCATGAATCTGGAGGCATGCTGCTTTAAAATCGAAAATAAGATTTGAAAATGTTTAAGTACATGTATGTTATTATTTTTTCCATATTTTTATTTTAAGTTGATCTCAACTAAATTTTATTGATTTATTTGTTGCATTTAACATCCATTTTTGCAAAGTTTTATTCATATTCTAAGCATCTTTAATAAAGGAAAAGTTAAAAGAATATTCAGCTATTCGAAGTTTTAAAGTTTTGATGTTCCCCAAAGGGTGAGCACATAGTAGACACTTTGTCCTTCCACCAGACCACTATTTATGTCTGTAACATAACTTTGAAACAACAAGAGATATCAACATGAAACTTTGTAGGTAGATAGATCTCATTGAATAGAAGTGCAGTGCAAAAGAACCATAACTCTGTGTTGCCTAATTTTGGAGTAATGCCCTTTGTTTATTTTTACAGTTTGAACTTTGGTCGGAACATAACTCTAAAACTATAAGAGATATCAACATAGATAGATCTCATTAAGTAGAAGTGCAGTGCAAAAGAACCATAACCCTGTCTTTCCTAATTTTTGAGTAATTGCCCTTTGTTAATTTTAACACTTTGAACTTTGTCCGGGACATTGCTCTAAAACTATAAGAGATATCAACATCAAACTTTGTAGGTAGATAGATCTCATTGAGTAGAAGTGCAAAAAACCTTACGGAAACTCTGTCTTGCTTAATTTTGGAGTTATTGTCTATTGTTCATTTTTACACTTAGAACTTTGTATGTGACATAACTCTGTCACTACAACAGGTATACTTTCTTGTGTCCGAAACCAATTTGGGGAGCATCACCCGGTTTGACTGGTTCTTGTTTTATTAGAAGAGATAATGAAGTGCTCATCCTATAAGCAGCCTGTCTGAAACGATCACAGCTACAAACTGTTATGATCAAACTGACCTATAAGAAGATTGATATGTCTGTTATATAAGTTAAGTCTGTATTATATAATTGTAGGTTACTTTATGATTGACGGTCAACTGTACTGTGAAACTCATGCAAGACAAACAGCAGATGCACCAGGGGAAAACTTGAGAGTTGCAGGAGCTGTATACAGGTAACAATATATATACAGCACATCAGTTATGTCATTTTAAATTTGTAAGACTGATCTGGCACAAAATATAAGGGGACAAGCAACTACCTACTATATAAGCAGTCATATGTTGGCGTCCAATTGACACCCTTTTTATTGATAAACTTGTGTGTAATATTGTTATTATGAAAAATTGGATCAATGAATGTTCATAAAATCAAGTAAAGAGCATTTTAATACGATCTAATATGCCAGTCGGCTTACATTTCTCTTATTTACACTGTTTACTATGGACAAAAATTACCGTTTTACAAGGTTCAACAAGGCAAAATGGCGGCAAGTGCACCTGATAGGATGAAAAGATAACATGGCACAAATCTTCAGTTGTCTGTCCCTTTATATTATGTTCCAGGATTTATTTAAATTGTGTTCATGATAAACGAAATCATTAGTTTATCATGTATGCATTTGTCACTTTTGATTAGCAATGATTTGTCAGAAATCCAATTCTAATAGGCATGGATGTTACTCAAGTATATAGGTAAATTTGTTTTGTATTTTCAGATAAGCTGTGGAAAATTAGGAAGTGATCAAATTTCTTGTAAATAGAGGTGTGATAGTTTGTGTTTCTATAACAACCCAAGTATTCCTGCCAATTATATTACTCCTAGTGTTCTCCTCAACAAGTGAAGAATATTTGATCGAAGAATAATTGAGCCGCGCCATGACAAAGCCAACATCATGGGTTTGCGACCAGCATGGATCCAGACCAGCCTGCACATCTGAGCAGTCTGATCAGGATCCATGCTGTTTGTTTACCAACTATTACAAGTAAAGAAACTGATAGCGAACAGCATGGATCCTGATCAGACTGTGGGGATGCGCAGGCTGGTCTGGATCCATGCTGGTCGCAAACCCACTATGTTAGTTTTGTCGTGACGCAGCTCAATTTTAGATTGTAAAACTAAAATAACATAGCACATTATAATCAAATGCAATGTTTAGCATAATTAATGAATCATGGCTGATAATTGAGATGTTTTAGTTGAGAAATCTCAAAGTGAATGTAGTTCTTCAGAATGAGAATCTTTCTAATGTATGTTTTATTGTATATGAAGATTGATATTTTGGTGCTATTTGATATTACATACCTGATTTATTTATCAGATTTTGTTTATTTTTCAACATTTTATTCATGATATTTCATGTCAATCTGATTTTATTTCACACGAATATTTGAGTATAACAAAAGTGCAATAAGAAATGATAGGGTATTAATGTAAATTGTTGGTATTGTTTTGGATGACAATACATTTCTGTTAATGATTTTGTAACTTTGTGTCGGTTAACCTTGTACCTTAGTTTTACCCTTGGGGCACCCTTATCTCTGTAGGTTCGAGCTGCACAAACGTTTTGGATGTGAGAAAGCTATCCAGCTAGCTTATGAAATGTTGATGGTTCTACTCAGGTGCCTGTTTGTGCCTGAAATAATGCACAGAGGGGCACCTGAGGTCGTCCTCCACCAGTAAAGCTGGAAAGTCACAATATAAAATGACCTATACTGTGTTCACTGGTGTGACGTAAAACCCAATAAAAACAAAACAAAAAAACTTTTATATTTCCTTAGTATAAATGTGGATGAGCTTGGTATTGTGTTAAACCTGAAGGATAGTACATAGAAGTTTTACAATGGTGGAAAAATTGTTTGGCAATAACAAGTTTTTTTTATGATTTGGAAAGGTTTGTCTTTTAAATGCATTACAAACTTGGCCCCTAAAACCAACATTACAATGTGTTTAATGAAAACCTTTCATGCCTTGTTGTTATGAATAATGTTAACTTCTTTGAAGTTGTGTAAAACTGTGGAAACTAGCATGTGTACATATCACTAGTGTAAATTAATCAAGAATATTCCACTTTATATCTTAGCATAATTTATGTCTTGCTTTTTATATAGTCTTAATTATCTGTATAAACATTTTAATCTAATTTTATTGATAAAAGGGCATAATAGTTCAGACATATGTCTCACTGAAGATTGAGTCCCAAAGTCATGAATTTATTATGATGGCTAAAAGAAGGCAAACATCTTATTGATCAAAATAAAATGTAATTGTGGGCCTAAAATTTTGAAGTATTTTTAAAGAGTCATTGATGAAAGTGTAGAAATGCTTTCATTTTCATTGCATCAGTTAACCTGTTCAGCCTGAAATATTGAGAACGGAAGTTTCCATTGTCAAATATACTTATGTCAGACATATATTGCTGCCATAATGTCACTACTCAAGAATCTCTACTGGTCCAAAATGTTTGTTGCAAGCAGACTGTCCATTGCATAACCCAAGCTTCATAATTGGACAATAATCCATCTTAGACAGTGTAGGGTATACATGTAGTAATACAAGCTTGTGGTATATGCCTGCTTTTATGTTGCCACCCTACACAGAACTTTTTTTCGAGTTTCGTAGACCATCTATATACCATTATTGGGTACAGTAATATATTTCTTGATTAATTTCTACTGTTACAACTTGTTTGTTTCTTGTATTATGAGTATTTGTAAAATGTATGTAAAATTATAATAATAATTATTATGTTGTTCTTTTTACATGTTAAGTTTGACTGTTCATGATAGACTTGCTGTGCATTTTACTGAGTTTTATTTTTATATGTTTTTATAAAAAAAATAATAAGGTTTATAACTGAGTACAAGGCTTATTTGCATTAATTAGTTCAATAATATCAAGAGGGGAAACAAGTAATTTCCTTAATTGATACAGAAATGATAAACTATGATCTCCTGTAATAAGTATGTAATGAGAGATCTGTACAAAGTAATGAGGGATATGTAGAATGTAATGCGGGATCTGTAAGATTTAATGAGGGATCTGTACGATGTAATGAGGGATCTGTACGATGTAAAGAGTGATCTGTACGACGTAATGAAAGATCTGTATGAAGTAATGAGGGATATGTAGAATGTAATGAGGGATCTGTACGATGTAATGGGGTATTTGTAGGATGTAATAAGAGATCTGTAGGATGTAAAAAATGGCCTGAAAATTCATCATATATGTTGAATTTATTAAGGTCTGGTTTATCATTGCAGTGGCCAGTGTTATTCATTAGATCATAAAAGTGCAAACTTTCCATAAATTTTGTGCTTTTTTTGCACACAATATTATAATAAATAATATTTCAGAATAAAAATCCATTTTTTATTATTTTTACATCATTACTGTTTTGTAAGACAATGATATTATTTTTATGTAACCAATCTTTGGTTGGGAATTATTTTGACCTTATGCTTCAATGGCTTATGATATACAATGCTTCAATACTGATATTATGTAGCAATAGCTCAGCACTTTGTGTCTTGTAATTTTAGGTTTTATTGATAAAAAATAAAACAATAGATCAAACTGGATTTTATCATGTGTCTTGTTTTTATTTAATTTGTCATTATGTTTTAACGGGACCCATTATTGAAGTGCAAGGGAGGTAACTTGTGAAGCAACCACTGTTGTTTATAGATGAGAGACTTGTAATACCCATGATTCAAGAGTGTGTCTGTCTATATTAAGCTTATGTAGCTTCCTACACAAACAAAAATAAATTCTGACAGTGTAAGAGGGGTGTAAGAGTTAAACATGTCAACACCATGACAGCTTTACAATAATTAAGGCCACTTTATATCAATAGGAATGTTGGTACTTATAAAACTTGGCATATTTTTTTAAGGAAAATTACCGGTTTGAGTCATATATTTTGTATTTTACTAATATGGAATGTCAGATTCTAATGAAACTTACCTTGGCATGAATATTTATTAAATTAAGAAAATGATGCATATTATATATGTTTATCTCAAAATTGATGTACAAGATTTAATATTTCTTGGCAAGAAAGTGTATTTCAGTAAGGAAATGATTTCCATTAATTTTCATTCAAGTATGGCCCTTTACTACTTAAAAGAAGCCTTGTAAAAGAAATCTGTCAAAAGCAAAATATTGACCTGCTTCGTCAGTTAATAATCATATGACATTTCACTTGTGATGCACCTTTAATACCATCATCCTCCATAGGTGGGTTTTTAGCTCACCTGTCACAAAGTGACGGGGTAAGCTTTTGTGATCGTTTTTCGTCTGGCGTCCGTAAAATTTTACTTTAAATGACATCTCCTCATTAACCACTAAGCCAATTTCATCCAAACTTCACAGGAATGTTCCTTTGGTGGTCACCTTTAAAAATTGTTCAAAGAATTTAATTCCATGCAGAACTCTGGTTGCCAAGGCAACCGATAGAAAAAACTTAAAAAATCTTCTTTTAAAAAACCCAAAGAGCTAGAGCTTAGATATTTGGCATGAAACATCTTCTAGTGAGTGTCTATCAAGTTTTTACAAATAAAAGCCCTAAGTTAAAATTGGCCCCACCCCGGGGTCATTGATTTTCCCAAATGCATATAGTAAAAACTTAAAAAATCTTCTTTTAAAGAACCCAAAGAGCTAGAGCTAAGATGTTTAGCATGAAACATCTTCTAATGGGTGTCTACCAAGTTTGTTCAAATAAAAGCCCTGAGGTCAAAATTGGGCCCGCCCCAGGGGGTCATTGATTTTCCCTATATGCATATAGTAAAAACTTAAAAAATCTTCTTTTAAAGAACCCAAAGAGCTAGAGCTAAGATATTAAGCATGAAACATGTTCTAATGGGTGTCTACCAAGTTTGTTCAAATAAAAGCCCTGGAGTCAAAATTGGGCCCTGCCCCAGGGGGTCATTGATTATCCCTATATGCATATAGTAAAAACTTAAAAAATCTTCTTTTAAAGATGGCCCTCTTGTTCAGTTATGTCCTTTGTTACTTCAGAAAAAGAACAGCAAAAATTTCTGCCGAGGGCTATATATTAGTTTAAACGAATACAAACATTATTTCTGTTTTGTGTCACCTGCAGGGACATGTAGGGATCACTTCTCTTTAGCATGTCTGGCCAGTCATCACAAAACTTATTCGGACCACTCAAAAACTACTTGTGCAATTTCATCCAAATTTTACAAGAATGATCAGTACCAAGTCTAGTTGTGCATATTTTCAGCATTTTTATTGCCCTTAAATAATTTATATTTTTAAGTTTTGTCCAGACTACTCTTACGCTATTAATGCAATTAGAGTGAAACTTCACAGGATTGATTGGCATCTGAAGTACTTGCCCTTATGACATGGCTTTTTGCCCTTATTACATGGCTTTTTCAGTTGAATGATTTTTGGCCAAGTTATGCTCCTTGAATAAAAAAAGCATTTTGGCCTTGATAATGAATTTTGTGTCTCCTTCTACACAGTTACTGCAACATGCTACAAAGAACATATAGGGGACAAACTGTCCAATCGCCCCTGAATGAAGCTGCTTAATAAATTGGCTATCATCAGGCAACACATGAGCTCACTGATCACTCTTGTTTTAAGATTCAGGATTGTTCTTCACAATTTATCATTCAAAATGTATGTGAAACTGTTATGAAATTGTAATATATAAGATTTTAGAATCATATTTTCCTTGAATTTTTTTGAAAGATATTTCAACTGATTTATTAATGTATAATTTACAATTAACATTTCAAAATAAATCAGATATGATATTTAAACAAGATATGTTTGTAAAACATGTATGCCCCCTATCAGCAGCCAATTAGTCATGTGATAAGGTTATTATGCATGACTTCTGACCCAGTGATCAAACAATTAATAAGGGTTATCAAGTATCTACTGGTCATGACCTTAACCTTTGACCCCTTGACCGCAAAACTCAATAGGGGTCATCTGCTGGTCACGACCAATCATCATACAAAGTTTGAAGTTCCTAGGCCTAAGCGTTTTTTGGTTAATTGATCGGAAACCGTTTTTACCTACAAGGTCAATGTGACCTTTGACCCCTTGACCCCAAAATCAATAGGTCATCTGCTGGTCATGACCAATCACCATACCAAGTTTGAAGTTCCTAGGCCTAAGGGTTCTTTAGTTATTGATCGGAAACCGTTTTAACATACAAGGTCAATGTGACCTTGACCCCTTGATCCCAAAATCAATAGGGGTAATCTGCTGGTCATGACAAATCACCATACCAAGTTTGAAGTTCCTAGGCCTAAGGGTTCTTAAGTTATTGATCAGAAACCGTTTTTACTTAGAAGGTCAATGTGACCTTGACCTTTGACCCCTTGACCCAAAACTCAATAGGGGTCATCTGCTGGTCACGACCAATCATCATACAAAGTTTGAAGTTCCTAGGCCTAAGCGTTTTTAGTTAATTGATCGGAAACAGTTTTTACCTACAAGGTCAATGTGACCTTGACCTTTGACCCCTTGACCCCAAAATCAGTAGGTCATCTGCTGGTCATGACCAATCACCATACCAAGTTTGAAGTTCCTAGGTCTAAGGGTTCTTAAGTTATTGATTGGAAAGCATTTTACCTACAAGGTCAATGTGACCTTGCCCTTTGACCCCTTAACCCCAATATCAATAGGGGTCATCTGCTGGTCATGACCAATCACCATACCAAGTTTGAAGTTCCTAGGCCTAAGGGTTCTTTAGTTATTGATCGGAAACCATTTTTACCTAAGAGGTAAATGTGACCTTGACCTTTGACCCCTTGACCCCAAAATCAATAGGGGTCATCTACTGATCATGACCAATCACCATATCAAGTAGGCCTAAGCGTTTTTAGTTAATTGATCGGAAACCGTTTTTACCTACGAGGTCAATGTGACCTTGACCTTTGACCCCAAAATCAATAGGTCATCTACTGGTCATGACCAATCACCATACCAAGTTTGAAGTTCCTAGGCCTAAGGGTTCTTTAGTTATCACTCGGAAACCATTTGGTCTACGGACCGACGGACAGACAAGTGCAAAGCAATATACCCCCTTTTCTTCGAAATGGGGGCATAATAATATACATTTCCCATCTAACTGGTTTCAATGAACTTGATTTTCAGCATACATATGCATGCCTTCACAAAATTTCAATGTTTAATCATATTTCATTCTAGTACCATTCTCAAAATAAATGAATCGCATAACATGATGTTGTTATAGTTGTCATTATACCGATATCTCAAAAAGGATGTCCTTCTGACTGACCACGTTAAATTGTGTGGGCTTAATTTCATAAGTAAAGATATACATGTGATTTATTTTCATTCATATGCTGTGTAACAATTATCAATCAGCAAGTTGTATCATATGGGGGGATACAAGTTGTTTCTTTTGGTTAGTGAAAATTTTATTCTGGAAATTGCTAATAATTTTAACAAGACCTGAATTTTGTTTTTACTAGATGAAAATATAAAACGAAAAGAAGTGTTGGATTTTTTTACTTTTTTATTACTTTAGAAGGTACATCAATCCAAGGGTAACTACCATATGGAAGCATAGTATAATTAACACATTCAGCAATATATGTAAACAAACATAATATGTATAAACATATGTAACAACTAAATCCATCCTTAATATAATACCAACAAATATGGAAAAAATAGAAAAACACTGATAGAAACAAAGCTAGCCACCAGTATAAATGGTTCAAAAATATAAAAACTTTTTATCAAAATTATCTTCTTCCAATTTTAGTTGCATATACTGAATACGTCAAGCAGGGAAAGCAATTTATACACAAGATTTTAGTTTTAATAACCTTTTAAACTCGAGTTTCTTGCTACATTCATCATAATTCAAATTTCTAATATATCCCCAAATTTTTCATTTCTCATACATAGATAAAACATTATGAGAAATGCTGAAAGGGGAGGTGAGCAGTATCATTTAATCGAGCCAAAATTTTAACAAACAAAATCAAAAAGCTTTTTGTGGACAGCTATATTGTATAACCAATTATTTTTCAATTTTAATAGAAACATGAAAATCTATAGTTTACACTTAAGAAATTTCTGTCAACTGCAAGTACTTTCCTCACTCAGAATCAATTGGATTTCATAATATACCTCTACTACAGTCAGATTGTCAGTGTTATGTTCTTTCCGTTGATATGCCACCTCTATTAAAGACAATATATATTATCAATATAAAAATCAAATTGCACCCGGTTACCATGCCAACATGAAATATTTATAAAACCATTGCTCCTACATATAAACTTCACACCATATATTTGCACATTCTGGACTAGCAGTTATGTATATGTGATGTCAAATTAATGTCTTATAATGCCTGAAATAAATGTAAGTCATTTAAATGCTACTGTACAAACAATAACTTTCAATATTAGTCACTTTCTATATTATTTTACCAGAAGACATACCTGAAAAAAGTGAAAAATCAAACCCATTTTCGAAAAATACGAAATCAAACATAAGATTCCATCAGGAGGTCATTACCTCTAAAACATTTACTATCATATATTATTAGAAGTATCACATCTTCCTTTTGTTCATGAAATAACATTTTTCTCACTTTGTTCATTGATAATTTTAATGAAAAATTGAATATCAAAACTTTAAGTTAGAACAAAAAGCTTAATGTAGTTTTGACAAATAATGTGTGGACTTTTCTTCTAATGCCACATTTACCGTACATAAAGTTGCCATGGTGATATACTGCTGTCATATAGTAGTTTCAAACATTGGATGGCAGAATAAAGGCACTATGTTAAATGTGATATGTTTATCATCTAAAATAAAGCATTGGTAAATATGGTAGTCATGATAAATTAGTCATTTATACAGTATAATATACAGAAAATGTAGATAAAATAAAACAACAATCCTTAAACAGCTGTGGTGAACATATGTATATATGTATATATACATTACAAAAACAGATACATTATCATCAACTATATACACAGTCTATTGTGTAGTAAAGTACATTTTCTCTTTTGTCCAAAATAATATATAGCATTTAAAAAGTGAACAGAGTGTGGTGCATACACTGAGCTTACAAAGCTGCAAAAACAGTCAATATATTTACATTGAACTTTTTTTGGCATCAGTCGAGTTAAATTATACATCATTAAGGCTTTATATTACATCATCAAAGTTTGTTTCTCATATATTACATCAAACATATAGTAGAGCAAATATTGACAATTATGCATAATTCCTAGAGAATATATCACATAAGGTAAAGTGTGTACATGATTACAATATAAATATGCACTTAAAAATATCAACATCTTTACTATACAGCTTTACTCTAAAAATCAAAGTATCCTAAAAATTTAGGCAAGCGCTTAACCTGTAAGTTCTAGTTTAGCTAAAAGCACATTTACTGTTCTCTTTCCTCTTCCATTTGGTTCATAAGAATAACTGTGTTTTGCACAACAAATTAGGTATCTCCAAAATCTATTTAAAAAAACACCAACAAAAAAAAACTGTTGATTTTGTTTGACATGAAAATGTCAATAATTCAGGGATCAAATAACAAAAACATATTTTACAATTACAGTAACAAAATTTCACTCAATTAGAACAATCTATTAACACTTGGGTCAAAATTTGAAAGTAATTTGTACACATTCAAAAAAGGGGGAGATTTTCATAAAGTGATCAGGTAATTTTTTAACCTAGAGAGCATTTTACTTAAATATGTATGGAAAACGTGTTATATGATGAAAGTGTCATCATGATATATTAACATACATACATGGAGTAATTCTAGCAAACATTATAGTCATTCACTCCAACAGGATATCTATTGACATGCCAATTAACTGAGATTATATCTTCTTCTAAGCATAGAAAACTATGTGCATTTCCTTTCAACTTCTAAATTTCTCAACAATTTTAACTATAAACTGTTTATATTTCCAAATGCTCTGGTTAAAGTATAAACAGGCATGTTTGCATATTGAGCTGACTAAAACTACATTCAAGGGAGATCACAAATGAACGGAGCAGCACTAAGGTAACTATGGTTACACAACTTGAATATCCTAGAGTTATCCCCTCTTCTTTATCGAGCATGCTTTTTGCAGTATGGTTTTCCAGATTTAGCATAGAAAGCTTGACCTTCCAAGTTCACCTGGCAAGTCTGAAAAAGTTAGACAAAATGATCTGAATAAATAATAATAATTATATAAATAATTATATATATATATACTTGATGAAATATTAACTTGATGAAATAAAAAGAAGAAAAACCCACATCATTATACAATCAAATTCATAATAAACAAATTTTTGAGTTTGCAAAATGTTTTTACACAATTTAACATAATCAGAATAAAAAGAGGATATTGAATGAGAGTAGTTTAATACTAAATTTATTGAACGAGTTGAATAAAATCATATTATGCGAGCCTCTGGCGAGCGTAATATTGTTTTATTCAACAAGTTCAATAAACATAGTATTGAATCTACACGAATATAATATTCTTTTTATCAAATATATAAAATAAGAACTGTAAACTGTTAAAAAGAGTCATTTTCCATTGATGCGCCTTTAGTGTAACGCTTACATTAGAGCGCTTTAACACTATGTTTATATATAGCGCAAATGACGTCACGTCAAAGTGTTATTACACTAGTGTAAAATCGTTTTTTATTAAATGGCTTTATTACACTCCTGCGCCGCGGTTTATGTGATAATGATGAATATGAGAGCTGACCCTAAGAAGGACCTCCTTTTGAACTAAAATTATTTACAAGGTGTAAACTTCATGAGAATCAATTCTAAAAGAAATGTTCTAAATAAAACAAAAACTATGTAATTTTCCACCTAAAATGAAATATTATAAATAGAAATATTTCAAACTAAAAGGTTATGATACTATATAACATACAGAGCAATTGAAACACTCAGAGTGGTAGTTATTTCCCAAAGCCTCTACCCATTTGTCACCAGGTTCAATGGGGAAATTACAAGAAGAGCACATTGTCTGGTAAAGTTGACGCCAATCTGTAATGTATAGATTTTGTTCATATTTAAATAAAGTATGATACAACACTTAATCATGTGAAGGAATACAAAATATGTATTAAAGGAATAAAAAAAAATTTAATAAGTTTTGCAAAGTTGACAAACTTATTTCAAAAGAATTGTGTGTTCCATTTATCCAGTATGTCAAAATATTACAGATACACAATTACTCACTCAGCTACTAGGTTGCACATACAGTTTTCCCTAATTAGTCAACAGTTCTATACCATAATACAATTAAAGGACAACTCATGATAAGAATATTTAATAAAAATGAATTAAAATTAAAACAACAATATTATCTATATTCAATATGACTATGGTTCAATTTGCTTTTGGTTGTCAACCCAGTTAGTTATTAAAGTTCTATCTCTCTAATAATTTCATCCCTTTATTACTCCCTGTAAGTTACCTTTCCTTAAACTTGAGATATAGTTTGCAAAGTGAACATATAACATACCATTCTCACAGTATGGGTTACCATCTTCAAGATGAAACTGTGTACCCCCTATAGGCTGCTTACATTGAAAGCACAAGAAGCAAGCTGGGTGATACTGCTTGTTTAGAGCATTTACACATTCCTGTAAAATAAATAAAATATATTTATTGTTGGGTATTTTTTCTACAATGATAATAACAATGGCAATATTCCACTAATTTTACAATATTAAAACATAAGTTCCTATTTGTTTCATTGGGTTTTACATCACACCAACACAGTATAGGTCATATGGCAACTGTCCAGCTTTACTGGTGGAGGAAGACCTTCAGTGCATTATTTCAGGCACAAACGGGCACTTGAGTAGAACCATCGACATTCAGTAAGCTAGCTGGATAGCTTCCTCACATAAAAGAATCCAAAGTCCCTATCAGGATTCAAATCCACATGATGGGAACATGTTGTTTAAAGTCAACAACCATAACCACTCAGCCACGGACGCTCCAAAAGTCCCTACATTTACATGTAATTTGCATGCTGTCATGCTATAGTGGAAGGATCACAGCCTTCACTATTTTCTGTAAATTTAACATTGTCAATAACAAGTTCGTTTAACTGTCCCTATATCTGTTCACTGGCATTCAGACAGTAGTACCACATAATATCTAGAAAAGGTTCCTGGTAAATAAACAATTTCATGTTTGAAATTCAACTTTTTCTACATTTGTAAGTCTGTTTTATTTTTGTCACAAATGTTTGAAAATTTTACCCCTATAATAGCAGCTTCACACTTGGCACAGTGAGGAGCAAAGTAGAGCTCATAGTCCTTCTCACAGTAGAGGAATCCATTCTCCTCAACAAACCCAATATCTATAAGTTTCTCTCCACAGCGAGGATTGGCACAGATAAAGTGATCCGGACACCAGCTCTTTCCCATGGCAACAACAAATGGCCCTCTATAAAATAATAAACAGTTTATGTCAAACCTATCAAAACAATAACAACACATTTACTTTTATATGCAGTTGTTTGCTTAGATAATTCTTCACAATGTCAAATTAACACAACTAGTATTATTATCTGTTTAATCCCATAAAAGTATAAACATTCTAATATATTTTTTTGCATCTCAAGTGTGATAAAATCTTCACCATTATTTTCAACAAACACAAAATACTAACAGGTACTTGAACTTATAAATAAACAGGAAATATTACTATATTGTCTTTAAATACACATTATGCAAGGGCATGATGCAAAACAATAACTCATAAAGGAGTAACCTGTTTTCCACCAACATCTCTATACAGCATTCATAAAAGAAACAAACTGGCTTTTTTCAATTAAGACTGGCTTGTTGAACTTATATGAAAATCAATTCTATAAAGATTAACCTGATGGGAGCTCCACATGAGGCACAGACGGGAACCCTTCCACCATCCCCTGTCTTCACTACAGCATCACCTAGTTTACCCCTAACGGCACCTACACCTGTTGGTTTAGGTGGGGCGCCACCACGAGGAGCTGGTGGGGCTTGAGGAGGCGGAGCCACACTGGGAGTGAAAGGTTTAGCAGGTGGTGCGCTACCTCCACCTTGTCCTGGAGTCCAAACACCTGGCTTTGGTGCTGTAATATAAAAAAATACCATCTTAAGATAGTATTTCTAAGAACAAGTAACAAAAAGGATCCTGTTTTGATACAAATGTTAAAAAGAAATCAGTCAAATCATATAGGCTAACAGACATAATTACACCAAACATTTGTACTGTATAAAGTGAAAGAGTCATAACTTATATGTAAGAAATAAATCAACTTAGAACACACAAATGTATCTGGATTAGAAAATTTCTTTTAGATATTGATTCAATTTCAGACAGCAGTCACTGAAATATTGCCTTTAGTCTTATGCTTATTTGAACATTGAAAAAAAAATGCAATTTAAAATAATGATCTATGATGACAAAAATGTAAATATGATACAACACAATTTTCTTGACCTTCAAAGAGAGTAATTGTACTAACATATTACTTGTCTATGATAGTATGTTATGATAGTATGTTAACAATAGATTTACCTGCTGGGGCTCTAGCTGGCTGTGAGGCAGGCTTATCACTGTAAACAACAATATTTATAGCTTTTAGTTTATAAACTACATGTAGTATAAATTGTGGACAATAACACTTGTATTATAACATTTATATAAACTATACTGACTCTATGTAATATAAACTGTGAACAATAACATTTGTATTATAACTTACAGTTCATATACTATGTATAATACATATAGTAAACAAAAACAATGGTATTATATCACTTTTAGTTCATGTGTAGTACCTTGTAAACACTATGAAACTATACTCTAACTCTTAAAATAAGGATTTTTAACGAAAAAAATATATAAATTTCATATGAAAAAGGTAAAATACAATAATATTTATTTAAAAGCAGTTCATACAATTAAAATATCTTATGGATTTATAAAGATTTGCAAAAAAAAGCACTCCATCTTGACTATATAATTACCCACTGCCACTGGATATTAATTATTTATTATGTACTATTATTATATGCCAGTAAAATCTGCCACATTGTGTAATAATTTTATTAAACCTGTTACACCCTTCAAGCCTACTTGCCAACTAGCAATTCTAAAACCTACCATTATATTGTATGATATAAAGATATATGTTAGCATCTATTATTGCATGATAAAATATAGCTATATCTAGGATTAAAGCAGAAGATCTTTTATAGAACACAAACAATTTTTCTTTTTTAATTGAACTCTTTAATTTTATTTTTATTATTTTATTTCACACAGCGATTAAATTAAAAGGAAAATGAAATCTAACAATTGATGGTGATAAAATATATATATCTTTATTTAAAATTATAATAACAAACCTGTTTAATTTATATAATTTAATTATACCTCTACTGGTTTCACAATTTCATCAGGAGGATAATGAAAATATTGATATGGTAACGACGTCATTAACGACGTCAATGACGTCAACGTTAATAAATACATAATAAACTGAAACTGTAACTGTAAATAAATACAAGGGACGCCACAACAGTCAATTTAGTTTAGGTTGAAATATTTGGATGACGTTCTTTTCTCTTTGCTTTCTTGACACTATACTGTTTTGATGTCACTTAGAGTGGTGTCCCTTGTTTTTATTTGCGTTGACCTCATTTCCATATTAATATTTTCATTATCCTCCTGATGATATTGTATAACCGGTAGAGTAGCCTGGGTTCCAGTCTGTCGATTTTTTTATGTGCTTCTCTCAGAAAATCGACATACTATCAAAACATGATCAAGTATGAAATAGCGCTTATGTTATGAATAAGCAAAAAATATCAGCGCCTGAATCTCAGGCTAATGTATATACTGCATATTAATGCTGTAAACAGAAAATGTCTTTAGCCTTTCAATATTATATACTTTTATCCATAATTCTAACCAATGCTCTGTAATCAAGCTTATTAAAAAAGCACTGCAATCTGGTGATAGCTATTTAAAGCAAAAACCCAATTTAATTAGCATTTCTTTGATTCAAGCACAGCTATGCCTCAACTCACGCAGACTTTACCATAATTGACGCTCTAATTCTTTAAATGAACCAGATTGTTCAGGACTGCGTAAAACTGCTTGGTACGGGCGGAGCTCACGCTCTCGCACCAACTGAAACGTTTCTGACGGGTATTGTATTTCTGATTCACCAAAATTTCTCGGACTTTTACCAGAGGCGTCAGTGTCTTCTACATTATTTGATTCTCTGTAAATATTTGACCATGCTACAACTGAACACCCATTCCTCATATACAAACATCATGCTATATAACATTGCACTAAAATATCTAGGGATTTTCTTGTTGCCATCTTAACCCCCAAAACTACAATAAGCTTTTATACTATATTTATATAGAAAAACTTTTGTATCATACCTAATGTATAAGCTTTTTCTTGTGTTAATGAAATACAATCGCTACAAACTAAACTATTAAACCAGTTGTACACTTTTGTTCAAAAACTATTTTCAATATTAAAACTTTGTGTTGATACATAATTTTTGTCCCTGTACATTACTTTGCTTGAGTTAATTTATTAAAATATTAATGGGTTTAAAAAATAATTAATCATTTTGAAAAAAATTATCCTCCCATCAAATTTGTTAATATGCTAAATTAAGAAATGTTAGTTTAATGAACCAATGTGTACAACTATTAATAAAATATATCATTAGATTATTTTACACCTTTTTTTAATTCACATGAATTTTCATGGACACACAACAATAAAAACCCAACTTGACTTTCTGATTTTATCAAAATCGCACATGTAATAAGATTAAATCATAAAAGAGCTATAGTATGCAGTTACCCTCTACCCCTTTACCTTTTCTACAGGGTATTTTCTATCAGTACACACACCATATTCTACATAGTTTAACTATAGTTAAACACAGTCAGCCAACACTTGTTTCATTTTTTTTCCAAATATGGAATGTATGATGTGTTATTACCCAAGCTGTTTCTCTAACTGCCTTATTGTCCTCGTTTGTTTTACTTCCACAGGCTTTTCCTGCGTTTCCTCTTTATTTTCCTGCTCACGTATAAGTTTAAATGTTTCTGAGGGACGGTACAAAAGTTTACCCTGAGCATCAAATTTGTTACCCTCATCCTGTTCTCCATTTGTTCTGGAAAAAGTACATGCAAAACCCATGCAGGAATTTATTATAAACAAAATAACATGGGTGCTAATGTAAGATATAATCTACAAGTTGAAGCTACAAGTCAGCAGCATATTGTTTACAATTTCTTCACATTATAACAAACTTATATCATACAAGACAATCCACTGATAAAAGGAGATGTAAGTAAGTCTTTATGTCTATTGTTTTTATGTCTATTTTATGCATCTTAGTTAAGTCTAAAATAAAGCACTTACTTTACTCAGATTTTTAATAACCACCATGGCAATAATATTTGGGTATGCATACTGACTTATAACTGACATATAATGAAAGGATTTTTCTATTGTTGAATCATATAAATCAGAAAAATAACTTTCTACATTTCATAACAACTTTAAGCATTTAATTAACCGGAAGATAATCCTTTAATTACAAACATGTCTCATATTTGTTTCTTATCACAAGTCTACCATTTTTAACTGAAAATCATCTATAAATATCCTTTCTAAGTTTCATATACAAAAATATGGACATGAGTTGTATCTTACAGTTACCTCTATTGCAAAAAAATGTAAAAATGAGGGGGAAAAATGCCTTTATTACTTCCAGTATACAAAAAGTCACCATGAAAATACAATTAAATTCAAGGTCACTTCTTGTTTATTTTAATGTCAGTTTCAATAATGCATGTTGCATGCATGTTAATTTAATTCAGTGACAAATGTATTAAATACATGCTATATAATTAAGTGAAAATAGAGACAAAGAAATATTTAATACAAATTTAGTCTGGGATCTCAACATTCTATACAAGCAGTTTCAATTTGCACTTTTTGCTAAGAAATCATTTTCTTGAACAGTATAAGAATGATCAGAGAATAGACAAATTGGAAGACACTATTATAGATTGACTAAACAAGAATACAGAACCATGCTATAAATAAGGGATTTAGAGAGAGTTTATAATGTCATATCATTTCTAGCAACTCTAATTTAAGGAATGGAATATATATGTGACAGATCAAAGTCTATAATAATATTCAACTGATATTCCAAACATATTTCATCTGACTGAACATTAATGAACATTTGAAATCAAAACAAATATGTATAAGCCATTGACATGAAAGTTCTTTCTCATGTAGGCAGAAATACAAGGCATTGCAAGCTTGCCCTTTAATAAATCAAGGATTTCAATCTTCTTCATAGCAATACCTTTGCCTTGATGAGTAAGGGAAACAACAATGCTCCACAATGGCATCATACAAACAGAAAACCAGTCCAAGAAAACAATATATAAAAACATAAGAAAACTAGTCTAGCAAGGGAGATCACTCCATGCTAACAATACCTCAACCAAGGGGCATTAACTGTCCCTGGAGCTTGTGGTGGCTCTGTAAAAGTTAATCATTATTTTTGTGAAATTTATAAGAAATAAAGTGTTATTAAAGTAAATATAACAATGCAGACTCCAGCAGCAGGATCAGTATATCACCAACAGAGAGAAGACTAGGGTTTTTTTTGTATTATTTTCTCATAGCTTATTTTTCTTTTCTTCAGTGACATGAATTCTAATCCAATAAAAGAAGTTCTAGTTGACACTATGTTGGTTAATAACTGTCACCTGCCCTGGCTGCACCAATAACAATGAACTATCTTTACTGCTGTATAACACCTGTATAGATAGTCTAATGTTTTATAATATTTCATGTACTGTTATATCCAAACTAATTATGATGTTTGGCAATACATGACATTTGGGTGTATTGATAATTACCCTTCATTAGATTCCTTTACATTGGTTGTAAGAGTTTGTTGCTTTTGAATATTTGCACCTGAGTAAAGACCCATAGGTGAATTGAACTGTTTGTTTACACCTGCATTTGGTGACGGACTCCTACGCAAGTCAACCGTGGGTCGCAGGGCAGCTGGTGGGTCTGTAAAAGAGCTTACTATGACAACATTTAACATGCAAATATCAGAACAATATAGAACGCCATAGTTATTCATGAAAATAGTTCAATAAAAGATGCATCCTTAATAATGTACTTGTGATAAATAATATTTCTTTTATATACATACATCTATTAAATCAGAATAGCTCATGATAATTACATACATTATACGCTGTTACAGCTTTAATGTATTTTGTTTTTTGTGATATGATTCAATAAGAAACAGCAAATGTAATTTCTATTACATCATGAAGGTGGTATATACCACACCTTACATGTAATTACATGATCATTCTTGCTGCACAATGTCATTAATCTACAAATGAACTCTCTAATATTTACTATTCCTTGCCTCAAGTCACATTACAAAGTTCAAGTCTGTTCTTAACCTGTTAGGTTAACTGTAATTAACACTAATTACTGTACTTTCAATGTTACTGACCACTGTCCTAAAATTAACCCTCCTTAAGTTTATTTTATCAAATTTTGTAATTTGTCCCTCTTTCTAATTGTTATATCTTAACTACTATGCTGATTAAAGTTACAGAATTGACATGATGACCTGACTCTATACTGCCTAACAAAGGTAAGTATTTATTCAGGTACTAATCAAGTTAAAATAAAATCATGTCATTTAGTTCAGACAGATTCTTTAATGTCAACATACACAATATTTTTTGTGTACTTACTAAATTTCAATTCATAATTCAAAAGTAATATTTTGATTATTGATAATTTACCAGCAATATAACATCAACAAGCTAGTCATAAACAAAATTTATGATTTCCCTCCTAAATATTACAATATCTTTTTTCAAAACAAACTAGAAATGTGTCCATAGGACACGGATGCCCCCACACGCCACTGTTCTGTCAATCTTATGACTCTAGGTCAAATATTTTTTGGACTACATGTGCCACAAGTTGAAAACTAAAAATCAACAAAGGGCCATAATTCTGTTAAATTTGGTCGCAGCAAAAATTCCTTCCTTTACTACCATCTACACATTAAGGTTGTTAATCCCTGGAAGTTTAAGCAAAATCTGCCATCCGGTTTAAAAGGAGTTGCGTTCACAAAATTTCTACATAGTAAATAATGAAAAAATCAACAAAGGGCCATAATTCTGTTAAATTTGGTTGCAGCAAAAATTCCTTCCTTTACTGCCATCTACACATAAAGGTTGTTCATCCCTGGAAGTTTAAGCAAAATCTGCCATCCGGTTTAAGAGGAGTTGCATTCACAAAATTTCTACATAGTATATAGTGAAAAAATCAACAAAGGGCCATAATTCTGTAAAATTTGGTCGCAGCGAAAATTTCTTCCTTTACTACCATCTACACCTTAAGGTTGTTCATCCCTGTAAGTTTAAGCAAAATCTGCCATCCAGTTTAAGAGGAGTTGCGTTCACAAAATTTCTACATAGTATACAGTGAAAAAATCAACAAAGGGCCATAATTCTGTTAAATTTGGTCGCAGCAAAAATTCCTTCCTTTACTACCATCTACACATTAAGGTTGTTCATCCCTGTAAGTTTAAGCAAAATCTGCCATCCGGTTAAAGAGGAGTTGCGTTCACAAGATTTCGGGACGTACGGACTGACAGACGGACGGACGGACAAGTGCAACGCTATATGCTCCCACATTGTGGGGGCATAAAAAGGTCACTAGTTTGGATAAGGATAGGCTTTTTTTCAGCTGTACTTATTACCACTGTGAAATGAGGTTCATGAAATCATGCACATTTAGAGCCCAGCATGAATTATTCATGAACAGTTCATGAATAGTTGTTCTTGAGTATATTTCAAAGCCAGTTCAAGAACTCCTTTTGCAAGAACTCTTCAAAAATAGTCTCATTTACACTTCAGGAACTGGTTATGAACCTTTCATGCATGTTTAAAGTTAACTTTTAATGAATAATTCATGAACAGTAACTGTTCATTTTGTGCAGAGATCTAAGCTAAGATACAAAAATCCCTGTCCTTAAAAAGTAGTATTCAGTGAGTACTGTAAGAATGTTAGGTAAAAATTGACATTTCAAACCAAATAAAGAGCAACATGCATGAAAACATCATACAGTAAAGGAATTTTAGTTCCTGTAAAAACATTAAAATTCTTGATGCCAATCTTTACCAATTTGCAAGAGATATGAATAATTTGGCACTTAGATTTATTATGAGTTTATCAGCTTTGTAACAATGACTAGAATTACGGCTTTTTCAATATTGAGGTAACAATATTTAATTACTAACTTAATTTTTTTTCAATAACAAAAATGTAAATAGATAACTTGAAACAAGTGATTGAAACATTATATAATTGAATTGCAAAGGACATGTAATTTTATATTAGAATGAGTAAAAAGTAAGAATTAACTTAATAATTGTCAAATTTCTGTTACACATAACAACATACCTTGTCCACTATCAAGGGTATCTTGCAAGAATTTAAATGACCTAGATTGATGGCTACCAGGACCTGTTTTGTCTTCAACATCAGCATACTTGGAATAATTTGTTGGGCTGAAAATAAATACAGAAACATGTGTAAATAAAACTTGCACAGCAGTTTTCACATCAACTGACTAAACCAAACAATGAGTTTATAAAGGTTATCTGAACCACTCTAAAGTGTCCATAACCTGCAACTTACCATCATTGGTGGTATGAGGAACCACTCTCAAATGTCCAGTTCCTGGAACTAACCAATACTGAGGAAACATGATTATAGGACTTGAATCAAAAATTAGTGTGTTGAAAGGCATAAACCATAACCACTAGACCACACCCCAAACAATTTAATAAGTACCTGCTTCCTCTGTAGAATAACATGTAGGTTACAGTATAGTATGCCACTTGTACAAAATTTAATATATGTAATTGTTACTTTGTCATTTACTGACATTTCAACTCTCCTGTAATAACCTTAAAACAGTTACATGTAGAATGGCCTGGGCATATCCTAAATATTACTAAGTCACTTTTTTTCCTCATTCACTAATAAATATGCAATTTTCCATTCAATCTATGTCATGGTTGCCTTGAAGTTTGAAATTAAACACCTGATCATGGCAGGAAGCAATATATTCAACAATTTATTACCATGCTAACATTTCATCAAACATCTACCTGTTAAACTTACAGAATGTAACACCACAGCCTGTATAAATCTTTAAAATATAAAAATATGCATTCAAGAATGCTGTGAAATTTAAATGTTGCAAAAATGAGGAGAAAGCCTTGCAGAACAGTGTATTTTTGGCAGCTTGTCACTTAACTTAAATGGGGAGTTTTCTCTTCTTTCTACTTCTGTTAGTTATAGGGTATTTTTGCAGTCTATTTATTTAAATTCTAAGGTGTATTGATTGAGGACCTGTTAACGTGCACTGAAGGTATAATGTGAACATCATGTATATACCAAGAGAGCTATATTAAATGATTTCCTTGCTGATATTGAACAGTGGTTTGTCTAGATTCAGGATCTGTCTTATGACTGTTTAAGTGATTGAAGTATTAAAACAAGTTAGCAGGCAATATATATAGCCATTAGCGCCAAGTTATACTGGCATTAGAGCTATGTTATACTGGCTAGAGTCTTGTTATACCAGCTAACAAGGTTATACTGGCTATAGAACAATGTTATACTGGCATTAGAGGCGATAGAACCAGATTATACTAGCATTACAGTTATGTTATAATACCAGATAACCATGTTATACTGGCATTAGAGTCTTGTTATACTGGCTATAGAACAAGGATATAATGGCTATAGAACCAGGTTATACTAGCATTACAGCTATGTTATACTGATGTCTTGTTATACCAGATAACCAGGTTATACTGACATTAGAGCCATGTTATACTGGCTATACAACAAGGATATACTGGCTATAGAACCAGGCTATACTAGCTTTACAGCTATGTTTTACTGATGTCTTGTTATACCAGATAACCAGGTTAAACTGGCATTAGAGTCTTGTTATACTGGCTATAGAACAAGGATATAATGGCTATAGAACCAGGTTATACTAGCTTTACAGCTATGTTATACTGATGTCTTGTTATACCAGATAACCAGGTTATACTGACATTAGAGTCTTGTTATACTGGCTATAGAACAAGGATATAATGGCTATAGAACCAGGTTATACTAGCTTTACAGCTATGTTATACTGATGTCTTGTTATACCAGATAACCATGTTATACTGGCATTAGAGTCTTGTTATACTGGCTATAGAACAAGGATATAATGGCTATAGAACCAGGTTATACTAGCATTACAGCTATGTTATACTGATGTCTTGTTATACCAGATAACCAGGTTATACTGACATTAGAGCCATGTTATACTGGCTATACAACAAGGATATACTGGCTATAGAACCAGGCTATACTAGCTTTACAGCTATGTTATACTGATGTCTTGTTATACCAGATAACCAGGTTATACTGACATTAGAGTCTTGTTATACTGGCTATAGAACAAGGATATACTGGCTATAGAACCAGGTTATACTGGCATTACAGCTATGTTATACTGATGTCTTGTTATACCAGATAACCAGGTTATACTGACATTAGAGCCATGTTATACTGGCTATACAACAAGGATATACTGGCTATAGAACCAGGCTATACTAGCTTTACAGCTATGTTTTACTGATGTCTTGTTATACCAGATAACCAGGTTAAACTGGCATTAGAGCCATGTTATACTGGCTATACAACAAGGATATACTGGCTATAGAACCAGATTATACTAGCATTACAGCTATGTTATACTGGCTATAGTCTTGTAATACTGCCTTGACACATGCAGTTTATACTTGTCATTATCACCACTAGCAAACAGAGTTATTTATAAAAACAGTTAATTTTATTTTATATAATCAATCTACAGGCTATAAAAGTCTCCCTGCTCAAACTCAAATGTTGAACTAAGACTTTGTCTACAATTACCTTAAAAGGTAAATAAAACATGAGTAAATATTTGAAATGAGATATCTCCAGCTGGATGGGTGTTATCACATTTTGGTATTAGCCTGAAACTTTACTTTATGTGCTTTAATTAGGAAAAAATATGTTCTTAATGTACACTGATCCAGTACATGTATATAACTTAGGAATAATGACAATAAACAGTCTCAGATGTCTTTGTAATTCCAAATCAATGGAAAATCAAAAACTTCAACAATCTATATATGTTATCAGCTTCTGGAATCGTGAAATATGTTTGGATTAAATCCAGAATATGTGAGCACTTTTAGTAAAATTTAAAAGATTTTGTCTGAGTATTTTGAGAAGAAAAGATAGTGATGTAATTCATCATGAAAAACAGTAGGTGAACTTGCCAAACTATTTTAGTAACACCTTAGTCTCTGAATAAATAACTATAGAAAAAATGTCCAATAAAATGTGAAATTCTTTAAAGAGAAATTTTGTATATTTTGAAACATTACATTTAAATACAAGAAGGAAATATATATATGGTAGTATATGTAAAGATATCAAAATTATTATTGATTTATAAAAATATCTGAATCTATCTATATCCTGACATATTGTGCAGTGTTTATCTACCATATAGAGATGTATAATAACTTGGTTATCACTTGTATGATATATTATATGATGTGAATGTTTTACATATGGTTTGATCATTACAACAGATGTTTTCAGCTATGAGTAATATGCTATAATGTATTATTATACTGCATTATCATGTATGTATGTGTGATGTATTGTTATATGTGCATGTCATATAATTAGACAGTATAAAGATACCTTAGCACTGACTTCTTCTAATAGTCAGAGCATCTAGCTTATAGAAAGATCACAGCATACAAAATTGAATTAAAGAAATTTTATGCTTCCATAATATATAAACACATGCTCAATATGTGAAGTATCTCTATCTACAACTTCAGCATATTTAACAGTTATACAGGTACATTTGTGTATGTAACATAACTTGGCTTCACATGGGCTTTAACCATCTTTCATCATGCATAGTTCAGCCATTTATAAACTTCATGATCATACTAATTTTTAAGTATTTCCAACATCCTAATCTATGAGTAAACTGTTCAACTATTTTGGAGTCATTTACAGCATAGATGATATAAATTACTTACTTGATATTTAAATTCTGTGTCTGATGGGTAACAACGTCAATCTGTGGGGCGGAGTAGGGGGCTGGGGCTTTAGTAGGGGCAGGGGCAGCTCCAAATGGTTTAGGAGCTGTGTTATAACTCTGAAAAGCAATTAAAAAACTCACTTATAATATGTCTTTCTACTGTAAATAAACCAAACATAAAAACACAGTTCTTTCATCTTCAATTTCTAAAGTGAACATTAAAAGCTCTCATGGATAAGTTATTTAATAAGTATAAAGTCATATAAAGAATTTCATTACCAGTTATAGAAATGAAATCTTAAAAAACTTAATGAGTCATACGCCTGCATTAGAAATGGAGATTTAACTTAAAAAAAACATGAACCTATGACTCAATTAAACCTGTTTAACATATTATTTCTTTACAAACTCTAAATGGTATAGGGGGAAATGACCAGCATAGAGCCAGGACAGCCAGATAAGGTATCCATGCAGTCTGGTCTACACACTGTTATGTTGACTTTTTGAATTTGATGAATTGTAAGAAATTATCAAAGAAGAATTTTAATTCAAAGCATGACATGTTGAATACACAATGCAGACGGAGAACTGGCTAATGATAAAGTCAGATGTACCTGTGTGCCAGGAGCAGAACTTGGTGCTGCAGGACTCTGGTAAGATCCTATAGTTGGTGTTGAAAACTTGTCATATGTTTGTGCATTCTGTGTTCCACCTCTACAATTATAGAAAATGTACATTTTTTACATCTAACACATTATTTCACCATTCCTTCACTATAATATGATTATTATTCAAAACAAACATTTCTTTTTGTTTTGTAACTACATGTACTAATGTACTCATGAAAAATGAGAAAATTAAGATTTCTGCAACAAACTGCAATATAACTGTAGTGTATACCTGAAAATGGACAATTAATAAACTAGGCATTGTTATACATACAATGTAAATTGACCATACAATGTCAGCATTCATATATTGCCATTAAACAAAGTTGACCATTTTGTTTTAAAACTTCTATTTACATTTAAATATCTTTGTTCTATCAATGTAACACATAACAAAAGACTTTGACAACAAAAAAAGTTCTTTAAAATGAAAACAATAATTTTTATTCATAATTTATTCATATTATGTTGTGCTTTTCATATAGCTATTATAAAATGCTCACACAACTATACTATGCAGATCAACACAATCATTTATTGACCACAATACCATGCTACAACAACTGATAATGCACTCATAACATGTCTGAACTCAATTATATATTCAACTGCACTGTCTCACATTTCTATTTTATGTTTTATAATATATACAATCTGCATAAACATCTTTTCCCAAGGTGACAAACAGTTTTATATCTGATACATCTGAAAAACATTTTATTCAAATTGTGTTGGAGACTTAATAAAATTAAAATACTGAATGACCCAAGACAGTTTATGTGTTCATTGTATACAATAGACTTAAGTCCTCATATTATGTGTTTATTATAATCCCCTAACATGATGTACTTATGAAGTTGATCATTATCACACCAGTACTTTCTAACATGCCACAAAAGGTGTTGATTGTAACTCAAACAAAATGAAAAGGGTACCGCTATATGCGCCTTTGGCTTCCTTTATCATTTACCCTGGCAGAAGTGTTTCCAGAACACTGGGAATAGACAAATGCCTTGACAGAATCTTTGACCCAACAAGCCTTCCATGCATTTTAAGAAGCATTACAATTGAAGTCTTAAGTGTGATCTAGTCCTTTGAGCTACAATTAAACCAGGGTCAGGTGACACATCAAATTAATATGCCAAACATGATCTTTGTCTGGCTCTAGCACATGGATGTCTCTACAGGGTATTGAACTGTTCACTTATAATGGGAGATAGATGATAACAGATAACAGATAAATGGCAAAGTTATGGACCAGACAAAAAAGCAAAAACACAGACAGCAGCTATGGCAAAAAAAACATCCCACAACTAATATTTTCTGTGTTTGACCTTCATAATGGGTTAAAGTAAAAATATTAGTGTATCCCTTGCTCATGCCTTTGACCTTTAATCATTTACAGAAGATATGAGATAACAAGATACATGGCCATTTTCATTTAAATAAGATAAATATAAACAACAATCTTGGCTGCTAAACGTAGAGGTCATAGATCTATAGATTAACTTTTTACATATTTTAACATTAACATGTATTCATAAATCAGTCAGCTTTGATATACATGCAACAATCTAATGCAAAAACTAGAAAAAATAAAGCATTTCTGATTGTAGTTCAACCATGAAAGATAGAATGTATTTTGCAAATGCTTCATTACTTAATGTTAACCTAGCATGAACCTATAGTACAGTAGCAGGTTCATGTAGAACACAATTATATATAGGTGATCACTGCTGTAGAGAAAGATAGAGAATGTTGAACATATTGTTACCTTGCCAACATCTCCTGGCATACCTATCATTTTGATCAGCGTATGGCCAAGTCAATTACTATAACTGTTATCCTACCCTTTCAGCAATAATAACTATTTGATATATTTAACTTTCTAGAACTTGTGTCCATTCATTAAACAGATTTAATGGATCTTTTTGGTTTCCATGTCCTAGAAAATAATTCAAGAGCTAATTCCAATGTTGGCAGTTTGCTTTTTTTCACACCCATTATCTTAATTGACTGATTATTTGTGTAACCCTGAATTTCTTAACCAATTTTCTTTTCTGCCAGGTGGTTTATGCAACTTGTATAACAATTAAGATGATGATGTGTATATACATGTGCATAAGGAAGTTAAACAATATGTTGTCAAGTGTGAGCTGCCCATAAAAATGACTAATGACTTATGTGACTATATCAGCATACATTAGTAAGTTATTACTGGCATTATAATGCAGCATACCATGCAATTATGTTACTTTAGTAGACAATATTCATATAGACCTACAACTGAGTATGTCATTAACTGTGTTACCTGCAGCACTTAGTACCCTCTGGGTTACAATATGAGCCGCGTCACGACAAAACCACCATAGTGCGTTTGCGATCAGCATGGATCCAGACCAGCCTGCGCATCCGCGCAGTCTGATCAGGATCCATGCTGTTCGCTATCAGTTTCTCTACTTGTAATAGGGTTGGTAAGCGAACAGCAGATGCGCAGGCTGGTCTTGGCAAACCCATTATGTTGGTTTTGTCATGGCACGGCTCAATTATAACATTCTTCTTATTTCTATAACCAGTAACAACATAGTACTGGAGTCACCAGAAAATGACCAACCAGAATATCAAATTATTAACTTAGTAGCTACATGTATAGACAATATAAACATAAATCTAGCAAAGGAAGGCTAAATTACTGACTGTCCTGATCTATAAATCTTTTATTTTCCAAATTGAATTAATAAACTTCAATCAACAATATATTTTGATTCTACAGTTCTGTAAAGCAAAATGTTACTCAAGTTCACACAGTCCTTGAACATTCTTTAAGTATTTCATGAAAGCCCTTCACAAGGTCTTCAAACATAACTTTACCTATGTTGCTTATATTACAATTTTTCTATATACTTCCTGGCAAAGATTCACTGAAAACAGACTGTAATAAAACAGTCATGAAGAAGCCTATAATTTTCAAGCAATGATCAAAAACTAAACTTTACAACCTTTGAACAGTTACATATTATCTGTTGTATGCATTATCAATATACCATACTGCAAGGTCTAGATAGAATGGACTCCACCTTGAATATCTAATCATAAAGCAAATTAAATCACTTAGAATGTTATCTAAAATTCTTTCATTTATTGCACTAATTAAGCATTTGTTTTATATCATTTATCAAGAATTATGTTGAATATTTCTACATACAGTAAAGTCTCACAAAATATTTTCTACAAATTTTAAAGATTCTGATGAATTTCAGACATTCCAAACAAATGTTCTGCCAATATTTTCAGCCAACAATGATTCTGCCTTTCATATTAAAAACAGTTTGCTGAGAGATACAGTTTAAACAGACTGACTGATCCTTAGAATTCATCCATAAATTTATTTTAAAACATTGAATTAATGCTCTTTTAAAGGAAGACAAATGAAATATACACAGATAATAATTAAACATGTATTCTGTACAAAAAATATCTTAAAAGAAATTAATTAGGAGCAAATTTGTGAAGATTGGAAGACAAGGAAGACTGCACATTATGCCCTATGAAATTTTAGGGAATACCTGTATACAGCTACATTGTACTTGTCACTCACAATTTACACAAACTAAAGCTACATGACAGAAACAGAGATTTCATTTAGCTTAGTTATATACCATGTACACAGGAATTTAATGTATGTAATCTCATTTTCAATTTGTTTCACTTACAAAGTAGCACGGATCAAATTTAGTTTACATCTTTAAAGCCCTAACAAAGTCACATTGTTTAATCTTTCAAGATAAAGTAAAGTAACATTGGTGTGACTTCTACCAACTTTTGTCCTTCTGCAGATCTCTTCTTGTGTTCCTTTTAGACCATCTAAAATGATTTTCAATTACATTTAACCTAAACTTAACTGTAGTCAGTTATTTTAAGGTTGTTTAAAATCTTTTACTATAAAAAACAAATCCAGCATGAGCAGCCATATCATTGTCATTTTTATCTTAAATAAATCAAAAACTATTTTGTTATCCTTTATATATACTAAAAGGTAATTTATTTCATCAAGTCCTCCTTTTATTTCTTCTATTCATACAAAGATTATAGTATATTTCATAAACCATAAACCTCAAAAAGACTTGATGTCCTCATTAATTTTCATTTTGTGAAAACTTAAATTCTCTCAATTTCATCTCAAATATGTTATCTCATTAAACAAAGATATACCAACAATGTTTAAATGGTAATAGTAAGATTCAAATTCTGTAAAATACGATTGTTAATTCAATCTGGTATTCGAGTTGACTACTATGTCAACACACACAACAATATTGAAAAGTCTCATGTCACAATTGCCACCATATATAATTACACAATTTATTCTATACACACCATGCTGTTGTAAACAAACTTGTATTTTATTATGAATGCAATAGCATGCCTTGTGGTGGCAATTTTTTTTGTGTTACTGCGGAAACAATCAAAATATTTTCATGCTGAGTAATTGAAACACTTTAATCTGAAGGAAGAGGTTATCTCTATCAAGTATGACAGCAGCTGAACTTCCCTCCAAAATTGACCAAACTAATTATACACTGAAATAATTCAGATCTTGCTTTTGTTTCAAACAGGAAAACAATTAAAATATACCTGTTACCAAATACTAAGCCCTCATGATGCTAACAAATACATAAAAACCAAGGAATTCATTTAAACTAACAGATGTTTTATTCTTAAACTGAAAGTTAAAGCAAAGCCTTATATGGGAGGAGAATGAAATTAGCCTTTACAGAAGTCCCAGGTGGCCTTACTCGAAACATAGCCCAATAAAATGTCAACCATTACATGCCTGCTGGATATAATTATGTATGTAATGTATCATCACTAAATCTGCTGCCACAATCATGTGTTGTAATCTATAGACTGATAAATAAGCTAGAAATCAATAATGATAAGTATCTCAAGATATTTCTGACAGATTGGATATTTCGCCAACTATAATCATTGCTTTCTACAGGTGAAATTAGACACAAGTCATGATAAAAGTATAAAGAATGGAAATGTCAAACAATGATGATAAATAATATGAAAAAGCAGTTTACTAAGGAAACTATCAATTTATGACAGTAGGTAATACTCTGGTAATCCTTACTCAGCAATATTTGTTAAAAGGACTTCCCCTGCATTGATCAGACAGCAAAAACATTGCTTTGTGACAACTTGTGTTCAGTCAAACCAATAAGTCAGTAATATGCCAATTAAGATGATTTGAACATAGATGAACTCGATACAAGCATAGATCACATAAAGCTATGTAATACTTTAATTCATAAATGAAAGTAGTTTTGCTGAACACTTAAAAGTTGTCTGACATAAACAATAACCTGAGTAAGTTACTCAAGACTAGATGTTTTGTTAACTTAAAGAGCAAAATTCTTTTAGTGCTGCTGCATTCCAAACCATATATAGGACGCCTTATCAGTTATCAAGCCCACTATAGACAATAGACTGTTGCAGGCCTTACAGCGTTGATATATGTACATGTAATGTATTTGACATTTCTGATTACACTGCTATGAGTTAATCAGTAATTGAGCTCGAAACAACAATGGCTTTCATCTTTTATTTTGGAATGAAAACATATGCCTTCTTATTTACCAGAAAACATACCACTATTCCCAATATATGTGTCCAGACAGATCCAGCCAGCTGTCCAGATCTTGCTACCTGATTAGACACTGATCTTTTTATCCTACCTTAGTGCAATCTGCTCTCAGCCATTCATAATTACACAAAATATGCATCTTAGTATAGGTATTACTAAATAATATAAATAATATATTGTAACATTACAGAAGAGTCTATTGCCAGGTAATATGTTACTGCAGACTGACATATATACCTGGAGTGTGCCTATCATTGTATCATGTAGGTGTTAATGCTGGAAACTCTGGTATGTACCGCTGATTAGATTAACTAAAAACATATGTGAAGACATTAGGAGAAGATGAGCAGCAATGTACACAAAACAAAAACGTTGATCTATTTGTTATTTATGTCATTCTGATGTATCTTAATATAAAATATGAACAAGCATTCAAAGTCAACAAGCACTGATGAATGATAATGTTTTAACAATGAAATAAAAAAACAACCTGATTTCCAAAGGTTAATGATTTACTCATATAACTAACATAATAAAATGAAGCAATTTACTTAATTCTGTTTAATCCACATAACTATATGAAAGTGTGACAGAAACATAAATTATTTGTTATTGATACTTCAATACTTTCCCTTTTATTCCACTCTTTAAAAAAATCTTTAAAATACTATACTGTTTTTGTATGAACCCTTTTGTTTTTGATAATTTTATTGTTACAAAGTAGATAAGCTGTATAATGACTTCTACTTTACAATAAAGTTGAATCATTACATCATTTGAAACCTGTAGAGGAACAATTACATATGAAAGTTATGACTGATCAACTTTCACCTTGGAGAAGCCAGCAAGGTAATCATCGTACTGAGATAAATGTAGAACAACAGAATAACAGAAAATCACAGCACCTGTCCAAATATTATTTCTGCTTAACCATCAAACATGAACTCAAAACACAGAAAACAGTTTGCCCACAAAACTGAAGAATGTATATCAAAGCTTTGAACTTTGAAAACTATTTCATAATTGTACTGAATATGATAATTCATTTTGAAATTTGCAAATTCTTGACAAATACATCAATTAACACCGGGATCTCATACATGTTATGAATATTATCATCTCGAAACTAGCAAAGACATGCTGTATTGTTCCAGTTAGCAGTATTTAGTCCATGAACTACCTATAAAATGCTGTATAATATCCTAAGAAATACCAAAGGAGGGTAAAGTGACAAGAATATTATTTGAAAATACAAGAAAAATTGAAGATATAAAGATTGCCACCTTTTGTGCATATAAATATAACTTTCGTAATAATAAGAGAATTTCAAACACCATATTACATAAATTATATGATCCCACTGAACTGTCAGACTGAAACTATGTGCGTTGTATTTTAAAAATAGACACGAAACATTGTTAACATATAAATGAATGTGTAATATTAGTACAAAGTATGATGCAAATAACAACACCATGCCACTGCATTCCATTCGTCAATCTGCCCTGAAAAAAAATCATGCAAAGAATTAACAATTAGAATCATCAATTATTTCAAACCAGCCAATCAGAGGGTAGAATCAGGTTGTCATAGAAACAAGAAGGGTCAACAGCACATCACAACAAACCATCACCCAATCTTTGTTTTCCTTGACAGACAAAGTTTACCAACGGCAACATTTTCTAACAATGTCACATTGAAAAACATTATTTTCTTTTTAATGGAATTTCCTTAACACATTGTTTTATGAAAGTGTTTTTGTATGTTTTAACTACAAAATAAATTTTTCTGAGTTAAAAACTGAGCATGAGGTTCTACTTTTATACATATTCTACATATTCTTTTCGTCTAAACAATGCTGCCAAAATTGAAGCCTTAAATTAGCCACATAATCTAAACAGAAATAAATGATTTTAATAAGATAATAGATTATAATGAGATAGATGACTACAGATTATTTAGAAAGAAAAGATGATTGATAAAACTGTAAAAAAAAAAAAAATTGTAATACAAAACAAAATAACTGTCAACAATTGATAATCATAGACCACAAATTTTTTTGCTTGATTTTTGCATCTTACTGACTTAAAAGCTAAATGTTTTTTTTTTTATTCTTGATTTGATATTCATGAAAACAGCAATGGCCTTTAGCATGACAAGTAAAAATTTCACATGGGTATATAGGAAAATGTATAATAATACCACATGAATGTTACACGGATGATGACAAATGGTAGGGGAAAATGTTCCAACACATGTACAAGGGGACTCTCTCATTGGCAGCTGCATGCCATACTTACGAATGACTATGATGATAGTCAAACCTATAGGAAAATGCAAAAACACATGAAAATGCATGATTATATACACATAATTCTTACATCTATAAACATCAAGTAATTCTAGGATTTATATAATACATGTTGATACAATAAACACACCCTAATTCTACCCTCTGTATAACTAAGAATTACAGCTAACTCAGGAAAAAACAGAATATGTCTTTTAATACAAATAATGTCAGTGTTTCAAAAAATAAAGATTTGGTTGGGATAAAAGAAAAACTGTAATCGTTGATTATATTAATTAGTTTAATTGAAAGTACTATCAAAGACTATTCCATTTTCTCCTGTTATAGAACACATCCAGTTGTAGTTATCTATTAACAGAAATTCATTCCAGTTCAGCTACAACAAAAAATAGCAAATAATTTTTTGTATGAAATAAAAAACAGTCTATTTTTAAGGCATTCCATGTTGAACTCGTTACTTTATAACTTACCCAAACCCACTACTACTCTTCTTCTTCTCTCGTATTCTAATTAAAATAGTATTGCAAGATTATTACACTTAGTTTAAAATGTTTCCATTAAAACAAAACTATGGAAAACCACAGCTGCCATTAACATATAATTTCAATCTGTGACAATTCATTGTGCAACTATTACTCTTTAACTGTGCAGAAATATTGCATAATTTTGAACTATTGCAAATGGCAGAAATATCAAACTTTTTTTACTGTTTGCAGTAGACAATAGCATTTGCAATAAATTAAAGTGATCTAGAATTTAAACTTTAAAGTGATTGTTAAAAAAGACTTACATGTATACTATAAGATTTTCAGCTATATACAACAAAATTCCTATTTAAAAAATATAATATCTTAATTTCTTGTTGAGTCCATTTTCTTAATTTATTACCACTTACAGATAAAATAATAATTAAATTTGTATATCAAAGAAACAAGTACACATTAAAATATATCAAACATTTAAACAACATCATACATTAATGTTATATGTTTTTCAGTTGTTGTTTTGTTGTTTTTGTTGTTTTTGTCCCTTAAATGAGGACTTTAAAACATTCCATATCATTGTTCATTACTGAAAAACAGAACTTGACCGATACAGATTACAGTTATTCATTGTAATTTTTCAATCATGTGGCTGAACAAGTTATCAGCTATCAGGCTACTTTCGATAATTTCTTTCTAGTCACCTACTTTAAGAAACAAGTCAATAGTGGCGTAGCTACTAGCTACTATTAGGCCATGTAGGCATTGACAAGTCCCAAAAATACTTGCAATAAAAACATGCGAGGGTGGGGTCAGTAGTGTGTTCAAGCCGTTAAGTATAATCAAGTGTGTTTGCATGATTACCATCCTCAGTAAAATTGCATTTAATCAAATTCATAGTTTAAAATCATTTTTTTATAGATTATTTTCCTTGAACATACTTTGGAACGCGCATTTTGCTCTTTTTAATCTGAACTTGTTTTCGGCTTTTGGGGGATAAGCCCCCAGACGCCCTTTATGTGCCTACAAGTTGAAAAAAGCTGGCTACGCCCCTGGTCAACCCAGTTTCCTTCACATTTACTGAAAAGACCTGATTCTTTTGAGGATTAGCAAGGGCTTGATGCTTGTGTTTAAAGACTCTTTTACCCCATAGCCAAATTGTTTCGTTGTACACAATATATTAAATAGGTTAAGTTTAACTGATAGAGCAATGACTTACAGAATTACAAAAGCAGACTTCATATATGGTTAAGATGTACTTGTATATTGATAAACACTGTTATTTTCACTTTATGTTATGACTTGAGGGGAATCATAGTTTCTCAAGCATGTGATATAGTGATATATTCAATAGATATTCTAGTGACACGCTGTGTTATTTATTACCTGACATGGTCTAGTGAAGTTTCAATTCATTTAACATATGAACAACAAATATATCTTTTTCTGAAATTTCTAAACCAGCTAAAAGTGGTGGTGATATCAAATCACACTTTCAACTTCAAGGCAGTCATTATAAGACTTATAGTCATACAAGAAATCTATTCCACAAGATATTCTATTTTGTGTCTTAATGAAGGTTCAATTCCACACACTTAAAAAAAAAAAAACAACTATAAATATATTTTGCAAATACTCCAAAGGAATAAGTTGGAGCTCTTTGGGCTGCCATATTTGAGGTCAAACAGTCCCTAAAATGACCTTCCATTGGTTGCATTTGCCCATGTATCACTATCAGGCTTTTCATGTTCAGTCACATCAAATAAATGCAGGGCTCGCGCTGGCAGGAGCCAATGAGCAAATTGGCTACAAAATTTACATTTAATGTAATATTATAATTCACTGACTGTAACCACGCCTTTTTATAATTATGAATAATGCTTGAGAAAATCTTGATCAAATACTAGCAAAGGTATCTTCAATTTAATAATATTCGCAAATATGCCTATATTTATAGATCAGATACCTTAAACTTTGTGCCCAATAAAACAGGTCCTAATATTATTATACAGGTTTATACTGTACAGTAGCACAAACCTAATCTCAACAAGTGGCAGATCAACTCCTTTAGCTGCGGCTATAACAATGTTGACATTGTACGAAAACTGTGATTTTATCGCTTAATCTTAGAGGTTTAACTTTCACTACACAAAATGATATGTAAACATTTTATGAATGACTAATTGTCTAGTTATTCTCTGTAATATAAAAACAAATATTTAGTCAGGTCATTAACTCTTGGTGTATTTCCTAATATGGTTATAATCATGTTTTTTGTCCCACTTTTTTTTAATCAATTCACATTACAATGTTGTCAGAATTAATATAGAATTTCATCTTTGGTTGTTAAAAAACCAACTTCATTTTAAATCAGATATGAAGTACATGTAGATTTGACTTCCAATTTGAAATTGTATGGAATGCTATAGACTAGGATTATACATACATTTGTACTTGAGTAATTTTTATCACAGATTTCTAAATCAACATTGGCTTAAAGGGATATTCAGGCAAAATAATGAAAAAAATATTAAAATGATCTTATGTACTCAAATCACGCTAAAATGACGTTTCTTATAATTTCAGCATGAATTTCTGTTTAAATTCTATATATTTTGGGTTTGAAGCGTAAATATATCTATATATGTTGAACAAAATTTAGACGCCAAAAGAATCACTGAATACTTTTAAAACAAGTCATGTGACTTGAACAAACCCTTGATGTTACAATAACAGATATTGTGGATATTGTACGATTGAAACAAGTCTAAGTCATTCATTTGACATGTTCTTTAACGTTTCCAGAGTTCACTGTGACAACTATTGTGAAATCCTAGCGCTTTAACCTGACCCACGCGGGTCAAGTTAGGAAACCACCATTTTATTCTTTATATTGAGAAAATTTTTGTTCCTTTGACTGTCTAATGTATACATTTTGCGGGCATTTACAGAAAAATGAATGAAAAATTCAAAACTAAGAAATGAAAATTTTGCCTGTGTCTCCCTTTAAATCATACAGCCTTTTCGTGAACAATATATCATTCAGTTAATCATACATGTATTAAAATAACACTTATTTGCTATTAAATACACTAAATTTACAATGTAATATGTTTCTATAATATGTAAAGTCAGTGGCTTTTAGAGCTTTTTCATTGCATACAATCATACAAAGCAATGTTTATGCCTTATTGGGTAGCACTCTACAGCTTAAATTGTCTACCTTGTTTTTCTTTCATTTATTAAAAACTCAGTTATGAACATAACATAATATGACAAACCAACCAAAATCAGAAATATTTACTTTTGAATGAATGCATGGTCATTGTATTATTATGTCATTACTAGATTGTATAAATCTTGTGGCATGAATTAAGTTTTATGTTCTAAAATCAATAAATAAACAAACAGGCGTTTTTCTAAAGAGGGCTGTATGTTAAAGTGATTTCAATCTTTAATCATACAATCTATCAATTACATTTCAAATACTTTAAGCATGTGTCAGGTTTAAATACGTATAATAGATAAGGCTAAACCCATTTTTTACAATCCTGTTCATGTATTAAAAGTAAATTTGTATTTCTCAGTTGTGTAGCTGTGACTGGATCACATATGTCAAGTTGCGGTTGATAATTAATGTCAGAAAAATATTCAGGTGTGGTGAAATATGCAGTTTTAAAATAGTTTTATTTCTCATGTTTTGCTTATATTTGTCAAATTAAATTTTTATTATATAGTATTATTCATTCACTGCTCCTCAGTTTATAGTTAGTTTCATATGTAACAAGCATTTGATAGTATTGCGGGCAATACAGTAGTCCCCTACCGGTCCCTCAAAAAGTTCTTTAATTGTCATACACTCCTGTGTATTGCCATTTATAATGAATTTGAGGATGAAGTCTGTATTTGAAATATCGACCACAAAACATAATAAAATAAGTTTGTCTATATCACAGTAATGTGTTAAGTTTCCATGCTTAGTAAGGAAATTATGTTTATACAACCTTGTCATATTATTACGATGTGGGATTTTAAAGTAAATCCTATAAGGAATGAAGAAGTTGGAGTGAAAATACCAGTTTCTCGAAAAAAATCTAAGTTCAAGGGGGACATAATTCTGGAAATAGTCTTGCTAGAGTATTTAACCTTCTCAAAAATGTCGAGTGATAATAAGAAACATATATATGAAGTTTGAAGTAGATACATTAGGAAATAAAGAAGTTATTTAAAAAAGACAACATTTTTTCCCCTAAAAAATCTAAGTTCAAGGGAGGTAATATTGATATTTTTTGTGCTAGAGTTATAAACCTTGTCACATATGTTGTGGTTGATGACCAGAAACTTATATTTAAAGTTTGAAGTAAACACCTTAAGAAATAAAGAACATATAGTGAAAAAGCTGAACAATTTAAATCAGAAATCTTGAAATTCAGGCTATTTGTTGCCATAGCAACCAGAATTTTCAATATAGGAAGAAAAGAAAAAGATGTGCATAATCTCCAGACTGCCATCTACCCATATTTCAAGTTTCATAAAAATATTTTCAGTACTTTTTGAGTTATCACTGGATCCACTTTATGTGTTAAATTTGCCATATTTTCAGACTATTTGTTGCCATAGCAACCAGAATTTTCAACATAGGAAGAAAAAAAAAAGACGTGCATAATCTCCATACTGCCATCTATCCATATATCAAGTTTCATAAAAATATTTTCAGTACTTTTTGCGTTATCGCGGGATCCAGTTTTGTGGACGGACGGACTGACGGACTGACAGACTGACAGACAGACAGACAGACGGACAGACAGACAGACAGACGGACAGACGGACGGAGGGTAAACCTAAAGTCCCCTCCGGTTAAACCGGTAGGGGACTAATAAAGATACATATATAAGTTATTAATATGTTGACCACATATATAATTGAGCAGTGCCTTGACAAAACCAACATAATGGGTTTGCAACCAGCATGGATCCAGACCAGCCTGCGCATCCGCGCAGTCTGATCAGGATCAATGTTGTTCGCTTACAAACCCTATAACAAGTAGAGAAACTGATAGCGAACAGCATGGATCCTGATCAGACTGCGCGGACGCGCAGGCTGGTCTGGATCCATGCTGGTCGCAAACGCATTATGTTGGTTTTGCCATGACGCGGCTCATATTAGCTTACCTCTGCAGTAAAAGGTCTAACTTGTTTCCATATGACAATATAGCATCTTGTGCATCCTTGTGTTTCAATGTTTCACTTGCTTTACTACCTATCTTCAATATAATGTCCCCTTGCTGAAGTCCACATTTAGCTGCCAGACTGCCTGGGGTTACCTGAAAACCAACCAATCAATATTCATTGAGAAAAATTCAAAGAAATTTGGTCATATACTTTAGCAGGGTGTCCGTTTGACTCTTGAAATGACTCTTTGACCCTTCAAATTTCCAAAAGGCCTGATCTGACCCTCAGGATTTTTCTGGTGGGTCAGATTTTGTTAAAATCATGGGGACTTGGCCTTGTAGTCGGTAAAACTTAGTCAAAATGACCTTCAGGATTTCATGGCTAGTGAACACCCTGCTTTAGCTTAACATTATTTTACAAAGCTTGAATGTATTTAACAATACAGGTAGCTGTAGACCTTTACATTTTTTATCTTCTATATAATGTACTTAATATAAAAATAATGCCAGGTTGTAAAAATCCATTAAATAATTTAAACAATTTACATCAAAGGCAATTAAACCAAACATTTCAGACAGATATTGTGGAAGGATTTATCAAATCATATCCTGTTCCCACCCAATCATTAACTTATTAAAAGATAGAGACTTAGACTTTTGTAATCTAATTTCATCATAAATCTATATCTTACATAGCATTCAAATAGGGAAGATAAATCAATGTAGTTTTGAAATAAAGCGAAAAGAAAGCAATGAATGATATGTGAGCCATACGGCCTGTTAGTAAGAATAAAAAAATACATAACAACAATGCAAGCATTGTTCTCAGAATTTTTCTTCCCTTAGAAGGAAGAAAGTTTGTTTAAATCTTTAAAACAGATATTCTACAACAAAGTTAATTTATAGTGGAATTCCCATGCTGCATACCATATCTGCACAATCCACATACTGTATAAAATACCGGATACTGAATAACTATGCTATATAATAGTGACAGTTCTCACACTGACACATTCTCCCTGCAGACTTATATTTAAAAATATTTAGAAATTAGTCATTTGTTATAAATTTCAGATGAGAAAAAACTTATACTCTAGAATGATATTTTGAGTTGAAAGGCAGTCTGGATATCATCAAATTCAAATATATTGATTATTCCTTAAAAATTTGATTCAAGCAATGCTTTTAAAAACGTTTATCCATGTAAAGCATGTTTTTACTTCAGCACTTGAATACCTTAGTTGATAGAACTCTGATCTCAAAACTTCAAAAGTCAATCTTTTCAGGCTGATTTATAAAGAAAATGTTAAGGTACATGTTAAACATAGATTTTAAATAAGGTTTGGCATAAGGACCATGTCATTACTTAATACAATGCAATTTTTGAAAGACTTGAGAACTTAAGCTATCTGCTTTCAACCATATTTTACACTTTACAGTCAATTACCTGGAATCTATTGGGAGGAATTTATCATGAACATTGTTAGAACATGAAACATAAATAAAACAGCCAATATGTATCATTACAGGAGTTAGGTTAACTGTAGAAGATGTGTTCAAATTCTCTGCTGGCAAGTTACCAACCAGCCTACCTTCAGTCTCATATAAACTGCTTACCTTGGCATTTTAGATGGTATAATTCAGTTTCTTAATATAACTTAGGCAATCTCTAGGTTTTTATCTACTTGCTGAATTGAAAACTATATTGTCATGGTGTTAAAAGTGTAGTATTCAAAATTGAGAGTCACTCTTTTATTTTTTTGTTGTTGTTGTTGAATACATTTTAAATGAACTGAATAATTGGTAATCCATATTGTTGTTAAATGTTGAAAATGTGTTCACTCTTCCCCTCACTACAGTACTGTACTGTATACTTTATATTTATAATCATTAACAAAATGAAAATTTTCTATTTCAAAATGATCACTAGTAGAAGTTATATAAATCATTATATGGTCAAATATTTATTCTTTTGTTGCATAAAGTACACAAGTGTGTACATTTATCTATGCAAATTTAATGCCTTTTTAACTGTAAATTGTACAGGTTTATTTTAGTGGTATTAAGTAATTGTTATCACATTTGCAACTTATTGTCATTATAACTGTAAACTATTCAGGTTTAATAAACCTTTAAGTTTAATAACAGTTTAATACTTTCAATGGCATAATGTGATTGTGCACATTTGTTTTTGCAAATTTAATGCCATTATAAAAGTAAACTGTACATGTTAAATTTTTCAGCAGTATAAAGTAATTGTGTACATTTAACTATACAAATTTAATAGTCAATAAATTTAATAGTCAATGTCACAATTCCATAAAAATCAGTACCTTAATTACTTAAATACTAAGCTTTTACAATCTGATAATCAAAAGTTGTAAGTGACCTAACAGTCAATATCATTATATCATCACCTAGCTTTCACAATATTGATACAGAGCTTTCATTAGGTTTCAAAATTTGGAAGTCAGAGACTGCAAATTGTCTGACATTGGAAGTCACATTATATAGGTAAAGAAGGAAAAGCATTATAATTTGGAAGTCACAAGCCAAAATTAAGAAGTAAATGACTCCCAAACTTCCATTAATGGAAGCCCTGTTGATAGTTAATCAATTTCTATTTTAGAGTGTTTGAAATCCAAATTGTGTATATGTGTTTTTCCAATGACAGTAAGACAACATTAACCACAGTCAAATACAGCCTAGCTAACAAATACAGAAAATGAAAAACATTTTTATAGACAGTCATTGGTACATTAGAGAATACAAACAATCTAACATTGGATAAGTACTTATCAATAACAATAATCTAACATGTACAAAAAAATATTGTGCACTAAGGATGTAAATAGATGCCTGGCAGATAATACCATAAAATGTCTGATTCCTTTCATTTTTACATCACATAGAATTTTGCTGTATTTCAGTATGTTGGTTTTTCTGTATCCCAACTAAAAATACATATTTTTCAATATATAGATCTGTATCTTCTTAAAGAATTATACATAATATACTCTTGGTATATTGCAGAGGTAGGTAATCTCTGAAATTGTTCTCTCAGACTTATAACCAGCAAGTGATACACTTATGGTGTATTCAAAATTTACCTAAGCAAAATATTCTAGAAGTTGAACAGTCAAGATAATTTTAAAAGAAAATAATTCCTAATTTAGCTATATTTAAAATCACAATGTCATTATTTCTTATTCTTATATCAACTGGAAACTTACACATTTAAGTAATCTTCTGGATTACACCTCTGAGTATTTTTACAAGCAAAACATGTAGATATAATATAATAAAAACAGAATGAGCCTTTTATTTTTTAATAGCCCACATTTTTTTAATCAATCCTGCATCATGACATCTGTTATTTTTTATGCCTAATTATATATAACATGTACTAAAACAAATCCTTATCAATGACACTGTCAAAATATTATAAAAGATTAATTTAAATAATCATATTACTCGAGCAATTGTGATAGGGCTACTGAAGTCTTTGCCTCCTTGCATACGAAATCCCCATGGTGTCGTCGATTCCTGTCTCTCTAATTTTGCTTCTAATGTTAGAATCGACATTATTTCCAGAGAATTTTAACTGTAACAATTTAAATTCCTCATGAAATATTTGAAACACTCCACTTTAACCCACTAAAAGTTATTTCCTGTTTCCCAGCTGTCAAACTGTTGCGCACGGCACGAAATCACTATCGGAATGAACGGACGCTTAAACGCTGTTAAAAAATCTTCTATGCACACAGAGTGGTATCAGACGAATGAAATTATGTCCTAGTTGTTGTCATCTCACCAAATGCAGGTCGGATACTACTAAAATAAAATAAAGAAGACGCACGAAACCGGAAAATTAAAAATGTTAAGGCTTGGTTTCGATTAAGCATGTTCGGGAACGTTGACTTTTGATGTAAGTCCACACTCTTAGCAGATATCAACATTTTAAAATGAAAAATGGTGAACTATCGCAATTAAGAACAAAACAGATAGCTCAATGTTTTCATCCACTTTGTTTCAACTCATATTATTTGCCATATTACTGATTATTCCCGTAAGTTTATTTGCCACAAATAATTTCCCGTATAATTAAAAGTATATGGTAATCGCATAATTAAATGTATACATGAATAATAACTAGCGTGTCAAATCATCAATTTAAAATCATTTGAGTTGAATACTTGGAGTCCTGAATAATCACATATACAGTATATCGCAATGTAATGAGTTGAAAACACGTGCTATGGTTCATACAGCGGTGTTTAAATAACAAATTCTGCTTAAGCCGGTGTAACAGCAGCTTGGACGATTGTTCGCACTATAATTAACCACTATAATGTTCACGAACAGCTAGAGGTTGAACAATTTCTGCAATTAACATTTTCAATTTTGCTGGTTTGGGCGTCCTTAATAGATTCCGTATATCCTTCTCCAAGAATGAGCCTGAGTCCGAGCCTTTTCATTGAAAGTATTGGAAAATGCAAGTTACCGTCAACGCCCTCTAGGACCTGTTTAAGCAAAATCCAAATTAAAACATGTATATATGAGCCGCGCCATGACAAAACCAACGCTTACAAACCCTATAACAAGTAGAGAAACTGATAGCAAACAGCATGGATCCTGATCAGACTGCGCGGATGCGCAAGCTGGTCTGGATTCATGCTGGTCGCAAACGCATTATGTTGGTTTTGTCATGGCGCGGCTCAATTATTGTATTAGAACATTTTTTTTATTTAGAAACATCCGTAGATGTATTCACATGGCGGTGATCATAGAACTTTTAATTAATGTGGCAAGTTCGTGCCATTCCATGAAAAACGGCGTATGCTCAAAGGGTAATAAAATGGTTGTGTCCGAAACGAGGAAACAAATAGCGAAACTAAATAAAATGGAATTTTGAAAGAGGATCAAAGCCCGAGGTAATGAGACATGAAAACAAATTAAGATAAAAAGGAATGGTAGCATTTATAAATGCATCCCCGACAAAATAAAATAAGAAAAACAAGGTCAACAAGGAGGGGCGGCGTTCATTGAACGCAACCACAACGTTAACATGACCCAGCAACACAGGACCACCGACAAGGAGCCTAGCAGGACACCAAACAAAAAGAGGACAGTGCACAAGGCAAAGCACGGACGGGGTGACTACTTTAATAATACATAATAGGAAATATAGAAACCGACATGGTAATTAAAGAAGACAATATATAATTAACAAATAAAACCTTCATAGTCATAAGCAACCTATCAAAACGCAAGTTCTTACAGCAGGCAAAATATAAAATTATACTAAGGGTGACAATGTAATATTCAAGTAGGAATACTTGAACCACCCAATTAGAAAACAAGTCAAATAAAAGGAACGAAAAGTACCACAAACACAACAATGTTGGCGGGGTTAAAGGTGAGGTTATACAAACTGTCGTTGGGAACATACAAATGTAGAGGCCAATGCCTTTGACTTAAATTAAAAGCATGGTAACTAAAAACGTTTTACAAGATTATATATAAAATTATAAAGAAACATTAACAATATTTTCTTATATTCTCAGTGATCCCAATTAGATTCTATTTAAAAGAAAACAAACAAAAAACATCAAAGATTTGACCAAACACAACCATCGATGTACTATTTTTGACATTCAAGTATAACCTTCACCTTTATACTGTAGACCTGGAGTTTGCTTATGACCAGTTTTCCTTATTTACCACAAAAGTTGCCTAGGAAATCATTATTAAAAATCCATTCTTATTTATCAATATTTTAAGTTAAAAAAGGATTATTTGTAAAGATATTGCCGAATTTACATTTCATGTAAATAAAGCGAGGTTATTAGAAATCTATTTTCGATAAAGTCTAAACCAAATTTTTCAATAATAAATGAATGCATAGATTTTAATGATTACTTATAATGCGAATAAACATTTGCAGTACATATTTAACATATTCTTGGATTTTTGGAAATTGTTTTAGAACAGGGTCTTTCAAATATTTGAAAGACCCTGTTTAGAAGAATAATTATATAAATATATAATTCACTCAATTGTTGTTACATCCTTAATTACAACATACAGGATCTTAAAATAGTAAAGAAATCACACATTTTCGTCTACAAGTGTGACAAGGAACCTGAAAATGGCGCGCGATACGTCGTCATTTTGTTAAACACATAAATGTGTAATAATATTTAATCCATCCAATAAAATGACAGAATTGTTGGTAAATTTGGACACAGACATCTTGCATTTTCATTAAAAATTTCCTTTGAAGTCAGACTCAGACATTGACTTTTGAGATTCAGACCTTAATCTTGCACATGACACATTGGCCCAAAATAATCCCAATAAAAAACCCTGATGACCATAATAAAAGTACTAAATGGCTTGATGGAAGATAGGACAGCAAGAAAATCAATTACAAGGGGGACCCGGCGAAACAAGACAGAAAACGAAAATTAAGACCATTCAGTCTCAGTGGGTTTTCAGGCGTTGTACCAGTAAAACCTCTGTCTTTCAAGCTGTCTCTGCGTTCAAGGGACTCAGGCAAGCCGTCTGTCGTATTACGAACTCATGTGCCCTAGAAACCTTCATCGCCGTTTACGCTACCTTGTATGGTTTCATTCAAGACATCGACAGCGGGTTAGAAGAGTTGAGGCCAAATTTTAAAAAATCTGTTAAAGGTGAAATGGGGTTGTAACGAAGTGATTCTTTGGTATTTGCTTTTATGTTTCATATGAAATGGTTGATTTTAGCTGTTATTGGTACGTTTCTCACCTTTCTTTACCCTGAGGTTCGTAACCTCAGGTGCATTGTAAGGTGGCTTGCCGGCATGTCATGGTTGTGTTGGGGGTTACGTTCAGTAAACTTCGCCTTACCTTGCTGATCTTTGTTTTCATTCTCATGCTCCCGTCATGATAATGGAAATGAGACATGTAGTGTTACCCCTCTCTCTGTGTCTGTCTGTCAGTCCGTCCGTGCGTGAGTGAGAGATAGCGTGAGTGTGAGTGTGTGCGTGCGGGTGTGTGTGTTCAAAAATCTTCCCTTGTCACGCATCAAGGGATTTTGAAATACCTTAGCTCAAATGTATAGCATGATAAGATGATGTGTCATGCACACGATCTAGACACCTAGCTCTAAGGCCAAGGTCACACTAGGAGGTCAAAGGTCAGCAGTTAGAAAAGCTTGTCCAATCGACTGTCATGTATCAATGGATTTTGAAACAATTTTGCACATATGCTAAAGTTAGAACACTTGACGCAAATTTAAGGTGTAGCATGATGAGACAGTGTGTTATGCGCAAGACTAAGACTGCGAACTCTAAGGTTAAGGTCACGGTTACAGGTCAAAGGTCAGCGGTTAGAAAATCTTGTCAGGTCGAAAACTCTGTTATGCATTAATTAAGCGATTTGGAAGTCAGTTTGAAAAAGTGAAAAGCAAAATGAGCAATTGTGATAATGCTTTACTGTTTCTTATATAAAACCTTATTGAACTTTTATTTTCAGCTTTATGCGCTAGTACAGTCTAAACAGGGTAAATTGTGCTATGTCAATCTAACATTAAGACTTTGTGAACATTAAAAAAAACTGTTTTTATCAACAGCCATTAGTCCTCTGACTTTAAAAGGTCTTTTATTGCAAAGCTGTTTATGAAACCAACTATGCTATCTTGTCATAGCATCTTTATAAATATTATTCGAGGTGTCCTAACCAATAAAGCAGGGGCATCCGTGTCTTTCAGACACATTTATGTAGATATACCATGCATAAGTATAAAATAATAGTAATAATAATGATAAATGGAATCACTTACGAACGAAAAAAAAAACAAACGGAAAACGGAACATTCGTGATAAGGTCCAAGACAGCAAAGCTGAAAATGTTGCAGTCTCCTATTCATGCACAATATTGGAAAGAACAACCCTACAAGACCGAAAATGCAATTTAAGTGCATGTCACATTTGAGCCACCGGGTGATATGCACAACTTCTTTTTAACTGCAATTTCTTTTTTTTTCACGAGATATTAACTCAAGGGAACGACTTAGCATATCGTCAGGACGAGGTTAAAAAAGTTAGAAGTGCATTATTGCATTTGAAAAAAAAATGTTCAGAAGCACAGATGGGCTGGCTTTCTATCACCATGTGTTACACATCACTATACGAAAATCGGTTATTAACTATGGTTTGAGCTCTGACGAGCGCCAGCCTAAAGAGAGCAGCGGAATAAAAAAAAACGTGTTACTAAAAAATAACAGTGAATGTTTGCTTCGTCGAGGAAATGACTTACTTACTGGGGAACGAGTAATTAAACTATGTCGCGGGAACGACTTACTTGAAATCTCGTAACCACGACTTAGTAAACTCGTTCCCACGATATAAATTAAGTATCTCGTTCCCACGAGGTAAACAACTACTCAGTTGTAATTCCGAAAATAATTAATCATGTTAATCTCAAACTTGTAATTCTAACTTACTAACACCTAGAATTAATATCGGTTTAGTCCTGTTTCTCAACTGAATTATTTTGTTTCAAATTTTTGTTCATGTACGTAAGTTAAGATTTCTACGGTGGCACAGAGGTGACATGTGTATGTTTTTATTTATATCGTGCGCACGTGATACTCGACATAATTGACATTTATCCTACGATTTTGCTTTTTAATTGCACTGCTCTTTTCTTTAACTCATTCCCATGATATAACTAAGTTCTTCTGTCGAGTTAGTATCTCATAGGAACGAGATACAAAAAATAGAGCAGTGAAATTCTTTTTTTAAGTTTTGCAAGTAGTTCTGACATCTGCGTTGATCATTAATATGCATTGTGGAATTAATATATATTTCTATTCCTGGGGAAGTGAACAAAACATACACTCTTCAGATATTAAGATGAAATCAAGTTAAGCATCCAGGAATGGCAGACGAAAATGGCTTCAGAGCTTCTACTACTCGATAGTCATACGTCACCATTGTATTATATTACCATGAACAAATCAAAAACTGTTTTAAACAAAATTGAAAACTTTTTATTTCATTACTAGTATTTAGTCTTAGCTTGACTCTAGACGGGAAGAGCGGCATTTTTTACTTTCTAGACTTATTTAGTAAACGCTTCCAGTATATCATGGAATAGGTGTACATGCAGTTCTTTTGAAGCGTTATTATGAATAGATGAAATTAATGGAATAACGCTAAAATTGGAGAAAAAAAAACAACAAAAAAACAACTTCTCATGTATTACAATTCTAACAAATTCTTACATTAAGTTGTTTTCCAAGTAGATTTGTATACAATGTACTAGCATATATACAAGTCAAAATTTCGAAGCGGCGAATATGTTACATTATACCAGAATGGTAACACTATCAGGACTGTGAGCTTTAACCCTTTCACTGCCATAAGGACGGCTTAAGCCGTCCCTGTTATTTTCGGCGTATTTGCCATATGGACGGCTTTAGCCGTTTCTATAATAAAAATAGTAATAATAATAAATTAATAATAATAATAATAATATTATACGAGCGGGCACCTGACTAAAACTAATAACGTACCGTAGGCGAGCTAGACAACTTACTTACATCAAAAGAAGTCATTGGCAGGATTCGAACAGCATTAAGGGCCAAGTACATCCAATATTTACTATAAAAAAAACTTGGTCTCAACGTAGAATCAAGTCCCAGATTAAAGGAAAAATAAAAATAACAAAATCGCCAATTTAAATTTCGTTCAATCAGATTATAGGAAAAAGTCCATTAATGACATAAATGGCTGTTCTGTAGGCATAGAAGGCTGTTCTTTTGGAATTTCCTCCTGGGGACAGTTGATGCTATGATTTGCCTTGAGCACCCATTCTGTGGCACATCCTATTTTCAGACCAACACATGTAGCGTTGTTTCCATTAACTTGGCTTCTTATGTTCACGCTTGCTTCCAGGCTGAAGTAAAGATTGGCGAACAATGCTTTATTGATACAAACATAACATGTATATTATCATATCAAACACAATATGTCTTTTTAACTAAAACCCATGAATACGAATATAATTATATGAATATAAAATTTTGCAAAACTATGACTGTTAAAGCTATAACTGATTTGCAAGAAGTGTACACTATATATGATGGCTGAATTGTGCCGTGTCGTGTTTTCGCTCCGAGGGGCGCCTGGCGAAAACATTAAAAAATACGATGAAGTGATCACTTTGTCGTACTTTGCTCCAGACGAAATCACGAAGCACATTAATACGACAAATTGATTACTTTGTCGTATTTTCGTGTTTTTGCCTTTCGCTACGCGGGTCGCCAGTCGAAAACACGACAAAGATATTACTTTGTTGTACTTTCGTCCCGAAAAACACAAACTAACGGCAATTATCGTGACCACTTTGTGGCGGGACGCCAGGCAAAAACACGACAATACGACAAAATAGTTACTTTGTCTTCATACACAGTTTTGTGATGCAATCACTGTGTAATCAAGTCAAAAATTAATTTGTAAAATATCCTGTCAACCGTAATAGGTCAGTTTATATCAAGTTAAATGAATATAACATCAATTAAATATTTTATTCATAAATATATGAACAAAACTTACGAGTAGCAACTGAACCATTCTTCGGTACAGTTACATTTTTGACAGCCTTCATAATCGGTGAAATCAGATCCGGGTAAGAACTTCATTCCCTTGTACGAACAATAATGTACTTCTTTCCCATTCTCTGCAGTGAAAAACAACAACAATACTTCTGACAACGACAAAATCCAGTAATAATATATATTTTTGCACTGTATATCCTTCATCGCGCATATCTTTTTCTGGTACATGTACTACTCATTTCAAGTAAATGTCGATAAACATTTTTATGAAAGAAATTAATTTATAACTGGCTTGGAGACTACTAACAATATTTAATACACTTGTTACTATATATAGTAACAAAATTGCCTATGATTTCAACTGATTATGAGTGTCACGTGACCTATTATGAGTTTGCGGCCCGGGGCCGAGAACTAGTTATCAGCCCGCAGAACATGTGCACGTGCACAAACTGAAACAATGACGTCATATTTTACGTCATCAAACAGTTAACTGTAAAAGTGAAAGTAGGTTGTCAGCACTAATTGCTTTATTTTTATTATGAGAGCTTAAGCGTATTTAGTACAAACACATTTTTGTTACTATTGAAATTTGAAGAAATAATAATATTATGACAAATTCATTCCGAAAAAAAATGAAAATAAAACTTGCTTCTGGATTCTACTGCTTTCAACACACAAACAGTAAACATCTCTGTACAGAACAGTAGAAGAGTAGACAAGAATTTCAACGAAAGAACTTTGTTGTTGTATTTTTAAAAAAAAAAATGCTACTAGAATCTATTAGATCTACAAAGTGTATTAAAGACATTAATACACGTCAGAGTAGGGCCGGGAGGTGATAATCGGCCCTGAATGAATAATGGCCCTCGGGCTAAAGCCCTCGGGTCCATTATTCATTTTGCGGGCCGATTATCACCTTCCGGCCCTCTCCTGTCGTGTATTAACCTCTTAATAATATATCACGTTACAAAGATTTTATAAAACCTTATGATTTTCTCAAAAATTAAAATGCTTATGTGCTAATTTAAATTGTTATTTTTTGCGTTTAAATGCTCGAATACATTATGCACATATACTTCCAACAGCTGTTCAGTTTGGAGAAATATTGGTTAATACAAAAACGAGTTTTGGAAGAAAACAAAGGCTCGATATGATTACATCTGTTTGTAATTAATGGTACTAAACTATATGTCGCGTTTCACTATGGCTAAGATAAAATTAAACGAAGTGATATAAGGATCTTGCATAGACAAGCAGTAACTAACATCGGAAAACAATGCTAGTAAATAAATCCTAGTTTACAAAGTCTAAAACTATTTTGAAGTCAATTTTAATACTGTATACATTTTAGTTATCTCTTCTTAAATGAGAATGTTTTCTATGCAAATTTATTTATAATTCGTCTCAAATACAAATTCATATTACACGCCATTGGATACATGTGATAATAAAGTATAGTTTTGAGTTGTTTTGAACAATTTTATCAGACATTGTATGTAAATCAAACTACATCAACTTTCGTCTTTCACAAACAAAGCAAAGACATGTATTCATATTTTTCATACTAATCATTCATAATATATAAGCATGCATCCTTCATTCATAATATACTTGTATAAGCATGCACTGATGACGTATTCTTCTTGTTCAAGCTTTACAAAAAATATTTCTACTGATTCATGAGAGTAAAATTGTAAATTACAAATACATATTTTTAAGAGTAACTTAAAATAAATAGATTATAACATTGGAAGACAAAACATGGTTAAAGCTATTTTATGCGAGATATATGTTATATGAGATATATATGTTAAATGAGGTTAATATTACCTATAACTGTCTCTGTGTTTTTGTGTATTTGTCCTCCAGAACTAGAAGAGCTTGAGCTATATGATGACGAAGAAGAAAATACTTCTATAGCCAGCGCGCATATAGGTAACAATAAGCAGACCACACTGCCAACATGTGCTCTCGAAGTCATTTTGCAACAATGGTGACAAGCTTACTGAACAAATTATAGATATTCAAATATAAGGCCAAGCTAATTTCAACACATTGTTGTGACATGTTAGACACATCAAAAATATTTATATGTATAATCTTTTAGTACGGACTATTCACTGGTGTCTAGTTACTAACAACAGAAGGTTTAGAGAATTTCAAGACGCTAAGTTTCTGTTTTGTGATTTTTATTTTAAATGATGACATTGCATAACACATTTGAAATAGTTATTTGTTGAAATATATCTTAGTCAACTTTGTGTTATTTTTACCTTGTATCCATGACACGGTACGTCATGTGCAGGTGTAATTACTACTATATAACCACGCCATGTTAAGCGCATCTTTACTTGTATGATCAACATAAAGAAAGCATTGACATGTCTTATTGTATAATTGTATTTGAATGTGGGTGATAATACGTTTTCTAAGTTTGTCTCTCAATTAAGCATGTGATTAAATTATAGTCATGTAAGTTCTAACGTTACCAAATCAGAGTAACTGTCGGAAAATAATTGATACTCTAACTGCTTGTTGGGTCGTAAGATAAAATACTCGATGTGTAAATTCAATATCAATGTTATGTTTTAATTTGATAAAAAAAAAACATATGAACAGTAACAAGAAACAAATATAACATACATTTTTTTATTTGTTCCGTGTAATTAAAATGTGCCAGAAGCTCAAACACATGACACACGAACATCCATATCTTGCACCATATGGTCGAGTAGAAATACCTGATCATACCGTATGTTTTTTAGTTCCAGTCACAACAAAATGAATTATTGTGAACTATAAATCAGGAATAATTTATAACTAATACAATGATATAATAAACGATGAAGCGAACGGAATGTAGGAACCGAAACAAAACAACAAAACAGTATAACAAAAAACAAAACTGATGTACACTACAAAGATTGATGTGTCGAAATAGCTACAATGAATTATAATTGTTATTTTTTATTGTTCTGCTTTTTTATGTTAGGCATAAAATTAAAGGTGGTACGTCCCATCACAGTGTTTGGTATTAAATATGTTTTCTAAAATATGAATTGAATGTCCTACGGAAGACACCGGTCAGGTGTATAATAATATGATAAAACTAATTAGGTTAATTGGATCTTTCCTAAGCTAAAAGAGCACCGGTATACATGTAATAATTATGAATTAAAAAAAACACCAAAGCATATGATATTATTCCCCGTTCATTTTTTCATTACTATCTAAAGAAGAAAGAAACAGGCCAGTACATAGACAGCATAGTCATGGTTAAACGCATTATCGGACAATATCATAGAAGCTAGCAGTTCCCGCAACACCAATTACTGGCTTCAAAATTAATATAAGCACCTATCTTACTATTTTGATCCCAAGGTTTCAAGATTTTATTATTCACTTAATAGACAATACATGTAAATATGAGGTAAATAACAAATTTCAAATGTTTGCTAGGTCACACATCTTACAATTTTCTTTTTACATAGACAGGAGAAAGTATAACATTCATACCAAAATGAAACGAATTATTTCAAAAATATTTATCAAAATTCAACATAATATTTTAGTCAATATTTTTCTAAGATTATTTTCATATACATGCAAAGTTGTTTCATTAATTTATCAAACTTTATTACATTGAGATTTCTATAATAGATTTCAGTGATATATTTTTTCCATCCGTATTAAGATTTGGGCATTCTATTAGAAAATGAAATTCGCCGCCTATGTTTTGATTGCAGGGAGTGCATTTTCTCTGTTCTAAAGGTATCCTTTGCCAATTTCCAGTTTCGACCAGTAGTTTATGATTTCTAGTTATGAATTTGATCATATACTTTAAATATTTGGCAGGTGTTTCAATAAGGTATTTCTCAATTTCAAATTTTCTTTTAAAAAAAAGCCAATTTACGTTAGAAAATACATGACTCATCCAAATATTAGCCATTCTGCATTCTATAAAAATATCTTTTATGCAAGTTATCCATTTGAAATTGAAATTTGTGTCACTATTTTTAAAATTGCTCAATGCAACTGCAAAGATTTCCGTTGTAAGCTTTTTGTAATTTGTTACAATTAGTTTTGCCCAAAAATAAATCATCCTTGCTTTAATTTCAACTGATAACGGTTTGGTACCAGTTTCACCATACACAATTATATTAAAAGTATTTTTCTTTATACATGAAATATGTTTTAAAAACTTAATTTGCACTCTTTCAATAATGTTTAAATTTCTAAATCCAAAGATTTCACAGCCATATAGAAGTATAGGTCTAACCATTTTATTAAAACATCTATTTAAATATCTATAGGTAAGCAGACTTGTTTGCATTTTTATTAATTAAAGAATACATAGCTTTTGTAGCTTGATTGCCAATTTCTTGCTTTATTTTGAAAAAAGAACCAGATCTGTTGAATAAGACACCTAAATATACAGTTTCTTAAGTTTCATTTTCGAATGTAGAAGTATATTCGCGTTGTCTACCTCTTGAAAAAAAAACAAGTACTTTTGTTTTAAAAGAATTTAATCTAGTAAGTATCCAAGCATCACAGTAATCGGCGTAGATATTTAAAAGGTTCTGCAAGTCTTCTGCAGTTTCTGCAAATGGTTATTTTCATTAATTTTCCAACCAAGTGAGTTTATACCTCATGTTTATTGCATTTTACCCCTGATGCCATATTACTTCTATAAATAAAATCAAAGTACAAAATGAATATAGAGAAAAAAGCACGGGAGATCAATTTTCACCCTGTCTGACGCCCATATTACAAGGGAAGTTATCACTTTATACTCCATTTACAAATATGCATGACTTAGCTTTTTGATACATGTTGTTATAACATTTAATGCTGCCTTTTTAGTCGACAAAAGCACAAAATAAAGATTTTTACTGGTTCTTAGAATTGATATCAGCGAATTTAAAACAAATAAGTTATCTGTAGTTAAATAACCTTTGGCATTATCAATTAAGTCGTAGTCAGTACAAAATTGTTCTAGTCAATATTGTTCTAGTAAACAATTTACCAAGGTGGTCGGTAATTGGATGGATCAGAAGAGTTACCTTTTATTTAAGTATTGAGTTTACTAAACCTTAAGTCCATGCGATGGGTATTTTACCTGTTTTGAATACTATATTGAATAATTTAAGAAATATTTTTTTCAGTTTTTGGAAACGAATATTTAAACTGTTCATTCAATACATTGGCCATACCACTAGCTTTATTATTTTTAAATGATTGATCGCTTTTTCTATGTCTTATATTGTTATGCGTTTGTTTAAAAATTCATTTGTTTTCAGATTAATTAAATGATCATTTTCAACAGTTTATATCTTTAAAATACTCGTAGAGTTGATTTAAGTCTGCACCTATTTTATTTTTCTTTCCATATCATAATTTCCAAAAATTTCGAGGCGAATTTGATTTGAGTTTCTCTACAATAGAGAATATAATTTTTAAGACTTTCATGCCGCACACATTTTTATATTGTTTGCTTTGAATTTTCCCTGAATCTTATATGTGCGTTCATTTTCCTAAACAGGAATATGAGCTTTTATTATTAAACAGGCACTGATCTAAAATAGATATCTGGGTGCCTAAAGTTGAAATGAAAAGACCTGACCACTAACTTCTATCTCGGGGGAGGGGGTTCTCCACCAGGAAAAATAAATGATGGCTCCTTGATGCAATAATTTATATCTGTGTACTTTACAATATGAAGTGTCCGATTTTTTCCAGAAAATTTCAAACTTAAGAACATGCAAGTTAGGGTGTTAACTTCTGTTCGATCTTTGAAAATAAAAAATATTAAATGGAGGCTTCTGATGCTTTTTCTTGTATAAAAAGTATGTAAAATGTGAATAAAAATCAACAAGGCAAGGATACAATTCACATGCCTAGTTTCCTTTAAAATTTCGTATCTTCAACGAGTTTTTCTTTAAAAAAAATGTCTGCTTACTAAATGGCGGCTTCGTGAGCCCCTAGAACGTCGTGATGGCTGGAAAGGCAGGGCTTTTGTTTAGCACCAAGAGCTCGGGTTAAAATATTGAATTCTGCTTAATTGAGCGGATAGACCCTCGTTATGCACGCAAACGCACGCATGCACTTTTAAAAGTACCGACATACATGAAGCTGCATGCCTCCAGATGAGCAAAAATATTTTTAAAAATCAAACTTGTGAAAAATGTAATAAAGTTTTCAGAAAAGTAAAAAGATTATAGATTGAAGTAATCCTTACCATGTAATGAGTGAGGAATGATTGATTGTTGCAGCATTTATCACCATATCTGATATCTTTGCTGTGTGACTAAGTCAGTAAGTTTTTTTTTTTGCATAATTTGACTTTTTTTATTTGTCAATAACGTGGTTTTAAGTGCCGTTTGAAATGTGTAAACTACTTTCCAAGCTCACTTAACAATATGTTAGTGAAAAAAATCAAAACTTTCATGAAAGAAATTATCAGTAATCTGGAGACCTGTATGCTGCTTTAAGTATTAACATTAAAAAAAAACATAGACGTAATTATAAAAGTACATTATCTACGAACAAAATGTTTGAATATCACAAAGTAGGACTTGGCCGGGCAGAAATTTTGTAACGCATGTAGATCTACCATGATTTTATGTTTATATTTTTTGAATTTCAAGAGAGTGCTTTTTTTCTTCTTTAATTCTGGCCTCGCACATGCATACATATTAAATAGCAACAAACCAATCGGCCTACCTACCTATATGGCTATCTATGGCTGTACGTCATATCAATTAATTAAGGGGAGTGGTGGCCTAGTGGCCTCTCAACCCAGAGATCATGGGTTCGAGCCCTACTCGGGTCACGACCATGTTTCTCCATAAGACACCAGTACTGGTTGGTTCCAGGAATCGGACTCGAAAGTGATTAATGTAAGTTGCAAGAACTTGTTTCGCAATCGAGCTTAAATAAATATGTTTAACCAAACCAAACCAATTAATTCACGATTTCCCGGGCATTGTTTTATTTTTTAACATCAAGCTTTGAACGTATTTTAGCGCAGCTGATCTTACGATGACAATAGAACGACAAAGTCTACATCTGCATGTTACAGATGCAATCATTTTCTGATAAACACGTGATATTATTAGCATAGTAATTATATGAACTTTTGGCTTTTAATTACTATTATTTTCACCGATGAATTTGTACCAGGGACTTTTATTACAGAAATAATATAAAGCTCCATGTTTGAACCACGGATTTATATTACATTATTTATTATGTAATATAAATCCGTGTTTGAACTAAAGATGTTACATATAACTTATAAGCGCAAATTAACTACACACAAACCATTATGTTTTGTTTTTATTATCGCATGTTTCAGTAATACTGTAAGCCAAACCAGTCAGCATAATGTTCCGACGAAATTATAAAAGTAAATTTGTTAACTAAAAAATGTTACATAATAAATAGAAGCAAGTTTGTATTTAAAATCCTCTTTCATTATAATTTTTTTACTAAAGCGGGGTAGATGAACTGCATTTTCTTTAACTTTGTGGATACTTTTTTTTTTCTTGCGGCAATAAATTTAGTGTCAAGTGGCTTGTGATATATTTAGTGTTTCTTTGCCATTTTATTTCTTACGAGCTATAATTTGTTTCGCCCCGTTTTAAGGGAAGGACTATTTTTTGGTTATATAAAATAGTCCTTAATATAATAATTTTATTCTGACTCAGTGGATTAATTCTTTATGTAAAAGACATATTTCTGTATTGTAAATATTGTGAATTTAAAAATGTTTGCAAAATATATTAAATAAATGTAAAATATAGAATTTGTGTTTACAAACTACAGGACCGATTTACATATGTAAGTCATTTTCAGAAAAAACTGCGCAAAACCATCATGGAGGCGAAGTGTAAACACGAATTTACAGCAACTGCGGACGATGAATTAAGCTTTGTAAAAGGAGATTTAGTAAAGGTTGTAAACTCAGAAAACACTATATTTTCCATTCTATCTCTCTGATTTACTTTAAAGTCTCAGAGTGTTTCATATTTCACACCAGAAGAAGGTTATATTTTCGGATGTGTCGACTTGAGAACTTCCTGTTTTTCTTTACTTGTCTTTTTCCATGTCAACGTTGTTTTTTAACAGTTTATCATGTGTACTTCCGAAAAGTTTGCTGTTGACAAAAAACTCTGATCATTAGTAGTTATTTCGACAAGAAAGTTCAATGAGTGATTGATTAATTCGTTACCCTTGTTTTTATAGCAATTTCTAGAAAGATGACCTAAATTATTTCTTATAAACCCTTAAAATGTCTTAGTCCACTGACTGCCACTCCTGAGGTCCTGTGTAACACCCTTTTTCAGAGACACTTACTTAAAGGTGTACGGGTAGGAGGTAACTTGCATACATGTATCCGTGCTATATACACTTGGGCATGTATAAAAGCAAGGGGTCTATTCAATTAATTATTAAGAGCTAGGGACTAGTTCCCGGATTACTTTGTATGTTTCTGAAGTCTAGAGTCATGTCTACGTCCCGGTGAAAGGTCTGACATTAATGGAAGATAGATAGATAAAATAGATCAGACACTTAGACAATAACTTGAATAAGTAAAACTGCTTCCAATATAAATCAAATGTTAATTATGTTGGAAGTGGCTAGTCGTACGGGCCCGTACGACTAGCCAAAAGTTCTAGCCGTACGTGTGTCACATACGACTAGCAAGGACACACTGTATTGGCTAGCCGTACAGCTTTTTCAAAATTATATGGAAGTCGAAAATGCATATGTTATTTTATGACTTGAAGCAAGGATTTTAACCAAGAAACAGCAATTGTCTTTGTATGTTTACTTTTTAGAGATTAATCGCCTTGTTGGCTACATTAAAAAAAGTACGCATATCGATCTTTGTCATCTCAAGACGTTGAGAAAAAATAGCGTTTGGTCGCAGTTAAATAACATCAATTGAAATAGTTTACAAAATTTTGATGTCATCATGATAACCCTTTTTTGTTTCATTAAGTTTAATTTTCGACACCTTTAAAATGAAACCAAAAAAAACCCCGAAAATTATTGTTGTTGGGCTCTGCATAATTGCGTCATTGGTATAGAAGTTTGTCCATCATTAAGGAAAGTTTGCATGTTCCGTGAAACGCATTTTAAAATTCTATGGTAGGCTTTAATTAAGGCTAGTTAATTGATTGTGCTTTTATGTTTGATATTTATCTACTGTATTTGAAAATAATACAATTATATTTGCTTTTCACTGTTTTTTTTTTTTCAATGTTCTTTTTATTTATTCCACTCCGATCATTATTTATTCGATGCATGTGCTTAATTAACAAAAATTCATCTTTCATACAAATAAAACAACAAATCATAATAGTGAGGCACAAAATAACATTTGCATGTTCAACTTCCATATAACTTTGAAAATGCCGTACGGCTAGACAATACAGTGATTCCTGGCTAGTCGTATGTGACTCACGTACGGCTAGAACTTTTGGCTAGCCGAACGGGCCCGTACGGCTAGCCACTTCCAATTATGTTTTTATCATACAACAATTATTTTATGATGATGCAGTGAATATTCAAGAAAGATGTAACATAGCCAAACAGATTGTGCAGACTTTTTATGATAGGTATATATATGACAGTCACCCTTCTATGTAAATTGAAATATCAGTTTGCAAAATCAATATGTCTTGCAGTCAAGATACAGAGACAATTGTATATTACAAGATACAAGAAACTTTATTTTAAGTCGGTTTACAAATTAAAAGAAACATTTGCTAAAAAAGCTATTTACTGACAACTAAATTTAATTACATTTACGGCACATATTGTAACTATTTCCTCATGGTACAATGCATATATCCCGTATGTTACAGCATTTTTAACCATTCTCAAGGGAAGTTATTATACTGCTCGCATAATTGTTGATTATGAGTTGCATTCAGCAAACTTTGTCATCTGTAATGGATTAACATGTACTATCAGGGTTCTCGGGGACGCTTATTTCGGCGTCCCGGTACGCATGTTTATTACAGCTGGACGCAAATATTTCAGAGCAAGGATTCCACGTACGCTTAATTTTGCCTGGGGACGCATAAACATTGCCGATTGTTTACAACCACTAATACACAAATTCGTCGGCGCGTGTCAGTCTATAGGTAGGCGGTCCTATGCACATCGACCCGTGAAGCGATTAGCCAATCAGCGATAACGCTTTCGATCATTATCACGCAATAGAGATCAGACTAATGTATGTACACGCGCTGTAGGTGTAATTAACAGATATAACACGAGATATATTTGATCAACAGTTAATTGGAAATTAGCAAATTTTACCGACAAAAGGATAAAAATATTGACTATTTACGCCGCAAGTTTAAAGACTGTTTTCTCAAATTACAAATTAGTGTAATTTTGAATTATTGTCGAATATTTTCGGCATTTTCTAGGCAAAATTTTGCTTTCGTTTCATGCCTGCAAAAACGTTCTGTAAGAGTATTAAGAATTTGAGATATTGTGCCGAAATTCCAGGGCAACAAACCAAATTACACATACGCTTTTCTTTGATATTTAGATTTTATCAGAAAATTGATCCCGAACATCGGCAATTTCACTTCGCCAGATACCCTAAAATTTCGCAAAAATTCTCAGTTTCCAAGCCAAACATGTGAATGAATTGTTCCTTTATTAATCAATCAACATTAAATCTTTAAATATCGATCTTCAATTTGCCCCCTTTCGAAGATATTTGCTAAAATAATTATCGATCGGATGAATCTCTTACACACTGTGTGAAGCTGTACGCGATTTTCCTATTCATTCCGCTAAACGCTTCCTATATACATTTACGTTTTTTTTTACAAATATAAACTTTTTGTCTTTAGAGTGGACTTATTTTACCAGAATAAAATTTGATTTGGTATGAAAGTGAAAAATAAAAAACGAGTTCCATGTGTTGATGCATTATGATGAAATAATTTTAAAATAAATATTAACAACAAAACAATAAATTTACTATGTAGCTCAGAGTTTGTTGTGAATAACTATAAACTTTGAAAGTCTCTTGAAGATTCAAAATATCAGCAATGCTATTGTGAGCATTAAATAACTAATCTGTAAACATATTAATTGCGACGCGCTTTTGGACTCCAACTTTTTCAGGGTTGGGAGTCCATGGACTCCATGTTTTAAAGTCCTAGTGAGAACCCTGACTATTATGCCTGAGTAATGTAATACGTATAAAAAACAGTTGTCGCCTTACATATATGCCTTTTAATTTTTCATTCAATATGTCAGGGTGTCTGTTTGACCCTTGAAATGACTTTTGGACCCTTCAAATTTCCTAAAGGCCTGATTTAACCCCCTCAGGATTTTAGCTGGAGGGTCAAATTATTTTTTAAATCGTGGGGATTAGGCCTTGTAGTCAGTAAAACCAAGTCAAAATGAACCTCAGGATTTCATGGCTAGTGAACACCCTGTATGTTAATAATTGCTTTATCATATGACTAAAGTAAAATTCTTCATTTGGTAGAATTTGATGTTATGATGCAGGGGAGTTTTCTTGCAGGGTATCTGAGAAGGAATTAAGGGAGAATTTAATAAATATTTAATAAAGATTTGCCTATATAGAAGAAGTCTATTAGACAGTATTGCATTAAATGTAATCAAACATTGTTTAGAAATTATTGTTTTTAAAGGAAAATGCCATGGTACTGGTAACTTAAAGTATGTACATGTATACTTACTTTAACATGCAGATGAAGTCTATAATTAGCTTGTGTATGTGCTCAGGTAATCAAAACGTCACATTGTAAAACTTTTTAAAGACCAATTGTTGGAACACAGCAATTGCACGGTTCCCATTTGTGCAAACAAAGTGTTACCATTATACCTTCACAATGAACTCACCATGTTGATCTCAAAAGAGCAATGAAAGATAATAAAATTTGTATGAAAACATTCGTTATATACAGTGCAGGAATATACCATTTAATTTGGACTGCTACTTAAAGCCACATTTGTTAATTTTTTGTAGCTCACCTTAGAACAATGTGCTGATGGTTACTTAGCTATTGTTATCCCCAACTGTCTGTTGTCCTGCTTCGTCAACAATTACTTATAACAACATCTGCTCCTAAACCAATGACTGTACAGTACCAAACTTTACAGGAATGATCCTTTAGTGGTCCCCTTTCTAAGTTAATCAAATGGTTCCAGTCTGATGCATAAGTCAGTCACAGGGCCAGAATAGAAGTTTTAAAAAAAATACAAATTAAAAAATCTTCTTGTCAGTACAAGGCCCATAGCTCTGATATTTGGTATCACCTGTACCTCTACCAAAGTTGTTCAAACTTCCCCCCTTGTGTGCAAATTAGCCCTGCCTCGGGGGTCATAGGTTTTCCTTAAATGTATATACATGGTGATAAGGCATTTACCACAACTTTTCCGTGCAACATCAAAATACTTCTACTTTAAATGGATTTCACTGAGTTTTTAATCCCCTTCCGAGTAGCGGTGAGGGTATTATAGAAATGACCTTAGTCGATCTGTCCGTCTGTCTGTATAAAAACTTTTGTGTCCACTCCATAACTTTTAAACTACTGAAATTTTTTTGAAATAACTTGGCATAATGAGATGGTGTGCTGAGAGCAATAATGGGGTTGCTACTCCCAAGGTCAAGGTCACACTTAAAGGCCAAGTGTTAAAAAGACTACATTTCATGTTTGCTCCATAACTTTAAACCACTGTATTTTTTTTTAAATAACTTGGCACAAGTGATCACCATTATGAGACAATGTGCAGAGTGCAATTATTAGGTTGCTACCCCAAGGGTCATGGTTGCTCTTAAAGGTTGAGTGTTAAAAAGTAATTTTGTTTCCCCTCCATAACTCTTAAACTGCTGAAAAATTTAAAGTAGCTTGGCCCAAGTGATCACCATTATGAGACAATATGCGAGTCCAATAATTTGGTTGCTGCCCCCAAGGTCAAGGTCACACTTAAAGGTCAAGTGTTAAAAGTGTACATTTCGTGTCCGCTCCATAACTTAAACTGCGGAAAAATATTTGAAATAACATCAAAAAGGGGATCCCCCTTTAATTTGAGAAGAGGGCAGAGTCCCAAAAATTTTGCGATTTTACCCCCCAAGGTAAAGGGTTCTAAATTTTAAGGTAAAAAGTTTTTAAAAAAAATTTCTACATAATGAGCCCAGCCTCGCTAAACATTTAAAATACCCTCGAAAATCAAACCCTATTATGACAATTAAGCAGGAGCACAACAATCAAGTCACTACGGTCAAAGGTCAACTTAAAGGTCCAATGTTTAAAATATCTATTTTGTTCATGACCCCTCAATTTAACTTGACCAATTTAAGGTTTTTTTAAAATTTAATCCCCCTTTCAGCAAAGCAGGAATAAACATTTTTGGAAATAACTTGGGCACTAGTGATCACCATTATGAGGATTATATGCATTAAACCCACTTAAAGGTTTTCAAGTTGTTAAAAAGTCACTTTTTTGGTGCCGCTAAAAAAAGTTTGAAAAATAACTTGGGGCCACAAAGTAAACACCATATTATGACAGCTCAATTATTGGGGGGTTGCTTACCCCCAAGGTCCAAGGTCACACTTTAAAGGTCAAGTGTTTTAAAAAATTTCATGTTTAAACATTTACAAAAATCATCTGACTTTTACTTTACGAAAGAGATACTGCTTTTTTCCCCAGCAAGCATTCAATGTATACGTTACTAACTGTAATGAATGGACTATACCTTTAATTCCATGTAAAATAATATAATAAGTTTAAGAGAGTACCATCTGGATCATTATTTGTATTTGTTTATTTATAAATTTAAAGTGGTGAGATAATATGGTAAAAAATGTTAGCGAGAGATGAACACTGATGTTAGTATTTATGTAGGTTTTGAAATTAGACAGTGACTGATGGTCATATTTGACAGCTACTGTTATGTATTTATAAGATTATAAATCATCGCCAATCATCAGACAGGGTCCACTTGTCATAGTAAAGACAAGTGTTAAAAATTGAGGACATATAGTTCTTTAGAACACTTTTAACCTTTTTGGTATATTTAATTTTATGTACAAATAACATGGCCCTTTTAAATCAGAGGTGCTAACACAGGGACTTTCATTGTAAAAAAATTCCCCAGTATAGTCAGTAGACATGGTTTTTAAATTTTGCCATCTGCCAGCCCTTTCTTAAAAATTTTTTAACATTATAGTTCTAACGACACTGAAAGTTATTAACAAAAATGTCATTTTACATTATAATAAAATATATTTTTGTCTTTATTACTTAAAAATTTTTATAGCCAATCCAGAAAACATGTGATTCACTAAGATTTCAAAAAGCAAATTGTGACATTTGGAAAAGTTCCCATGCCCAATCCCCAAACCCTTATCCAAACAATCAGTTCAGGAAGTTGCAACATTTCTTGAAAACACAACAGTGTCCATGGTATAATGTAAAACAATAAACTAAACTACTTTCAATTTGACAAGAAAAATTTAGTACAAGCCTGTCTATGTTGAAATATGCATAAAAACCAGAAACAAGATAGCCAGCAAGTTGACCATTATTGTTGTTGTCAGGGGAAGTTAGAAGTTGGCTATGATTAAGAGTATAAAATAATAGTTTATAATTGTTTGTAATTGGAAATTTTTTTTTTCTGTAATGAAAATCAACATACCTACTTTTATTTACACTAAGCTAGGGTGAATCTTTGGATAAGGAAAAATGAGATCTCAAATCAAAGCGCTCTGCTGGTGTTTTGCATAGCACCCTTTGGACAAATGTTTAAGAAAGTAGATATAGTAATAGTATGATTGTTTGAAAATTTTCCTTTTAAAATATGCTTAACAAGTTTTTGCAGAAGCAACTTTCATTCTTAATTCTATAATTTGACTGAAAATGCTTGTTTTGTAATGCCCTTGTTGCAAATAACAGATGTGCTCTGTGTAAGTTGATTAACTGGCAAACAAGTATTATGTTCATAACTGGTTAACATGTTGATCACTCCTTTACTTTACATTTATGTTTATACCAAACCTTAATATCAAGCCATGGACATTAAAAAACATATTCTCTAGCTTATTAGTGTAAAACTTTAAAGTCCTCTTGACTTTACGAGACCAAGAATATTTATGTATTTATTTAGTAACATAATTTGTCCTCTATGGTTTGTTTATGAAAATTTGATTGCATCACCAGAAAATAAACAACAAAACATTAGTACAACTTTTTCTTGTGAAATAAACGGCTTAATCCTCAAGGAACTTTCTACATAACATCCTAGGGGCGTCCATGGCGGAGTGGTTACGGTCGTTGACTTCAAACCACTTGCCCCACACCTCTGTGGGTTCAATCCAGAAAGGGACTTTGGATTCTTTCATGTGAGGAAGCTATCCAGCTAGCTTACGGAATGTCAGTGGTTCTACTCAGGTACCCGTTCGTGCCTGAAATAATGCACGGAAGGGCACCTGAGGTCTTCCTCCAACAGCAAAGCTGGAATGTCGCGATATGACCTATACTGTGTCGATGTGACATAAAACCCAAAACAAGCAAACAAACATAACATCCTTTTGGCTGTTTTCTTAATGTAAGTTAATGGTAACCAAATCTGAAATGTGGAAAATCTTTGAACCTTTTAAAGAACCAGAGACCATTTTGATGATATTGTCAACAACAATCCTGTTAATCCATAACTGGTATTTATCATGTTTGTTCCTAAAAATAGTTTTTTTTTCACCTGTGAATTGACTGGTCCAATATATTTTGGAATGTTTACTGTCACTATACTTAAACCCTTTCCCCTACCAATATATATCTAAATGCAGAACATTGTAGATTTAAAGAGTGATTCCCCACCACATTGATTTATGAAATCATTATATTACAAATTAAAGATAATTATTTAAAGCCAAAAAGACACATTAAGGATAAAGATATTCAATGATTGTCAAGTGGTGCACTTCATCTTTTAATGTGCAAATAAGGAAAGGAAAAATTGACCATTGTATTCTATTCTATAATTGTTGTACATTAATTTCATAAATACTTAAAGTAGGATGTCTGACAATTGCTACACTTCTTATTATTATGTCATACATTATTTTCTTGACCCTTTGAGTGCTATATGTTTAATGATGACAGCCAATAACACCAGTATTATGAGTACACAGCCTCACAAGTGTGCACATAACACTTGGCTCTGCTTATTAAAAGATGTCTGCCTATCAACTAAGTTGTACCCCTGCTTGTGACAACAAACATTTAGCTTCAAATGACATTCATACTAATTGATTTAAAGAAATTGACTAAAGAATTATTGGTTCTAACTACTGTTCCGAGTTCAGCAATTTGTTTTACTATAAATAACTAATACTGTTATTTATAATTTCAGATCTTATCAAAAGATGAAGACCAAAATTGGTACAAAGCTGAGTTAAATGGGAAAGAAGGATATGTACCAAATAATTATATAGAAATGAGACCACATGAGTAAGTATTTTATCATGACTTTACAGCTACAGGAAATATTAACAGTAATTAATACCCAAAAATAGAGTCCAATGAACTTAATTGTTACAACATCTTATTACAGCTAATATAGTTTTTTTCCCCCAAGAGCCTTGTGTTGTTTTCATATAAACATTGTAGATACATATTTAAACAACTGTCATTAATGATAATGAGGCTTAAGTCAATGTATACTTTGTTTTTCACAAGTGTTGAGATATTACTTTTCAATATTGAATGACTGTTTTTAAACTTAAAAGAATATCACATAACAGTTCACATTTATAATTAACTACAACCTATTTTAATGTTTAAAAATTAGTAGTGTATTGTATGATGCGCTGTTATGGGTATTTTCTTTTTAAAGCAGCATGCCTTGAGATAAGTAAAGCGATTTTCAAAATATAAAGTTTATCAAAAACCGGACAACCACCAAACCCGGACGGCCCCGAAAATGGTTAATTTAGTATTTTCTTTGTTCAGTGGTTGTCAGTCACTTTTTGTTTTAACAAAAAATGCATGTTTTTTCTATAATTTAGTAAATAAATTTATTTCAACCTTCGTAAATAGTAAAATTTTAATGTCTGTTTTAAGGATGTTGCCGTTGAAATTTGGGCGTCAAGAAAGAAATACCTGATCTCATATACCAGCTATAATCATTTGCAAAGTAAACAATAGAATTTCCAAAACTTCAGCATTTGTTGCTGATATATTGTATATCATGTTAAAAATCAAAAATTAAAACATCCAAGCTTTTATATGAATTAAATCACGCCATGTACATATCTGTCCGGACACATGGTACTGTAGTGTAGACAATTTAGGTAATTTGGATACCCTCCTTGATGAGCCTCAGATATAAGTGTAATACAATCAGAAATAAACAAACTAGTTTGTCAGTTAGGAGAAGAAGTCAAATTTTTAGGTCTCTGAGTTGGAAAGTATGAAATCTATATGGAAAAATGTTCAAAAAGTGTCCGGTTGATGGTCCCCGACCAGTATAGTTTATTTATAGTTTTAGAAATTTTTAATTACTCAATAAACAGGGTGAAACTTTGAAAGTATTATGATTAATATGAGAGAATTTACTAGTTTTTTGGATCACTAAAAGATTAACAGAAAACTCTGCATATAGGGGAATTTCTGCAGATCAGATATGCACATTTTTACTCATTAGGACAAATATTAAATTTTATTATCTAAAAGCATGCTGCTTTAAACCAATTGCAACATTTGGAGAAAAAAAAAAATATAAAAGTGATATAATCAAGCTCTCTTAGGCTTCATAGTATTGTGGGTTTGGATCCCTCCAGTGCATGGAGATAAAGCTATCCAGCTAGTTTATGGATGGTGGATGGTTCTACTCAGGTGTCTGCTTGTGATGTACAGAGGAGCATTTAGAGATCTTCCTTCACAGAAAAACCTACCATTTGGTTTAAAACCTTATCTGTTTTTGGTGTGCAAGTCTTTCTTTTTACAGAATAAATTTAGTGGTTATGTTTGTAGTCTGGCATCTTAATTCAAATTATTGTTTACTTAACTGAATCTTTGAGTTGCAGAGTAGTTATAGGAAGTGATTAGTCAAATAAAGAAAAAGGTCAAATAGTTTGTGGTATCAGTTATTGATTGTATGTATATCATGATAGGATAGACAATTTCAAATTTATAAAACTAAGTGTTAAATAAGCAACTGGGTTTTATTGTAGATTTTGGGTAAGCCTATATTACATAATAATTTGTATTTTTTTTGGGGACGGGAAAGGGTTCACAATAAAAAAGGTTTTTATTTTGAAAAAAAAATGGCAGGTCTGTTTAATAAATTTTATTAAAAATTGATAATTTCCTGCAGTTAATTAAGTGTGAAGATTCATTATTTTCAAGTTTCAGTTGTGAAAAAGTCATTACAATACTCATTAATAGTCATTTTATATGTTGTTGTTTTATCATTTCACTGTTTTCAGTACCAGATAAATAAATTATAATAACTAAAATAAGGATATTAGTAAATTCAAGTAAATTCAAATAAAGTTTAAGGTGACAACGGAGTCAATTATCACTGAAAATACCTAAAATGAGATTTTTTGCTAAGTAGATTTATCAACCTTTTTCTGAACACATTCGTGATTTAATTTTGGAAGCAGTTAGTCCAAAAAAATGTGTTTTTAAAACGTTTTAAAAACGGTACCTATACTATTTGTATCTGCTATTCGCGTAACCTGTTGTCGATTTATCGATAACGCTCCGCCCCCTGTTGAGGCATACAATTAGGGAAATCGGTAGTTCCATATATGCGTGAATTACATGTCCATACTGGTCCATACTACTCGTAATACATGTATCGTACAACTACCGTACATCTTTTATGAATATCTCAACATTTAGCCTTTTTTTATAAATTAAAAAATTGTCGGCCAATGTACGTAACATAATGTATGAAACATAAATAATTAAGCATAGCGGCAAATCGCACGACCACGGGGTTGATTAAAAATGTAGTTGCTAAAATATCCATAATGTGTGAGAATAATTTTTGTCTGTCCCGTTAATCTGATAGATATTACATTGAGTTGATAGACTTTTGTACGGATTCAAGGGTTTACTTTACATTCAACCTCGTTTTCTAACAATGTCAAGTAAAACAATTAACAACAAAAACAGACAACATTTTTTATGTGAACGCCTATATGACTTGTGGTAAGGTGTCCCTGACAAATTTTCTAAACCATTTTTAGATTGTCTAAGGATGATTATTTCTCTATGAATAAAAAAAAAGATATTAAAATATATTTTCAGTGAAAATAAATTGTTCGCACGCAGTAAATCGGACACAGTACTAATAAAATCTGGGACAAAGTATGAAATTTATTGTCTATCCCGGTAGAAACTGGATCTTTATGCCGTGCATAGATGATATTCATGATAATAGAAGTCAAGAAGGCCAGATCATAATGATCGAGTAATATCTTTTATTTCTATTAAAATATGTGAAGGTCATTATTAATTTTGGTGGAAAAAAATATATAATATCCCGTTCTTATTTGTACATCTCTACCATGGACTTTTAAAAGATGTCAGAAGCTCAGTTTTTTGTTATTTTATTTTATATTTTAACGGAATTTCATACACGAATACACAGGCAGAGTGACACTGGTATAAAATACAATAATAATGCTGATGATTAAATAATTTAATAAACTTCAAAAAGGAAACAATTAAATACCCCGCTAGCGGTGCGCAATGCGTTCCATTTCCCCCACTGAGTGCCTCATATTTTACCGATAGTCACGTGACATGTGCGACAGATACCAGACGGAAAGTAAATCACGTTAAGAATTGAAGAAATTTCGGCTATAAACTGATATTAATCAGCAGCTTTTTAATTGGTCAGATGTCACTGGGTCATAAAATGTGTGTTAGAGTATGTTACCAGCTCTTGCAACTTGTGACCCTCTCTGGTGCGATATTTGTGTATTATGCAATTATTTAGCGTGAAAACGTAGGGGTCCGAGAGAGAACAGCCGATTTATGACACTTCGTTTGATGCGGTCGGACTAACTTTGAATCGGCATAACTTTTTTTTAATAATCAAGCAATTAACATGCGGTTTAAAGCACATGAAAGGAAATTCATTTTACGGAGGGAACCGTGTCAGGGATTTTTTTGTTTGCTCAATCAGCGACTTAATTATCTTTAATTACGTAATATGTAATGGTGAAAAAAGTCGCATAAAATGTTTTGACGTTACGTATATTTTTTTGAGAAAAGTAGAAAAAAAATTTGAGACACGGTTCCCCAGATAATATAAGTATGGTTTATTTTCCAAAAGTTTGATGACAAAAAAATAAAAAAATGACTTTGATATGACGATTTAAAATTTTAGGGTTTTTATTCAAAATCAAATCATTTACAAAGGCATTTTTTTCAAAATATGTTATTTTTTATGATGATCAACGATATTTTAATGCACAAAGTATAAATAAATAACAATTTATTACTAAAATAACTTAGTTTAAAATGACATTTATGTGAGTACCACGGAAAGTGTCTGTTGTCACCTTAATGTAATATCAATTTTATTTGAATTTGTTTCAGTGAAATGCTATCTCAAGTCATATACATTTGTATCATAGTGTGTAATTTGCTGGACACTAGTCATTGTCAGCATGTACAACTCTAAGACTGACAGTGCCAGCACAATCTTGTATTTCCAACTCTTAATTTTAATACAGTGAGTGCAAGTAGCAAGGTCAATGCACCCAAGGATTGTCACAAGAACTTGAACTACCATATGATTTGCGCTGAAATTAATTTTATTTTCTGGCATTTTGATAATTTGAAGCTGACTGAGCTTCATGTAAAGCTTTGATAAACTGCAGAAATGTTCATCTTGAAAAAAAAGTTACAGAATTCTTTCATCATTTAGAGAGAAAACACACAAATCAATTGTGAATATTCAAAAAGATAATCCTTGAAGCTTACCTGTTGACAGCATACATGTAATTTCTCATGAGAGAGTTTAACAAAAGAGTTGTTAATTGATGTATTGTTTATGTCTGTTGCCAAGATAAAATCATGATTTGGTTTTTTTTAGGTCATGCAAGTTTTTTGTGGAATGTTTGACCTCTATACATAGATCTCGGCTGATTAATCACTCTAATCTTAATTTCTAAATAAAAAACCCCAACATACTGTTTTATATAGATTTTAATCTGAACCATTCTTTAACTGTTTTGCAATATTGTGTATTAATAGCCTCTCATTTTCTCCTTTGTTCATATATCATAATTTTTTATGCTTACATGTACACAATAATGGAGATAAAGTCAAATGTAATTAACATGTTTCTGTTATTATAGTCGGAAAAATTTCTTAATCCAATTCTGTGATTTAAAACACAGTCAACAAATTGAAAAAAATGAAATGAGTATTATTAAATTTTTAAGTTTGCGCATGCTAATATATAAACTTTCTGCTTTCTTTAGTGTTGATATTCTACCGTCCATCTTACCAAACTCTTGTACTGGTTGATACTCAATTTTAGTAATTTTTAAGTGAATTCTTGATTTTGATATATTTTTCAACTTCAAGGTGTGTTAATGTTGCTGACTTCAAATCAGTTGCCACTCAAACCCTTAAGATTTTAATCCTTTCTGGGACTTGAATTTGAGGAAACTATCCAGTTTGCTTACAGAAGGTTGGTAGTTCTACTCAGGTGCCAACTCTTGCCTGAAATAATTCACATAGGGGCAGCTGATGTCTTCCTCCACCAGTAAATCTGTAAACTTGCTGTATGACCTTTACAGTGCCACAGTGACGTAAAATCCAACGAAAAAAAATAGCTTCAAAGCAGGATTTGGCAGGATAAATTTTTACAATCAGCAGGATTAAGGATAATTTACAAACATCAGGCAACAAGTTTGGAAGTGTTACAAAGGAGGCATTGAAATATCCGAGTGGTAAATTTCTGTCAGCTTATGTAAACACTATATCGCTTATTTTATTTCATGTTCTTAGCTGGTTTTGTGGAAAAATGAGGCGAAATGAAGCCGAGGAATTGTTGTTACAAAAAGTTAATGGTCAGTATGTTCACCCAGATGGCGCCTTTTTAGTACGCCACAGTGAAAGTGCGCCAGGAGATTTTTCTATGTCAGTCAAGTAAGTTGAGAATGGTGTTGTGGTAGAGTTAATTTTATATATACATGGGTGTAGTCATAGAGGAGGGGAGAAAAATACAATCTTTTGCCAGGAGAGGGTAGCGATGAATATGAAAGGATAATTTCTACAAATAATCTGAAAGAGGTTGATATTATATCCGTTTTCTATCATAAAAACAATGAAGTTTCAAGCAGAGCACACCCAATAGTGGCAAAAGGTTGATTTTTTTCCTGTCAAAGATGAAATATATTTTGATGTAACTGTTAAGGATATTACATACTTTAGGTGGTATAAAGGCAATATGAAGCGTACAGATGCAGAAAACTTACTATTGGCTAAAACAAATACGGGATCATATGTACATCCTGATGGGGCTTTCCTGGTTCGTGGATGTGAAAGTCAGCCAGGAGAGTTTTCACTGTCGGTCAAGTAAGTCTTGAGCTCAATATTGGCTATATTAAATGTGTTTGTATCTCCTTCTGATAACTTGATGTATGGTCAAACTCGTGAAAGTATGTATTCTTCTATCTTTTATTACATGGGAGCGCTGATGATTTTTTAGGTGTTAGTTGCCAGTATAAATTTATCCCTTACAGATTGCATCAAATGTGTATCATTTTCTTGCTTTGAATGTAACATAAGCTACCTACCCTGCTTCTTCTTAAAGCACCTTTTTAATGTCATGTTTCTTATATTGCTGTGATGATGCTTCAACTGTATGAAAGTCTTTAATGCATGACAATTATGGTTACTTGATTGCTGTACACATATTCTTAGTAATTTCTTTTAAAACATACACATATTTCTGTTTTATAGCAACTACTTAATATGTTAATTTTTCTGCATATTTTAACAGTGGAAATGATTTAAAAGTTTACTAAGTTGATTTCTTGTAACTTTATGTCTATATAGATGTCAGAAATAACCTAATAATATTGAAACTGCATGACATTTAAAGATTATTAGCTTAACATGAAAATTTAAACTAATCATGTAAATCAAAATCATAACTTATTACTCATTTTAAGATTAAACATATCTACTACCAACAGCATATGAATCTGTTCTTATTTCACAAAGTTTTTATTAACATTCACATTAAGACTGATAACAATTCTTACAAAATCCTTCCTCTTATACATAGAAGCAGTTCTAGCAACAATATGGAAATGTGCAAAATTGCTGCTTAATCTGTCAAATTGATTATTTGAATAATATTAGAGCTTTCCAATGCATCCAGGTTTCAGCTTAACACTTGGTTAAGATTTTGTACACAACTTCATCTATCATGTAAAAATTTAGATATTCATATAATCTACATTATAATTATAGGTTACTGTCCCATGCCATAAGTAAATTGTATTATGACAGAAGTATTCAGCCTTCTGAATTTAGAAAATTTCTTATTAAGGTGTGTTGTTTTTTTTGACATTCATTCACAAATAGCTTTTTCAAATAGGTCATAAAATTAAATTGTAATAAGGTTTTATGATGTTTTTTTGGGGGGTAAATATGTTTGTAATATATATGTAAATAGATATAAGATATACCTCAAGTGGTATTTTCTCTTGACCATGTTGTAAGTGGCTAAAATTTATGGATGAAAATAAAAGAATACAAGACTCGCGACAAACGTAATAGCCAACCAAGGCAACAACATTCATTCAATTTTGAAAGCCTTTCTTGCAGTACCCAGAATAACATAAAAATGACACATACAAGGTTGTAGGGTTAACATTTAAGTTAGAAGAAGGAGATGCACATATATATTGTTAGTGTAACAGGAAAACATCATTGCATGGTTGCTGCTTTTGTATATAATTGCTTTTACAGGCACACATGTCGGTTGTACTCACCCAGTTGATTGAAGCTTTTTCTTTGAATGTTCATTAGCTAATTATATAAATAAATCCAAAGTTTATAGAAAAGCTTTTCATTTCTGCCTCATATTGCCTTGCTTTGCTGCTTTCTAATTTACCAGTATTTTTGTGGTCAGTAAATCTTTAAATTTCTGACCCTTTAGTTTAATCATATTTTATTGCTATATATATATGTATATACAATACAGATACAAATTTCATAGTATATGATCATGAATCAAAGAATCGGTCTTTCAGTACCACCAATATATATGAATATATATGAGGGCTGTGCCAATAAGTTACGGACTACAGCATTTAAATAACAAATACTCAAAAGGCTTTTATAAAAAAAAAACATTCACTAATATTTAATACACATTTGCTGAGTGTACATGCAAAAAAAAGGCAGTAAAATATTATCTAATTTGATAACATATATTTTTGTTTAACTGCAATTTCATAGTTCATAACTTTGAGGGACAGCCTTTGTATTTTCAATCTGTTTAATGATCACATAAGAAAAATAATGTTTTAATGTCATTTATGTTTATTCAGTCGAATTATCTTTATGTTTTAAGATAATTTTATAATTTGGACACCTGTCAATAGACACATTCCTTTGTTGTAAAGTTAAAACAAGGAAAAATGTACTAATGACTCTAATGTATTGTAATTTTCTAATTATACTTAGGGTATGTTAAGAACACTGTGATTATATAAGATAAAACATAAAGCATGTCCATAATAAAAGTATTTAATGATACATTGTATCTGAATTTGAAATATAGTTTTAGTAAAATTAAATAATTAGTTAATTATTAGAAATTTGCTATGTTTTTAGGTTAAACTTGGTGAATGATATATTTTCCCCATTGAACTGACTGCTGTCCAGGCATTTTATACCAGTATATTCTTTATTCCTCCAGAATAAATATGGCTGAAAAAACATTGTGTTTAAGATCATACAACCACAGATAGATAATGTGGTTTCTATAAGTATTAGAATATTTCAGGAGCACAATAAAGTTACCTGTCTGTTATAACATAACTGAAATTTCATTTTAAAATGTTTAAAAAAATCACATCAAAATGAGAGATGAAAAATGCTTTACACAGTTATAAGCACACATAAAGTTATTTTATTTTTAGTGAAAACATTTGCTGTGTTTGATTTTAAACAATAAGACAATGCATTCTTAACATAACTTTTAGTATGATCAGAATGTAATGCAATATTAATCATTTGAGCCGTGCCATGACAAAACCAACATAGTGGGTTTGCGACCAGCATGGATCCAGACCAGCCTGCGCCTTCGCGCAGTCTGATCAGGATCCATGCTGTTCGCTATCAGTTTCTCTACTTGTAATAGGGTTTGTAAGCGAACAGCATGGATCCTGATCAGACTGCGCGGATGCACAGGCTGGTCTGGATCCATGCTGGTAGCAAACCCATTATGTTGGTTTTGTTGTGACACGGCTCATTAATTTTGTAGATTTCAAGATGGTGTACAACATTTTAAAATTCTCCGTGATGGAGCTGGTAAATACTTTCTGTGGATAGTAAAGTTTCAGTCTATACACGAGTTGATAGAGTACCATCGGAAATCTTCAGTCAGCCGTTCACAGACAATTAATTTGAAAGATATGAAGGGAATCAATCAGGTAAGCTCTATTGATTTGTTTCAGTGCACTCCTCCATCATGTAGCTATCTCACATTTTAAATCTGAAATTTAATTTAGCTATAATGAGTAAGCATCATTTATTCATGTAAGGGGAAGTAATGCTTTTCATTGTTCCTGACATTGAATGCATCGAGAAGAAATGAGTGTGCAGATCTCAAGATCCAAGGCTCTGAATAAGTTAAAATGCCAGACTAAATCAGCATTGAACAGTTATCTTTCTACAAAATCGCCTCATATCTGTGGGGAAGAAATGGAAAAATTAGTAAAACAAAATAAAGGATTTAAATATATAAGTTGATTTCAACAAAACAGTCACATTTCATTTGATTATATTTTGATTTAAAGGTAAAACTATGGAAATTCTGACAAAAAATTTCAAAATGAAAAACCAAGCAGGACTATTTAAAGCTGTTTTCTTGAGTTTTAGAACAGAAGGATCTAGTAAGCTCGGTAAAAAACTATGATTTAGTGATGACAGATAGTCTGTTATCTGGTAGGGCCTATTTTCTAAACCTTCTAATATTCATATTCTTGAAACTTGTCTTGAAGCATTCTGTAAATTTTAGCAAATTTAGTTTTTGGTTAATTTCTCTGCACATATAATACATAATAATTCTAACATTATATGTGGTTTCACCAGATTATGTCTGTGATGATACGAGTACAAGAGATTTCTCCACCTTAATTACATCCTCGCTTATACTAGTGGCCATTTAGCAAAAAAATAACATATCATCTCTTCTCATAAACCAATAAATGTGACTTGCTTAAAACTTGATCCTTAATTTCTTTGGATGTAATTATCTGTAGAGGAGGTGTTATAATATTTTGTGCAGTGAAAACCAAAATAGTGATCATGATAATCTTTGATTGAGTCTGTTTATTAGAATTGCCATTCTTTGAGATTGAACAGTATGACTGATAGTGATTATGTGATTAAATAAAGAACGAAAAAGGTAACAATAGAAGACAGGTTATTGATAAACCCAAGTATTTTACAGTATCAAGTTTTTTTATGCCCCCGAAGGCATAATGTGATTGCATCGTCTGTCCGTTTGTCCCACTTCATTTGTGTCCGGACTTTAACTTTGTCATACATTGAGAGATTTTGAAATAACGTGGCACAAATGTCTACCACATCAACACGATGTCGCATCCAAGAGCCTTGTCCCTACCTCAAAGGTCAAGGTCACACTATAATTTGAAGTTTCACATTATCGCAATAAGAGTAAAATTGTACACACATTCGTGTCTGGACTGTAACTTTGTCAGGCATCGAATGATTTTAAAACAACTAGGCATAAATGTCTACCACATCAAGACGATGTGTCGCGTCCAAGAATTACGTCTCTACCTCAAAGGTCAAGGTCACACTTAACATTTTGAAGTCTGTGTGTCCCCACTTACACAACAATCATGTCCAGACTGTAACTTTGTCATTCATTGAGGGATTTTGAAATAATTTGGCACAAATGTCTATCTCATAACAACATTTTGTCACATCCAAGAACCATGTCCCTTCTTCAAAGGTCAAGGTCAGACTTATATTTTGAAGGTTCATGTTATCACAATTAGAGATTACAGGTACAATAATACAAAGAACAATATTCAGCAATTAGTTACTTTCATTCTCTTTTCTTTCCATAATACCTGCATGCTTAAAAAACCTTTTCGGGGGCATCCGTCACTTGGGTGACAGCTCTTGTTTGGAAATTTATAAAATAGGTCTGTTGATGGAATATTAAAATTTATTATTTATGAAAAAAAATGGTTATGTTAGTTGTAGTTGTTTGTTGTGAGTGTGATATATATAGTAGTGTTTTAGTGAAATTTGAAAAATCATTAAAACATTTATACCTAAAATTATTTATTGTAATTATGATTCCCTCTAGAAGAGTGAGGTATTGTTTTTGATGTCGGGCTGCCTGTTAATTATCATTAGCTTGTCCATGTTTGTTGTAAATAACCTCTGTGACCATTTGGAGGGAACTTTGCAACTGTAGGAAGCACTGTTATGTATATTGTCTGCATGTTCAGCATAGGAAAATTAAAATACAATTATTTGGGAGGGTGGGTGGAAATATAACTATTTTTCAGATAAAGAATTTCCATTTTTTTTCTTATGTACATATTAATAATACATTACTATTTCATAATATGATTGTAACTAGTTCATGATAGCGTTGATGTTAATGAACAATTTGTTGTTTAATTCTTGTCAATATTGTACCAGTCTTAGGCTATAGCATTTCCTTATCTCACTGCAGAACATCCTATCAAAGTGAGATCATCTTTCTAAAGCCCCTTGTGTTAACCAAACTTGGTCTAGTTATGCCAGTTATACACATTATTTTACTGTCTTGAAAGACTAGTGAAGATGTAATATCTGAAGTTAGGCTCTTTTATTTGGATTTTATATTTCCATGTTTGATACCAGAACCACTCCACATTTTCAGGCTGAGAGATTTATGGTTCATAAATAAATAAAGTTTGTTATAGTTATAATTCAATATGTAACTTACAGATTTAAAGCATTTTTCAAAGACAATTTATTATTCTTAGTTACCAGTTTTATATGTAATAGTAAGAGCATCGAATCACGAGGCTATCTGATTTGTACGAGGGGCATATCGCCTGAGTATAAATCAGATTGCCAAGTATTTTTGTGTTCTTTCTCTTTTGTATCATAGTAAAAAATAAAAACATGTTCCCTGTTGTACAATATGAAACCCAAGAAAAAAGTCCCAATAAACGAGCATCTGAATATGATATTTCTATCCCAATCTTTTTCTCTGTCTTAACAATACGCAAACCCAAGACAAAATGAGCCAATCAATGGGCATGCTCTGGAGTGCGGTAGCATATACCTGCACTCCAGTTAATGCACTGTGCATGTATATGTATACGATTTGATTCTGACACATTTTCAACAGAAAGGTCCCCAAACTATGATACAAGGTCAAATGATGCTACTTAATATCAAGTTATTCTTCCACATTGATTTCCACTAGAAGGCTACCGGATAATTGCTAAAGTTAAACAGTGTACTAGTTTTACCTGCAAAATGTAGTTATTACAGATATTTGAATTATAGGGAATGTTTTTATTACAAGTTACTGTAATGTTACTGTGACAATGTCTTATTTACTTAGTGTGTGAGCATGTTGATTGTTGAATGAATATTACTAAATTTTAACACCATACTTTTATGTTGAATTACATTTAGCATCAACAACAACAACAGCAAGATGATGTGGTAAATATCTTTCTTTTAGACTAATGTTCTTGTCATATTAATTTCCATTAGTTTATTTGCTGTATACACTAACTAGCACCTGTCATTTATTTAAAATTCTTATCACATGGTTTATAATTATGTGTATATTAATTATATTGTTAAATTGGAGTAATGGATTGCATTGAATTGATCTCTAGCGCATGTTTTTGATACATTAATTGCATGAAATTTAATAAATATGCATTTTTTTCTTTAAATTAACATTTTAATGTAGTTCACTGTAACACACAGTATTTGTATAAAAGTATATAATTATTTTAAATTATAAAAAAGGATGAAAATGCTACAATCAGTTTTTTAACATTTCTTTTGTGGTGCCAACAGATGTATACTAATTATAATACTACCTTTTAAACTTTTGGTCTTCCCTTATATAACTTAATTAACTTTGGTAAAGGCTTATAATGCTTTAGTTCTTATGTTCTGATATTAAACATGGCTACAAGAACATTTGAAAGTTCCTATTTTCGCTTAAAATTGCTATATAAATGAGCTTGAAACTCTTGAAGTTTATCAAAGATCAGTTGTATAACCTCATCTGAGGTAAGCAAAAATCATCTTTTCAGTTTTGGCGACATTATGACTTAAATTGTGTTGTTGCACCTTAGGAACTAACAAACGTAGAATTTTCGAGGCAGCATACAGTTTTTTGTAAGCCATGAAAATTACTTAACACACTGTCTCTTTACATGGTCAAAACGCACTTACTGTGCAGTGCTTGGTTAATAAGAGAATATATGTTAACTTTATGCAATAATACCACTGAATTCCTAGTAAAAATCATAATATTCGTTACACAATTAAGCCTGTTTTAGACTAATTGATTATGTAACTCAGTGTAGGCAAACAAGTGATTCACACTTATTCACACTTATATTTAAGGAACATTCTGATTGGCTCATAATAGTCAGCTTTACTAGATATCACTGTATAACAAGTATTCAGGACTTAATACTTTAATTGGCAAAATGGGAATATAAAGCAAAAAATAAGGCCCAACTTTACAGTATTTTATTTGTATAGAAACTGGATAAATATTGAGTAATACAAACATATATAGCATATAGAAATCCCATAGTTTTCATAGAATTGTTTCTATTTTTAGCAATGGTGTAAACGATTAAAAAAATTATAAACGTAGCAGCCTAACTTATAAAACAAAGGTCAAAGTTGTTGAGACCTCTAAATATCAAACTGGTACTGTTGCCATAAAGCAAAAGTCCTTCCATCCATATCCATTCAAACTTCAAATATGTATGCACCTGATAGTTTAAAGGTCAAGCTCACCAACTAGGGCATGGCGTCAAATGGGAATGTAGCTCCTTATTACTCAGGTGTTATTTGCTATTATCAGCCTGTATAAGAAGAAGATGCGGGAAAGGACACATTTCATTTAAAGAACTTTGTCACTACAGACTGTTGAAGTAGAGCTAGTAGAGCCTTACCCATACACATGCCCAGCTTTTCCCCATAGATTAAATTATTTTCCTTGAAGGTTATGGTGTGTCCATATTATGAACTCCAATTTAATGATATGTTGATTTAATTATGGTAAACTTAAGTTAAATTATCAGATATTTTAAGCTCTACCTATTTAGAGCTATTGCTACGGTCGGGTTGTTGTTGCTATTGCCATTCTCAACTTAACCTTGACTCTTAGATGACCTCGACCATCAAGTACTTTGTTATTTATTTACAGATTTAATTTATACTTAGACAAAAGAACACATATGACAAAACCAACTTGTTGAATTATTCTGATATGACATTTGATTTTGACCTTTACTGTCAAGGTTATTGATATTTGCTTAAATTGTTATAACTTTACTATTATTTATGGATTTGATTCATTCTTAGGCAAAAAAAACACTTATGACAAAACAGACATCATGATTAATTAAGATGTGACCTTGACCTGTAAATGACCTTGACTGTTATTGCCAAATGGGAAATTTAAATTCTTCCTTCAATGACATTTTTGACTTTAGAAATAAAAAAGTCGAGTGTGGCCCCTCGAGATGGTGGCTGATATAACACTGAGTCAACTGTATCTTTAACAATAGCACATTTACACCTGGTGGTAATAAGTTAATATTTAATTTGGGATAACTTCTTGTATGTATTAGTCAGATGATTTTCAGGTCAGTTTCTTTATATTTTATGTCAGGATAACAGGTCACTGAAAGCAGTCAGTGTATGTTGTTGGTGCAACTACATGTATTAGTGATTGATAGCTATACAAATACCCTGTATTCAGGGTATTTCTCAGCTAACAAATGAGACATTTTAATGAGATTACATTTTAGGTTAAAGACTCTTCCTTTTATGTTTATGATATATTTGTACAACAAAATATTACCCAAAACATGCTCATTAATTAAATACTGAATAAACTTAATATGATAATAACAGGCCATTCAGCCTTTAAAAAGCAAGGCCAGCCAGCACATTTATACTGTCTGACCAGACTTTCAGCAATCTTTTATTTTTTAATTATTGCAGTTTGAAAGTTTTTATGATAATATCCCAGTTTATCTAAACATAATGTAGAATTAGGCATCTTTTTCAACTTTTGTAAAAATTATTTACTATGAAAGTTGCAGAATTTAAATTTTTAACTCTTGTACCTGATTTAATAACCATACTTCATCTTGAATTACCTATAGCAACATTTCGAAGACCTGGTAAATATGATATATATCAGACTTTTAGACTAATTATGAATAATTTCTGATGTATTTCTGTACTGACTATTTAATACATTTGCAAATTGCACCTTCTTTTGAATACTTCCTTGCCATTCAAGAATGGTGCTTTTAAAAACCAGTTGGTAACCAGTTGAAATACAACTGAAGGAATTTACTTAAAACTTTACACATGTTTTATTTCTTTCAATCAATTGTCAAAGATTCAGAACTTTAATCTGGATTTCAACTGAATTGTTTCCCATTTGTTGAGCTTTCTGCATGACCCTTGTTTCACTATCAAAGAGTAATAATGGTTCTTGTTTGAAGGAAAGCTTCAACTGACTATTGTATTTGAATGAAGTGATTTTTTTTGTCAAAAAAAAATGGTTTCACACCATCAATCATGTTCCATATCACAAGGTAGTTAGGCACATTCTGCTAGCGTGGGATTCACAAGGCATAGCAGAACAATTGGGATAACAGTAATACATTAAATCATTTTAATGCCATTGTCTTCTGCTCTGTTTCTGAAGATTAATGTTGAAATTAGCACTGAAACCAGGATTTTTTCTAAGTTAACTGTCACTGTACATTATGTATATGATTATAACTTTTTAAATTGTTACTAAACCCAAGTAAGTAAAACAAATTCTAAAATATTAACAAGATGAGCTTTTGTGATAGTATGATGCCTATAGTTATTCAAATTTTGTTTTAAATAACATCCTAGATGTTTACCAAGCTTTTACCTCTTTGTAGATTTTTTTACCAAACTTTGTTCTTAGACAAACTTTTTTAGTAGTTAGATTGAGGGTTGCAGTCGAATCATTCTGGATTCAGACCACTTGCTTGACAATAATCAAAATATTTTGGGTATAGCTTACAAACAAAACACAGTTAAAACATTTAACTATAAACTATCTTCTGACGTTATAAGTAGTGCAATAATACCTCTAAGGATTTTCTGTGTTAAAATGATTCTTTAACACCAGTTAAAAATTTCCAGAGTGAAAAAAGAAAAAACTTTCAGCAGGAGGTCAGAATGTAGTTAGTAGGTCACTGGAGGGCAAAATATAACTGATACTTGGTATCAGTATCACCATGTGGTCCTCTACATAAGTTTTAATTTATAAATCATGCCCCAAGAGTCAAAATGCCTTTCATGGTTTACGTACTTATATACGAACTTGTGATAGGAATTATGGCACACATGTACCGATAAAACTATAGATTAATTAAATTAGTAGCAAGTTTTAAATGAAGTATGTGCTCGCCCATATGGTTCATTCAGGTGGCGAGGGTAAACAAACCAAACACACACACACAAAATGCCTTCACCCTCAATGTAACATAGTTTACAGACTTGTGTAGGAAAAGACAATCTATTGCAGAAACTACAGTGTTACAATTTAAGTATTTGCCATGTAGCATAATGTGAAATTAGATATTATTGGAAGGCCACAATTTTGCAAAATTTACATTTTGTAAGGTTAAATACTCACAAATTTCCAAAAAGTTTGCAAACCAAAGTCACTGTCATTATAAATCAATGTTATGTCAATTTCATTAGGGAATATTGGATTTTATATAAATATAAAAAGGTGTGATTTGGTCAAAAGTATAAGAGATGAATTTACAGAACCTCTACACAAGGATATTTAATGTCATGTCCTCAAAGTCATAATTTGCCCTACCCTGGGATTCACTTATGGTATTTTACATATTCATGTACTTGTATAGGAAATATCTTATTGTGACCTTCCCCCGATATGGATTTATTTTGGTGTTCAGTTTAGAACATATTATTTTGTTTTACCCAGTACAGACAAAAAAAAGCATGCATACAAACCAAAATGTCTGAACATTTTGACGTATGACATTGTCCATTACTTAAAACCTGATAAAAATCTTGTGGTGAAAGTAACCCTTACAGGTGAAGGTAATTTTTATGAGCACCTCTGTATTGTAAGCAAAAGGTTTCAAACAATAAAAGAGGTGAAGGTCACTCATTAGAGGCAAAGGTCACTTTTTAGAAGCTAGTAGTAGGTAAAAACAATGTTTAATAGATAATAAGATTGCTACATGAAATTATGTTAAAGTGTTGTGAGATTTAGTTTTACATTGATCACTCAAGATGGGATTTTGACATAACTTTATGAGTATAGTAATATTGATATTTTATAATTAGACTTCAGTTTGTAACTGTTTTACTCCTTTTTATTTATATAATAGGGAGAGCTATTCTCATACAGGTTTGGACCTCACACTTTTGGTTAAGTTTTTTCTACCATCCCACTTATTTCACATTTTGATGCATTACTTTGTTACAATGTGTACTTGGTAGTGACCATCATCAAAAATTCAAGGCAAAAGGACATAACTCGGTCATGTATAAAAAAAAACTATGCCCTTTTCCTTACTTAGAATTTCGACTAAGTTTTTAGTGACCACTATCTCTGATTCCAGGCATAACTCAGTCAAGGATAATTACAGAATTATGCCCACTATTTGACTTTGAATTCTGATTAAGTTTTTTAAACCACCCCACTTATTTTCTATACCCCTTGAGGTATTGCTTTAAAACTTTGTATATGTGTCCACCATTCCCACTTCCTGGTAAGTAATTTAGTCAACACTTATAGTCAAGTATGCTGTCTTACCGACAGCTCTTGTTTTGTAGTATATTTTTTTACATACGTATACCTAACTGCTGTTTTATTTTATAACCAGTCTGGCAATGATGATAACTTTATATATATGTAAATCGATACTAGATCTAATGCTTAATGTGATGTTGTGTTTCATTGCTTGTAGAATATATTTCGATTGATCAGCTTTAACAACTTCCTTGTTTGTCATACAAAAGGAATTTTACCACTTATGTGTTAGTTTCACTTTGTTGTGTTAGCTGTTAGCATGTGTCTGTAACATAATCCTGTTGTTTCCTCACTCACTATAATCCAACTATATATGTCAAAATATACCTGTAAATGTGGGACAGTTTAATGATATAAATCATTATAAAGTGCATGGAATGTAAAGAATTTGAAAAAATAGAAGTCATGCAATTAGCATTTATGTTGTGTTTAATAGATTGAAATGGTATAGTTAATATTTTGGTGTAAGTTTTTTATTTTGTCAAAACTTGTATTTGAGAATGTTATTGTTTCTATTGTAGAGAAGGGCTATTGCCTTGTATGATTTCCAGCCACAAGAGCGAGGAGAACTACAGCTGAAGAAGGGAGATGAAATAGTTATTGAGGAAGAATTAGATCGTCATTGGTGGCATGGTAAGAATTGCCGAACCAATGAATCCGGACTTTTCCCTGCAAATTATGTCAAATGCCATTGCAATTAATACCAAAAATTGACCGATACAACAATATTTTTGTCATCTAAGAAGAAATCTTGAATCATGGAAAGATGGCGACAGCCGTCTATGAACCTTGGATCCTGTTCTTGACATCTTCTTTTCATAAGTCATCATTTATCAACTAGATTGAAAGATGCTGTTGCTCCTGTTTAAGCTAGTGTCTACTGAAACCTGAGCTTTATAGATGTTACATAGACAGGAATATGATAAGAGCTTCAATACAGATAAATATACAATCATTGTCTTCATGTCCTCCTGTCATACAGTTACCAGTAATTTCAATGCTTGCAGTCTCCCATGGATTTGTAGTCTCGATTTCTACTTTAACAAAAAATACCCTATAGATTTTATTTGTGTGTGTGTTGTCATCACAATAAAAAGGACTGTTTTGTTGGATTTTTTTTCTTTACATTGTCACCCCTAAATTTGTAGAGATTTTTTTTTTGTTAAAAATACACATTTTTATACAGATTATGTTAACATTTTTGACTAGATCATGTTGATAAGGGTAAAACTTCAAGGAAAGAATTAAGTAGATTATTTCATATTGATTTCTTTTTGGAGGAATAAATAGATAGATATAGATAGATCAGGGGTTTTGATATTGAAGCATTGTCACAAGTCATTTTGAAATCTTAAGTGTTGTTATGGATTTCTTTTCTCAGCATTGTTGTAATTTTCTACAGGCCATACTTATTAATTTCATCATAATTGAAAGAAAAACTGTCAAAATTAGTATATGATGTAAACTTGTTTGACCAATTTTTTCTTCAAATACTTAAAAAATAAGCTTCCAGGTCATTGAGTGTTTTAGGTGTTAGATATAATTTGACACTGTCCTGTTCATTAATGGATTCACAGGAAGAAGTTTTATTGTAACAAAAGATATACATGCATAATTTAAAAGGTATTATATGTCTTCATGCATAAATTCAATTACTTCATTGTGTGAAAGGGGATTTCCAGTACTGAAACAGTGTACCACGATACTACTGACTGTTTTAATATATTTCTAAATGCATGTTTGTTAAACTTTATGTCTTATCATGATTCAGTATGTTACTGGACATAATGGCAATTTATATTTTACTAACAGTCCTATATACAACTCATTTAAGATAAAGTGGCATTGAAATATCTTCTCACAATGCTGATTATAGTGATGAATCTAGCTGAAATACTTAATTAAGGTTTGCTAAATATATCATATTTTTTCAAGTAATATTCTTCATAAATATGTTATCCTAAATGGGTTGTAGATACTACTTTTTGAAAAGCTAAAAATCTACAATAATAGAAGCCAGACACTAATGTTTGTTTAAACATGTAGACATTATTTTTCTTGTATGAAGAGATGTATGTGACAAGTGTACTTAGAAACAATTTTGTGTATTATGTAAAGAATAGACAAACAGTAGGTATCTGAGACAATGGGTATGGATAATTTTACAGTGTACATTTATCAGCAGGAAGTTTATGATCAGGATTTTAGTTGTTATTGGATTTGCTTTCAATAAAAATGTGTCATTTTCATGACTTTAACATTTTCATAAAGTGATATATATGTTCATGTTAACGTATAAACATTAATTTACTAATCTTAGATATTTTTAAACAGTACAATTATTATGAATTTTGTACAATAATTTCAGAAATATAGATTAAAATTATTGAATCTGTTTATTTAACATGAAGAGATAAGAGCTTTGGGAAGTTTTTAAGATGATTTATTAATGGTGATTAGTTTTGTTTGATATGTGAAAGCTATCCAAAGATAAAACAACTATATTTATTATTGACAATTTTTTTTACACATTTTTTTCAGCCTGCGTCATGTTAAAATATTATTAGCAGGAAAATTATTTTGCATTTTGTTTAGGAAGAAGGGTTTATTTAAACTGAGTCACTAGTTAAACAGTTTCATTTTGTTTTCTTATCAGAAACATTGAAAAAAGAAATAGGGAGGTTGACATTGTAATATATAGTTCAAGAATTAGTACCAGTTAGTTGCAGTATTCATTCAATACTTTTTAACTTTATTATTGTAATAGTTTGATAATCATTGAAGTTTCATCAATGTTAAACACTCGAATATTTTATTATACATTTCTTTCTTTTTCGGACAAAAATGTTTAAGAATTTTATTATGACAGCAAAGACTAGTTTTATATACGCTTCTTCCTAATCAAAGTACATAGCATTGATTACTGTAAAAACACACAAATACAGGATTGGGATGATATAATTCTGTAGCAGTATAGTTTGTCCGGAATTAAGAATTTCCCAGCTAATCTAGGGGTACAATCAAACTTTCAGTTTTAACTTCATGTTTTATGCTAGAACAGTGCATATTTAGAAATTAAACATTGATTACTGTATTGTGAATTATAGTGCACTATGAAGTAATAACAGCAAAATGTTTTTCTGCCCCTAGATTAGATGAGAAAAAACAAGCCTATTTTCGGATACCATCTTAAGGAAAGGTTTATTTTTCTTGAAGTAAAAAAGATATGTGATAGATATGTCAATATTGACATTTATTTTAGATGAGCACTTTTTGTACAAATATATATACACCCCCTACATTTGTTGAGAAAATGTTTGTTGTCAGTTTTATTGAATAATGAAGTGCTTTGTGTTTGTTTGTTTGTTTGTTTGTTAATATTAGAATTTTTGGAAGAAAATTCAGAAAATGTATTTAAAAAAAAAAGTGTCGCTTTGTTATGTACAGAAAATTTCTTATTATGAATAGGTTATTGGCAATGAGTTTTGCCAGTGTGTAGATACTTTAGTTTGCTTCTGCTCAACCTATGTGTTTTGTTTCAAGCTGTAAGTATCAGATGTTCAATGAATTCAGTGCAAACCTGCTGTAAATGACAACTGACACTTTGAAGCCTTCAGAAAATTATCTTGATGTCTTCAACTTTACATGAAATAGTTAACAGAAATAGTTATTGTCAACAAATAAGTCCACTGAATGATTCCTGCCTGTATTTGGCAATATAGTTTACAGCAGATTTGCTCTAATATATTATAATCTGTTACATTTCTTACAGGATTGCAGGCAATATTGGAACAATTTCCATCAATTAATAGCCAAAAAAGGACTTCAGATTGAAATATATAATTATAGTATTTGTGAAATCAAATCTCTGTCCCAAAAATTTTTATATATATTTTCTTAGCACTTTTTTCTTGCAGTTTTGTTGTTGTGAAGTGCATTGAAGTTCTTATCTTAAAAACATTTTATATTCTTCAGTAGTTTAAAGAAAGCTGTGCTTAAACTGTCAGTTATCTTCATGTTGAAAGTGGTAATACAGTTAATATTTAACTTGATGAAATGTTATATTTTATTAACATTGCTAAATCATGTAAGCAGAAGATTGCATCAAAATATATGATCAGATGTTATAATATCTAGTAGAGCTGTAGACCAGTAGATATAATGATTATTAGTTCATAACTTCAGTGTTTCATAGGATTGGTTTATTTTACTTTCTCTATTACTGCCTTGGTGTAAAAATGCAGAATGTCCAAGATTGATTTTATATTTTTAATAATGTTCACAAAAAATTGTTACATGATAAAAACCTGAAGCTGAAAAGGTGATTTTTTTCTTCTGAATTTCTAATTTTTTGTCATTTTCTTGTGATTTATCTTTATATATGACATAATCATGTGTTACAATGAGTCAAAAGGAAATGACAAATTAAGCTTCAATTACTTTATTTTGACTTTAACAGATAAAATGACTGTATTTTTACCCCAAGATGACAGTCTGTCATAGTTTATATTTTATGTTGTTAGTTCTGTATAGACATCATGAAAATGAAAGTCCTGTTATATATATATGCTGTGTATCTGACTACTGTGTAAATGTGACTCTCATAATGTGTTGATTTCACAAGATAAATTATATGCATGTAAAAGTATGTAATAAAACTTAAGCATATGTGAAATGTATTCTTTTATCTTTGCTTACAATAACAAAACAGACAAAGAATTACAAATTGTTTCCATTTAGTGGAATCCATTACCTCATTGTCACTAATATCAGTTTCTCTTTTAAGCTTAAAGGGACTCTACTGAGGTTTAAAAGCCTTAAAACATAACATTTGAATGTCTTACATAAATGAGCTGGGGCATTTTAAACAGAAATATATGCAAAGATAGTTTAGAAATATACTTTGAAATAAATTGAAAATCACATTTTTATGCTTTTTTTAGCCCGAGTTGAGTGTAAAGTGTTTAAACGCTTTACATTTTGGGTCATTTTTTTACAACCTGAATAATTATTCTGGAAAAATGAAGTGTGCAAATGATCTGAAATTTTGCACAAAGATTAGTGGTCTAATCCTACATCAAATGGTACATTTCTCTGGAAAAAATATTTTCAGTCCCATCATGTCAAATACCTCAGTGGAGTCCCTTTAACAAAGTGCTATCATTTGAAGTTTGATCCCCGGGAGATGCTTTGGTAGTTTAGCGCAGAGGAAGGTAGTCTAGTACTGGTGAAACTCTCCAGGAACGATGGTTAGGAAACTACCCGCCTATATAACTGAAATACTGTTGGGGGGGAAAAGGCATAAAATGAAACAAACAAACAAAATCATTTGAAGTCTCGACTCCTGAAGGCCCTGCTAGACAATATTGTATTACACCAAAAAGCACTTCTAAGGCATCAGGCAACAATTGTTATAAACCAGGTTTTCCAAAGGAAAAAACTGGCTATTAGATTTAGGTATGTTGGCAGGCGGGCATAAACAATTTCTTCTGTGCGCAAATCCTCCTACATTTCTCAAGGGATTTTGCCGACACTTTCACAGAAGCTTTGTCATCAAGTGCCCTGGTTCAGATTGTCAGGGTTTTGAGATTCGATAATGTTTGACCTTATTATGGCCTTATGCCTTTTTCCTTATATAGAATATATAGTGAACAATTATTACACCCCCACCACAAAATGTGGGGGGGGGGGGGGCTATAATGGATTCGCTTTGTCGCGTCCGTCGGTCAGTCCGTCCATCTCCATTTTCGTGTCCCCTCTATAAATCCTATATCAATTGAAGGACTTTCTTCAAACTTGGCTCAAATGTTCACCTCAACAAGGGGATGTGCAGAACCCATGTTGCCCATGTGTCAGCTGAAGGTCAAGGTCACAATTGAAGGCCAAATATCAAACAATCAAATATTAGACAGTATAATGTCGTGTCTGCTCTGTAAGTCCTATACGAATTGAAAGATTTTCTTCAAACTTGGCTCAAATGTTCACCTCAACAAGGGGATGTTGCCCATGTGTCAGCTCAAGGTCAAGGTCACAATTGAAGGTCAAATATCAAACAATCAAATATTACACAGTATGTTGTGTTGGCTCTGTAAGTCCTACACTAATTGAAAGATTTTCTTCAAACTTGGCTCAAATGTTCACTTCAACAAGGTAATATGCAGAACCCATGTTTCCCATGTGTCAGCTCAAGGTCACAACTGAAGGTCAAATATCAAACAATCAAATATTAGACAGTATGTCGTGTCCGCTCTGTAAGTCCTACACTAATTGAAAGATTTTCTTCAAACTTGGCTCAAATGTTCACCTCAACAAGGGGATGTGCAGAACCCATGTTGCCCATGTGTCAGCTCAAGGTCAAGGTCACAATTGAAGGTCAAATATCAAACAATCAAATATTAGACAGTATGTCGTGTCCGCTCTGTAAGTCCTACACTAATTGAAAGATTTTCTTCAAACTTGGCTCAAATGTTCACCTCAACAAGGGGATGTGCAGAACCCATGTTGCCCATGTGTCAGCTCAAGGTCAAGGTCACAATTGAAGGTCAAATATCAAACAATCAAATATTAGACAGTATGTCTTGTCTGCTCTGTAAGTCCTACACTAATTGAAAGATTTTCTTCAAACTTGGCTAAAATGATCACCTCAACGAGGGATGTGTAGAACTCATGTTTCCCATGTGTCAGGTCAAGGTCAAGGTCACAATTGAAGGTCAAATATCAAACAATCAAATATTAGACAGTATGTCGTGTCCGCTCTGTAAGTCCTACACAAATTGAAAGATTTTCTTCAAACTTGGCTCAAATGATCGCCTCAACGAGGGATGTGCAGAACCCATGTTGCCCATGTGTCAGGTCAAGGTCACAATTGAAGGTCAAATATCAAACAATCAAATATTAGACAGTATGTCGTGTTCACTCTGTAAGTCGTACACTAATTGAAATATTTTCTTCAATCTTGGCTCAAATTTTCACCTCAACAAGGTAATATGCAGAACCCATGTCATCCTTTTGCCGTCTTAAGGTCAAGGTCACACTTGAAGGTCAAAAATTGACTTAGAAAATATTCTTAAATTTGAACATGTATTTGAATATTTCTGAAACTAGAAACAGTATTTGCTTGAAACTTAAAATATATATGAAGTGTCACAATTTAGATATGCAGGTCAAGTTTCATAACTCTGTATTGCATTTTAACAAAGTTATGCCCCTTTTTAAGTCTTCAAATTTACATACAATCAAATATTAGACAATATGTTGTGTCCGCTCTATAAATCCTATACTATTGAAAGATTTTCTTCAATCTTGGCTCAAATTTTCAACTCAACAAGGTAATATGCAGAACCCATGTCACCCTTTGTGCCGGCTAAAGGTCAAGGTCACACTTGAAGGTCAAAAATTGACTTAGAAAATGTTCTCAAATTTTAACATGTACTTGAATATTTCTGAAACTAGCACAGGTGTTTGCTTGAAGCTTAAAAAATTGACTTAGAAAATGTTTAGTACATTGGGAAAATGAAAGGTTATTTGTAACTGTTTCAAACATGATTTGACAATATATATTTATACTATTACCTGTAGAATTAGTCTTTTTTAGTCCCCTACCGGTTTACCGGAGGGGACTTTAGGTTTACCCTCCGTCCGTCTGTCTGTCTGTCAGTCCGTCCGTCCACAAAACTGGATCCCGCGATAACTTGAAAAGTACTGAAAATATTTTTATGAAACTTGGTATATGGATAGATGGCAGTATGGAGATTATGCACGTCTTTTTATTTTCTTCCTATGTTGAAAATTCTGGTTGCTATGGCAACAAATAGGCTGAAAATATGGCAAATTTTACACATAAACTGGATCCAGTGATAACGCAAAAAGTACTGGAAATATTTTTATGAAACTTGACATATGGGTAGATGGCAGTCTTGGGATTATGCACGTCTTTTTCTTTTCTTCCTATGTTGAAAATTCTGGTTGCTATGGCAACAAATAGGCTGAAAATATGGCAAATTTTACACATAAACTGGATCCAGTGATAAAGCAAAAAGTACTGGAAATATTTTTATGAAACTTGACATATGGGTAGTTGAGATTATGCACGTCTTTTTATTTTCTTCCTATGTTGAGAATTCTGGTTGCTATGGCAACAAATAGGCTGAAATTATGGCAAATTTTACACATAAACTGGATCCAGTGATAAAGCAAAAAGTACTGGAAATATTTTTATGAAACTTGACATAATTATGGGTAGATGGCAGTCTTGAGATTATGCACGTCTTTTTCTTTTCTTCCTATGTTGAGAATTCTGGTTGCTATGGCAACACATAGACTGAAAATATGGCAAATTTTACACATAAACTGAATCCAGTGATAACTCAAAAAGTACTGGAAATATTTTTATGAAACTTGACATATGGGTAGATAGCAGTCTTGAGATTATGCATGTCTTATCTGTTCTTCCTATTTTGAAAAAATATCAGTTGCCTTGGCAACAAATAGGCTTAAAACATGGCAAATATAACAATATTTGTGATTAGTCAAAAAGAGCTGAAAATTTTTATGAAATTGCATCTTTAATTCAAGAGTTATCTCCTCTTTAAGAATTTTGCTTTTAAAATGTTATATTTTGGTAACAGGGATGTTTCAAATATTAACTTTAGAGTGTCCTTCAGTCTGTATGTCTGTTCATAAAAACTGTTTCCTGTGATCACTTTTAAAGAACTTTTCCAACAAGTTTACTTAAAATAGAGAAAATTGAAACATTAGTGAATGGCCAATGGCCCTTCAGAATGTTGATGGGGTTCTAACCGGTAGGGGACTTATGGATTGCTTGCAATACTATGATAATTGCTTGTTTTCACCAGAGATAATGTCTTTTTATGTATATGTATTTGTGCCACTAAATTTATTCCTTTAACCACCTTTCCAAGTCGTCTTCTGTCAAGGACATTGGTGGGGGTATGAATCGCATTCAGCGATAGTTCTAGTTCCTTCTGCGCGCATTTCTCCTACATTTCTCAAGGGATTTTGATAAAACTTTCACAGAAGCTTTGTCATGTGGTGCCCTGGCCCTTATTGTCAGGGTTTTGTAATTTGAAAATTTTTGACCTTATGGCCTTTTATATTTTTCCCTTATATGGAAAAGATAGTGAACAATTCCATCTGTGCACAACTTCTCCTTTAATTCTGAAGAGAATAAGAACACTCATGTCCGCTCAATAACTTTTAAACTACTAAAAAATTTTGAAATATCTTGGCACGAGTGATTACCAATTTGGATGATGTGCAGAGCGCAATAATCGAGGTGCTACCCTCAAGGTCAAGGTCACACTTAAAGGTCAAGTGTTCATAAGTCTACATTTAATGCCACTGAAATTTTTTTGAAATAACTTGGCACAAGTCATCACCATGTGAGGATGTGCAGAACCCAACATCCATGTTGCTACCCCTAAGGTCAATGTTCTCCATGACTTTTTGACTCTAGGGAAAGTTTTAAATAACTTGGCACAAATAATTACTATCATTACACTATGTGCTTATAATATGCATGGCACAACATCAAGCTTGGTTGAGGGTCAAGAAGTACACATTCATGTCTGCTGCTCCTTCAGACTGCCTTGTTATCCCCCGACAATGGACTCGGGAGGGGGATATTGTTTTGGCGTTGTCCTTCTGTCTGAATTTCGTTTCCGCGCTAGTTCTCTGCAACTACTGGCTGGAATTCAACAAAACTTTATGGGAATCATCAATATCAAGAGGAGATGCTCACATCATCGGCTTGTTCAAGTCAGACCTTTTAACTCAAGAGTTATGGCCCTTGATTAGTTATGCATATAGAGCAAAAATCGTTTCAGTGCTACTTCTCTGCAACTACTGGCTGGAATTCAATTAAACTTTATGGGAACCATCAATACCAACAGGAAAATGCACACATCATCGCCTTGTTCCGGTCAGACACTTTTACTCAGAATTATGGTCCTTGATTAGTTATGCAGTATGCATATAGGGCAAACTTTATGGGAACTTTCAATACCAAAAGGAGATGCACATATCATCGCCTTGTTCCGGTCAGACACTTTAACTCAGAATTATGGCCCTTGATTAGTTATGCAGTATGCATATAGAGCAATAATTGTTTCCATGTTAGTTCTCTGCAACTACTGGCTGGAATTCAATTAAACTTTATGGGAACCATTAATACCAAGAGGCACAATTTGTTGCCTTGTTCAGACCAGACCCTTCATTACAGAGTTATGGCCCTTGATTAGCTATGTAGTATTCATATAGAGCAATATAGTATTTCTTTGCAACTGCTGTATTGATTTCAACAAAATTTTATGGGAACCATCAATACAAAAAGGCAATTTACATCTCATTGGCATGTCCAGATATTACTATTTAACACTTAGTTATGGCTCTGTTATTGCCCTGAATATTTATCATGTACTAGTACAAAGAATATTACTGTTTATATATAAATAAAGCCTTGTGTCTTCTGTTGTTGTGTTAGTAATAACCAGTACTCGGCGAGGAATATAAATTCAACGAATTTGCTTGTTAAATATACAATTGAATAAAAGTTCCAATCTCAAGTGGTATAAATAACAGAATGTCAGAAGAACAAAGTTAACAGTCTTTACCCCGTTGAAACTCAAAATGATTAGCCTTTGCCATCAGTATACAGCCAGGCCAACCTTCACATATTTGACCAGCTTCTTTATAGTTAATTGACGTACTTCAAATATTCATTTTGATATCCCAGAAATTGATAATGGTCTGTTCCAAAAAAAGGAAGCTAGGAAAAGTCATCTAAGAAATTCAGCAGGCTATGGTTTAACTTAGTGAAAGGAATTATTTGCTCAATACTTCAACATGGCTGTTAAATTGACTTTCATTCTTAAAGGCATCAAACAAGCATTACATCAGCCCTAGACAGAATTTACCATGTCATACATATATCAGTTGTGTCGAACTGAAAATAGCCCTCAGACACAGTTATCAGTTTTAAAAGCACCATGCCTCACAATTCATGCTAATTTTCTTGAAAATGTATAAAAAAGTAAAATATTGTGAAGAGACACATTTCAAATGGCACTTACAACCCATGTAAATTACAAAGAGTTTAAAAAAAGCCCTTTCTGCATTAGTCACGCAATAGAAATATATTGATAAGTACTGCTAAATCGATCATTAGTTCCACATGAAAATTATTACTTGACTCTTTCCAGTTTCCTAAAAATCTATATTAAATTCTCTCAGATTTGATTTCCTTGAAATATTTTGGCTGATATGGAGGCACGCAGCTTTAAAGTTTTAAGATCCTAGCATAATTTATAATCAAAATAAGATTAAGAAACAGTTTATGCATACCTGTTGATAACATAATAACATGTTCATGTATTTAGTATTGTATGAAGAACAAGAACTTGTTTTTATAGTACAGTTTATTTAGATCTACATGCTACAAGAACATAAGGCATTGCTATTCTTAAGAAAGATTATAGTACAACTCACATTTTTAAGTATACATTTCTATATTTATTTTGTACATTTAAGATGCACAAGTGTATCTTCTTTCATTGCAGTTTAACTCATTTTTTCATCAAAAATATGACTATTGATTAAGGCATGGCATCATTTTTATCCTTATCTGATAAAATAAGTCCTTCATATAACAACCATTTCAAATGTTAGATATTCCTAAACTCTTTGAAGTTAAAAATTGTCAAAACAATCTTGTATAATGTAGTATGGTCTGGACATAAATTTAACAGTAAATCATACAGATGCTAACTATGGTTCACACAACATCAAACATTTATCCCAGTTACATCAATTTATTTCATCTGGCCAAATAGTACTGACATAAAAAACCTTTTGTGCTCTTAACAAACTACAATAACAGACACTGTCTATGTCTACATGGATACTGTAAAGATGCAGCAATTCTGCAAACTGAGTGCTTCAACCTATAAACCATATTCTTCTCCTATAAACCTTATTCTTCATTGTTTACCCTAGTTCATGGATATTCTCCTATAAACCATATTACATTGTGTGACCAAGTCTAAATTCTCCAAACCATATCAGCAGATACAGATCTTTCCACAAATTCATCTCTATAATTATATCAATCAACACACATTTTGTTGACATTTCAATTTGTGTTTCGTTCTCTTCGAAAGTGTTCTTTTGGGCTTTTTCTGGGATTTCTTTTTCAGATGTTTTGATGTTTTAAATATTTTCTCCTTGATTTTCCTGGAAATATAAAAAAGAAAAACTTGATAACATATTTATCTTATCGGTTGCTGACTTAATTAGTAATACTACATATTTTAACAGGTATTATCAGAAACTCTATGTGAAATACCTATTGCAGTTGGTGAATGAGATGCTAAATTAAGTCTAACTTTCAACATAGTGGTCTAATATCACTCGGGATGTCATAATTTCATAAATCATGAAAGTACAATAACTTACTGTACAAAATACAACTGACAAGAGCATGCATTAGAAATAAGTTTGAGTCTGGTATTATTCAAAGAGTTCCATCAATAAAGATGGACTGTTTCAATGTGACCATTGCAGTAATTGTGTGATTTCATAAAACACACCAGTAATATAAATTCATCTACATAATTTTCTTGTCTATTGCTTAATCAGTTTTTTAAGTATCTTTCTAAATGCATATATAAACAAGAAATGTATGCAGATACTTTTCTCAGTGCTGGATAGTATGATAAAAATGAAATACAGCATAATTCTGCATAAATACTTGGCAGAATTATTTGCCCATGATAGAAATGAAGTATTTAAGTCTGATGTGAAAATTTGGCAAATTTAGATAATTAAGCCAAAATGACTCTCAGTGTTATTCTCTTTAGAAATGTTTTTCAATTTTCATAACACACAAGTGTTTAAAAAAAAAAAATATCAACAAAAATGTTTACCAGGGCAGAACTAAAGGGGTTTTTGTCACATAAACATATGTCTCCCAAAACAAGGTATGGTACTGATCACTCCTGTGAATTTTGGGCCAAATCCCGCCAGCAGTTTGACCTGAGAAAGCTGGACAAGATTTTCCATTTATAGCTCCGGCAGCCATTTTGTACAGCTGAGCGGAATGTGCCGGCGATGTACACTAGGGATGGTACTGATCACTCCTTAGAAGTTTCATTGAAATCGGGCCAGCAGGCCGGACAAGATTTTTATACCCCCAAAAACAAAGTTTGGGGGGGTATATAGGAGTCACCCGGTGGTCGGTTGGTTGGTTGGTTGGTCGGTCGGTCCAGACGTCCATTGCATTTTCCTTGTCCGGAGCATAACTTGAATACTATTAGTTGGAATTCAATATAACTACATACAATGGTCAAGCACATTGAGAGGAAGTGCAGTGCACAAGAACCATAACTCTATCTAAAGTAATTACAGAGTTATTGCCCTTTGTTACTTTTCGATGGCTTTCTTTTGTCCGGACCATAACTTGAAGACTAATGGTTGGATTTCAATATAACTACATACAATGGTCAAGCACATTGAGAGAAAGTGCAGTGCACAAGAACCATAACTCTATCTTGAAAACTACTGGACAAAAGAAAGCATAACTTGAAAACTACATACAATGGTCAAGCACATTGAGAGGAAGTGCAGTGCACAAGAACCATCTTGAAAACTACTGGACAAAAGAAAGCATAACTTGAAAACTACTGGTTGGAATTCAAAACAACTTCATACAATTGTCAAACACAATAAGGGGAAGTGCAGTGCACAAGAACCATAACTCTATCTAAAAAAATTACAGAGTTATTGCCCTTGTTACTTTTCCATAGCTTTCTTTTGTCCAGACCATAACTTGAAGACTAATTGTTGGAATTCATTATAACTCCATACAATGGTCAAGCACATTGAGAGGAAGTGCAGTGCACAAGAACCATAACTCCATCTTGACTTATAAGTGACTGCCCTTTGTTACTTTTCATTGTCCAGAGCATGACTTGAAAACTACTGGTTGGAATTCAAAACAACTTCATACAATGGTCAAGCACACTAAGGGGAAGTGCAGTGCACAAGAACAATAACTCTATCTAAAATAATTACAGAGTTATTGCCCTTTGTTACTTTTCCATTGCTTTCTTTTGTCCAGACCAAAACTTGAAGACTTGTGGTTGGAATTCAATATAACTTCATACAATGGTCAAGCACATTGAGAGGAAGTGCAGTGCACAAGAACCATAACTCCATCTTGACTAATTACAGAGTTATTGCCCTTTGTTACTTTTCCTTGTCCAGAGCATAACTTGAAAACTACTGTTTGGAATTCAATACAACTTCATACAGTTGTCAATGACATTAAAAGGACGAGCAGTGCACAAGAGCCATAACTCCATTTTGACAAAATACAGAGTTACTGCCCTTTGATACTTTTCCTTGTCCGGAGCATAACTTAAAACATACTGGTTGGAATCCAAAACAACTTCATACAATGGTCAAGCACAATAAATGGAAGTGCAGTGCACAAGAACTATAACTCCATCTTCAGTATTTATAGAGTTATTGCCCTTTGTTTCTTTTCTTTGTCTTTCTGGACTTATTACAGAGTAATTCAATTAAACTTTATCAATGGCCAACCACATTGAAAGGAAATGCAACATACAAGAACCACAACTATCTTTAATTGCCCACAACCATAACTCTATATTTAAATTTTTTTACAAGGTATTCTGTTACTAGTAACATCCTCATTTCCGAAGCAGTCTTGTGGGGGTATCAATCACATTTAGTGATAGTTCTAGTTCTATTTATAGCTCTGGCGGCCATTTATATAGTTGAAAGTGCGGCTATGAAAGAGCTGATCACTCCTGTGAAGTTTCATTGAAATCCCACCAGAAGTTTGACCTGTGAAAGCCTGACAAGACTTTTCTATTAATAGCTCTGGTGGCCAAGCGGAAAGCGCCGGCACAACTAGGGATGGTACTGACCACTCCTGTTGTTTCACTAACATCTGACCAGCAGTTTAACCTGCTAAAGCCAGACAAGCTGAATGGGGATGGACAGACGGAGGTCTAGTTGAAATGGAATAAGGGGCGATTTTTTTTGTTATTTTCTTTTGTTTAATAAGAGGGCCAAAGGCTCCTTACCCTACTGTAACGGAATGAACACTATTGTTCTCTTTTGTTCAGTTAGACGGCCATTTATACCTATTTAGTAGTGCAGACAGACAGCTTAGGCAAAAACAATGTCTCCCAAAAATTTTAGGAAAAAAAGAGGCATTACTTTTCAAAAAATAATTTTGATCAAGTATACCAAATTTTAATCAAGTATACAGAAAGGTTTCTGAGAAAATCTTTTAAAAAAAATTAACCGCATCAACATTGACAAAAGGGGGTCATAACAATAGCTCCAACTTTTTCAGAAATGATTTTACTTTTAAGAATTTCATTAAAATCATTAACATGAAACAGTTCTTTTAAACAATGATACTGATAATTTGGAAGGGCAATAGTAAAACAATTGAGTGCATTATTCAATATTTCATAGGAAACTTTCATCTTGATAAATAATACATACTTCATATCCCTTTTATGTTTAAATATGCTGGTTTCAGGTAAATTGGTAACTTGTGTTTCTACATCACTGTTGTCACTGTTTATCTCCCCTTCACCATCTTCATCACTCTCCTCAGCCTTTAAACAACAATATTCATGGCAAGTCAGTGTTAAAATTTAAAAGATCTATATGAAGTGATATATCTACACATCATTCTGCAACAAACTAGATAAATAGACCATTACCAGTTTATAACACTTCAGCCTGTAAACTTCTGAATTTATGCAATGGATTTATCCTGCTTTGAATTTGGAAAGACTGTTCAAAGGTTAAGGGATTTCTGTAACAAAATACAAAAAAATCAAACTTGGGAAGTGCAGACTGGCCTGACCAAATGATATTTGTTGCAAATGATATTTATTTTGACCTAAAATGTTTTTATATCCCTGCACTAAAAAACAAAAACAAAGCAACACAAAGTAATTTTAATCATTGCACTCTGTTCACTTGCACATGATAAAGAATTACATGTACTAAGTCTAGGTAATTTCTGTTTAAATAGTTTTACCCCTGACAGACCACAATTAAATAATCTGTCAAGAAAAAGAACAAATATAAGATGTTAGTATGTAGATGAAAATTGGCATCTATACTGTATTTGATGTAGCTGGGTGTACCAAAGATCAATTCCTGTAGATTTCAATGTTGTTACATACCTGCAACAACATCCTGTCTCCTCAATGATAGATAATAATATTAAGTTCTACAGTTGTATAAATTGTAAGTTATAATCTATATTAAGCATATTAGCAAATACCGTGTTCAGTCCTAATCTTGTGCCACCATGTCCAGCAAGGTCTATTTCCGATATGTCAGTGATAGTTACTGTATGTTCTGGCAGCTCTGTAACATCTTCCCTCACAATCTCCTCTAATTCTGTAGGCACAGTCTGGTGCTTTCTCTCTGTGTGTTCACGAAAATTCTTTTGCCTAAATGAAAAAAAAAAAAAGAAATGTGTCCTTTCCATACAGATTCCTTTGACATATGAATTTTAACCCACCTTTACATGAGTGATACACACAACATATCCCCTGACCCTGGTGATGACATCTACCAAATATCTTGACAATCCTGCATCATGGAATAAGAAAGTTATAAGATCATTACCATCTGACCTTAGACCTCCAAGATCAAGATTGACCTTTTAAGTGGAACTGTTGGACACATTTTGTGCCTCTGGTGAAAACATGCAAACTATTTTGACAAGTAATGCTAAAGTAATAAGGTTGACATGATTTAACCTTTGACCTGTAAGAAAAACATTGACCTTGAAGTTGTAGATGTTGGTCTTGACAGATCCTCTACTTATGGTTATATTGTGAACCATTTTTTCAGTTTTACCTATTATGAAAGTAGAAGGACCAATCACAAACTTCAGCTGCACTCAAGACTGTATATTAAAAAGCTAATATAAGTCCCTTGCTGTGACCTTAAGATAAATGCCCAAGAAGCTTGGCCCAGTAAATGAATGCCCAGAAAAACTATTATCTAAACTTATGTCTGTTAAAATTATGCTTCCTCTTTATACTTGAACAATTCTTATAAATATATTTCATTCAATTTGACCTTTTTTCAATATGCAAAATGTTTAACACAATATCTTATTAAGTAAATTAGATCTTCAATTTTAAGTATTATTTAAATACATAGCAACAAAGAAAAGTCTCATTTAAAAATATTTTTTTAAATCTAACATGGTTATACTAGGGGAAAAAGTTTTTTAGAACAATAAAAATCAATGGCAACCTTCTGTTTCATTTTTCTTCTTTCTTCCTTTATCATTTTTTCCACCTGATCTTGAGCTTTCTTCCTTCTCTCATCTTTTCTCTTCTTAAATCCAGTTAAATAATCCCTGAAATACAATTGGCACTGTCATAGAATCGATTGCATACACAACAATAGTTGTAAGTACCTTGTATTATGAAGAGGTTCATATTACTAAATTTTAGTCTTAACTGTCATCATCAACTTCTTCATATCTTGAGAAATCCTTTGCCATGATATATCAATAGAATTCTTTATTTATAATATAATAATATATTCTTGTGATTTACATGTGAAAGTAAGTAATTGAGCTAATTTTTTATTTTTTTTTACATTAAAGTTAAAAATTCAATGAAGCATGAACACTTGCGTATGTTCAACATCCAACACAGTTGTTTAACAGGAACAATGGATTTGTCTAACAGATCCAAGGGTTGAAAACAAAATCCCCTGAACTCCATCATAAATAACTTTATATCTTTCACAAGCGAAAGTAATTATAGACAACGGAGCTAAAGAACTGATTCCCTGACACACTCAACCATCATAACGCACAGCCTCTTCAGTAAGTCAGCATTTTTAATGACAAAATGATTTATGTCATAGGTGGCGCGATAGCTCAGTTGATTAGGCTACTGACTGTCACTCCTGAGGTCCCAGGTTTTATCTAGAGATTTTAAAGAGACACTTTCAGTGTTTCCCACCTACCTGTAGGTGTACTGGTAAGAAATCCAGGTAATCCTTGAATTTATTAGTGCTATATAATATACTGGGCATGTAACAGAAGTAAGGGGTGTATTTTGTAAGAGCTAGGGACCGGTTCCGAGATTCCCTTGTATCTCATAGCTGTCTCTGATGTCTAGTCATGTCTTCGTCCCCGAGGGGTTTGACATTAATGGATGATAAATAGATGCCAGAAAACGTTTCAGTTTTTAAATTAGAAACCGTTTTAGGTTTCAAACAGATAATTTTACAAAGCCAGGTATCCTGGACAAGCCCCCATGTTACAAATATTTATAGTTCTTAACAGAAAGACGCAAATGCATCTGAAAAGATTCTACCATAATTGAGATTTGAACTTGCAACCTCACACCTAAAAGTGAAATTACTCTTGACTATTAAGTTATTAGTCTCTATTTTGAGTATTTCCGTGGCAAATTGAATGAGTGTCCACCCACCATTTCAGAAGACACTGGCACAGTTTTGAGAGGTTCTAAAGGCATATTATAGATCTTACAAGTTACAATTACTTATGTTTATAGTTTGTAACAGAACAATGCAAACGCTTACAAGCAAAATTTAACAATGCTAGAATCTAAGAATGGCTGTTGAGTAGTCCAACTAATTATACTGCGAGACGAGATATTGTGCTATTTTCGTGTCTGCGGCAATATCTCGCCTCTCGTTAAAGCTAGATTCTGCCCCAAAACGAAAATATCTCAGAATCAAGCTTTTGCACGTCAATATAATTATTTTGACTAGGCTGTTGAGTTACGCACTCAGGTCACATTTTTACTATATTTATCACCTTACAACTCCTTATAAAGTCAAATTTACAATATTGTTAGAAACAAAAAAAATTGGTAGATTTTCCTTTATTAAAAACTATATGACACCCAAAATTTTTGACAGATTTTACTTCATTGATAACTATATGATATCCGAAAAATTCTTTATCCGAAAATGAAAATCTTAAAAGAAACATGTTATGCAGTGGTAAAAAATAAATAAGGTAGATATCACTTTCATAAATCACATACTTTCTAGCCTTTTCATCAAAAACCAAAAGTGTTTTAGTCTGTCTATTCTTCTTACTTCTCTGTTTTCTTTTCTTTTTATCAAATCCCATTTTTTTCTTTTTACAGTTTTTCGTACTTAAAATAGTCGTACTGAAAGGGTATCACACCACTATTGATATTATAAGGTGTACTCTGGGACAAAGGGGAACCTTATAACATCACGTGCTTTGATTTTATAAAATATCATTCAGTTTGAATACCATAAATATAGCCAAATATCATGTCTTTCTTAAAGTAGCATAATATGCTAAGCCCTTTTTTACTCGGTCTCAGGTCATTTGAAACATAGAACTCTCCTCTTAAAGCTCTTCCTTAGACCAGGAGTAAAACTTTGTAGTTTTCTGTGTTCGTGTTTGTACTTTTGTGTTTAATGAGAGACGATTGGCCCATTAAGACAGAAAATGCGGCTTACGCTGTTAAGTACGGACCCCGGACATATCAACAATCATGCACTTAAAAGGTTAATTTTCATGCAATTTTCATGTCAGAAATCTATAGAAACATCATATTCAATTACAACAAAGTGGTCTCTGACTTAGATATTCAGTCTAATACTCCAACTACTTGAGACTGCATGCAATACTTCTAAATTCTGTAATTCAGATTTTGGCCATAACATCGATATCACTGGTGATTTTGATATAATTGCAGACAAAAGAATTCGTAAATTATTCTTGAATTCAGGACGTAAATACAGAATTCCTTCAAAAAATTGTTTTAATGCTTGTCTCAGTCAGCTTGCCAAAACAATTGAGGATTTTTCAATTAAATGTTGTCGCCGTGAAGGGAAACGTAACATTTTCAAAATTATTGATTCACGTATTGATTATTATCGTGGAAATGAGCATCTTCTTCCACCTAAACCGATACTTGCTTTAAAACATATGAAAAAGGATATTCTAGCTTTTCACTCAAAATTTGTTTTGGTACCAGCTACAAGGCGGCTAATAATATCATTATTGTACGGCCGTTATTGACGTATCCATTACATTAACGTTTTGCAAAGGAATTTTATAGTACTAATACGTATTCTAAAACTACTGCTTCTTAACAATCATGTTAATAATATTTTCTGTCTTAAAGTCTGAACCGATGAAAAAGAACTAAATTTTAAACATTTGATTCCTAAATTACATAAAAAAAACTTACTAGGAATTCTACATCTAGCACTACTGTAAGTAAACGTTCTATTTTATTGACGTCTTGTTTGACATGTAATTAGATATTGAGATAAAGTGTCCGCAAAAACCGGCAAACATCTATTTTGGTCTATTAAGAAATCTGGTGAAATTTTGGATAAATTGAAATTAAGAACTATCAAGCTTCAGCTGTCAGTACATATGATTTTTCTACTCTTTATACTACACTGCCACATAATTTAATTAATGATAAACTAATTTCCCTTATTCAGAAAAGCTTTGCACGAGAAAAAGTTACATTTCTTGCTGGTAACTCTCAAAAAGCCTTCTTTACAAAATGTATGTAAAACAGTATACTTTGTGGACCTGTGACGAAGTTTGTAGGGCACTCTCTTTTCTTTTAGACAATACTTAATTATGTCAGGTTTGGTAATACCCTTTTTAAACAATTTATAGGAATTTCTATGGGTACTAATTGTGCACCCTGGTCGCCGTTTTGTTTTTATATTGATATCAAAGAGACTTTATGTTGATTCTCTCTGAAAATAAACAACAAGATGTTATACTAGCATACCTTGATGACATTTTTAATTTAGATAATTCTTATTTCGATCAAATGGTGTCTTATATTTATCCTACTGAGCTACAACTTCATAAAACGAATTCTTGAAATTTAAGTACATCATTTTTGGATCTTCATATTACTATCAAAAACAATTAATCCTGTTCACACGAAAATCTATGATAAAAGAGATGACTTTGATTTTGGTAGAGTAAATTAATTATCCACATTTGGATGGTGACGTACCGCATGCAACATCTAACGGGGTTTATATATCTCAGTTAATTAGATTCGCTAGAGCTTGTGGCAACGTAAAGGATTTTAACGAGCGAAATATTTTCATTTCTAGCAAGCTACTCAAACAGGGCTACCGCTATTAAAAATTACGTAAATATTTTACAAAAATTTACAATCGTAACTTTGATTTGATTTCAAAATTCAATAGTGATCTAAAACACTTTTGTTTGTCTCCCTTGTTGTTTTCTCGTCTACGGTAATTTAAGTATCTCCCCCTTTGCCCCTAGTTTTATTTCTTTAATTTTAGCTAAAATTATGAATTTTGAGCAAAAAGTATTTCTGCTTTTCAACTTGTCACATCACGCTAGAGGTCACGCAAACTAGCACCCTTCTTCAATGTCCGTGCCTACTTTGTTGGGCCACTCCCCTCGATTTTAGTCGGGACATCGGCAGCTGGTCCGCAGCTAGAGTAAAAGTTTCGGAATTATTTTTCGGCTTCCACAGTTCTTCAAATCTTCAACCCTGTGCCTTCTCCATGACGTGCACGTACCGAGAGGAAGACAGAAAGTTGAGCTCATCTCATGGAACAGGTCATTCTTATGTGGTTGCATGGCAAATTCCTTCAATCTACCTGTTCTCTGGCGTCCTTCAAAGTTCGGTATCGGGACCTTGCCTCTTCTTATTTGATATTCTAGTAAATGACCTCCCTGACAGTGAAATTAACATATTTGCAGACGAAGGTCAAAGAAACTGTCTATAACACTTATGTAAGGTTTGGAATCCTAGGCAAAATGTCCGGTTAAAAAAATAAAATCAGTTCAAAAGTCAGCTGCCAGATATGTACGAGGTGTGTTTAAATATGAATGCATTTCTTCATAGGTTTCACAGAATTTTTTATAATATGTTTCCTCCCAGTATTCACGCCAACAGATATACAAAGATCTGGAGGAAGGGAAGTTTCAGTTTTCGTATCTAATCTTTTAAGACATTTTGACAGTCTTTACTAGGTATACTATGAAGACTTTGAGCGCCGCCCTTGTTTATCATATATTTTCGAATATTGCAGAACCGAGGTGATTATGCTGAACACATTTTCTACCTGAAAGCTGTCTTTTATAGCTTTGGAAACAAGTCACGAAGGGCAAGGTCATTTGAATGCGGAGTTTGGGGGAGCACAGTGATATTTTTCTGCTTTAGAAAGTCTTACATTATAGACGCCTTGTGCGATAATGCGTTGTCATGCATCAATCTGACCTTAGCGCTAGGGGGCGTGAACGGAAATTTGCACTTTCCTTTACCGCCCATGAATAGACTCAATCAAACCGAGCCTGCAACATTTTCAATTTTGTCTTCTTGGCCTTTCTATAGGGATTTTTTTTCTCTCGCTAAACCTGTTGCGGGTCATCGTTTACGAAAGTATTTGTTTAGTTTCCAAAGAACGTTTGACTTGTAGAGCTTCACGTGTGTAGGTTGTAATAAGTCGCCCTGTACATTCAATCAGAGATGTTATATTTCCGATCCTTATAGATCGTTCGGTACGACATTATTGTTGTGTTGATGATATTTTTAGTTTCAACGTTCTAGATGCATTCATATTTGAACACTCCTCGTATATAATGACTACAATTACACCAGCAGTGTATCTAAGATATTTACACGGTCTTAAGTGACAAACCAAACCATAGAGCAGAGACGCATCATCAGCTCTGTTACTTTCCATAACAAATTCCAAAAACAATCTTGTAAGGGTCGATCATCAACATCTGACATTTTTACTTTTCAGCATACTTTAGGATACAAAATTGAAATTTAAAATTCTTGATATTGGCAAAAAGCAAGATGTCAGCATTGAAGAAATTGAATGTAGTTTTTATGCCCTAACCACTTAGGGGTAGGGGGGAGTCATGTAGGATTTCCTTTGTCCGTCCCTCTGTTCTGCTTTCCTGCTGTACGTCAGTAGATTGACAAGAGTGGCGTGTGGGGGCACCCGTGTCCTATGAACACATTTCAAATTTATATACATTTTAATATACTAGTATACGGTGTGCATGCAGATCTTAGAAATTGCTGCAGGCTTGGTTTGATTGAACCTTTTCATGGACGGTATCGGTAATTGCAAGCTACCGCCCCCAGCACCGCCTTAAGCATAAAATGGAAATGGTGAAATTTTGAATGTTAAAAATGCATGTGTCCTAAATGAGCAAACAATAGGCGGTATTAAGTACAAACGGAACTTTGAAACGGGATCAGAGTCTGCTTTAAAAAGCTCTATAGAGTTTGTTGTATCAAATGTTATTATACCAAGGACATCTTCTTAACCTTTTCCGCCAAACTTCGTATATCTTGACGAAATTTATCAGTTCAAAACCTGCAGCTTTAACCAATTTTTATTAAAATTTTGCCACGTTGTCAAAGCTAGATTTCAAGCTAGATTTCTTTATGATATTTTTTCCATTTTCTTATTTATTTATATTAGACAAAAGCCATTGTGGTAATGGTGAAATAGGGTTAATAAAGTTTGACTCTTTGCACATTTCTTTAGTTTGGAAGTTCATACAAGAAAATGTGATCGTCATTGACCTTACAACAGGTTCCTTTCTTTAATGAGACGACTGTAATTCAAGATTCCAAGAAAGAAGTTAATGCTATCAGGGATAAGTTATTTGTTGAAAATGAATTTTATTTTGACATTCTCGTGCCATTATTTAATAAAAAAAGTTATGATATGATAATCGTAAATATATATTTACAAGCGCATAAATCGTCATAATAAAACTTTTAGCATAGCAGCTTATTAAAGCACATAAAAGCTCGCGACCATGCCTTATCTAGTTAAACCAGCCTGCTAGTGATGTTGTTGATATTTCCGAGGGATGATTCTTAGCTGATTCTTAGATTTAAGTGGTTATTGTAGAAAAAAATGTTCATGTAATAAATTGTAATAAAGATAATTCATGGTGGTTTGACCACTTTGTATCTCTATATATAGACACAAATAATTTAGTTTGTTGGATTTGTATTTCAGTCTTTGTCCATTTACAGACTAAAAGACAACATGTTTTCGTAGAAACGAAACACTTTATAATGATATATATGTCATAACAAAACAAAACTATAAACTTACATTTTATTTGATATTATTAGTCCATATAGACGCCACACTTCGGATATAATTCAGTATGGAACTAAGTCTGTAGATAGACATGTCTTCATATTAAATATTATTTCTCATGTATATACTTTATACTCAGAAGTAGATCGTGGAGTTAATTTCTTATATTCACAATGTACTTGTTCCTGGAGTAAGTCCTATGTCACTCTAAAAGTGTGAAAGAGATCTATAATCAATTAATACAATTCACTTGAGATACCATTAGTACAAGTATATAACGATTATAATAGTACCCGTAGATCTACACAATGATATGCAAAACAAATTAGTACATGTATATGAAAATTTTGCCCGGTGAAGAAAAACCAAATCAACACTGAACACAAGTTAACTAACTATATATTCCATGGATTAAGTGATACGTCAAGCTACATGCAGACCCCTATATACTTTGACTCAACACTTTATGTTAATCTTTTTAATTAACATAGGCCGATCCTTATGCATGCCATTAGCAAAATAAGTTAAAAATCCACATATATAGATCTTACACATACACAACATAATTAGGACGTTAATGTCATTCTTTTTTGTGATAAGATTTTATCGCGTTCCAAGCATCATGCCAGTTCCGTCGTAAATGACTATACTTTGCCAGGAGAAACATGTTAGTTTGTACATTTTTAGAAAAACTTCTAGCTTCCATCAAGTCATAACCATGGTTTGCCTCCATCTTTCGCTGTGTAACACCGGCTTGTAAAGCCGCAAAACCTGTTACATATACATCATCTACCCAATAGAACTTCACATATCTAGACGCATCATAGAGCTTCTTGGTGACGTCATTAGACATGATGTATGCAAATCCCTCGCAGTATGGTGGATATTTTGAATAAGGATACTCGCTCTCTGAAACGTACCACTTATCATCTGTGGTCCTACGTGGACCTTGATTACTATAGACAGAACAATACAGGAAGTTTTCTAGATTACCGTCCGGTGATTTCTGTAGCAGGAAACGAACTAAATGATACACGTCGATCATTGTATCATCGTCCACTTTAACTACAAATTTAGTATTATTACAATAATTTTGAACCCAATGAAGGCCCATTACACATTTATACGTCAGATTTCTATATGAATCTAGAAAATTACCTTGAATTACATCAAGATGTGTTTTGCTCTCTTCAACAATCTTATCTTGTATAGTTTTGTCTGCTACTTTTGCAAGAAGAAACAATGGCACAATATTTGCCCCTGAGTAAAACCTCACTGATCCCCATGTCTCTCTGATCATTTGTCGTTCATTGTATTTCCTAGGATCACTATGAATTAAAACTAAAACTAACACGTTCCCGTTGCATGCTTTTTTGTTGTTAAGAATATATTCATAATGGTGAAGATTAACAAATGGATTTTCTAGATCAGCTTTATTTACAGCCTTTAAGTATCTTAGGTAGCTTTTCTTATCAATGTTGATGTCCTGCTTTTGTTCCGTCTCTTCAACTTCGTCAACCTTTAAACTGTTAACTGTGTCCTGTAACTCGTCCATTTTCTGGTATGTTTCTTGCATTTGTTTTTTATAAAATGGTGCAAATTTTGCTGATATTTTATTTACCTGTGCTAATCTTTCGTCCTTAGCAAGTTTTTTCATTGCCTGGAGTTTCGTTTGATCATTAGTGCTTGAATCTATTGTTGTTGTTAAAGTGAATATTAATCTGTGTGTAAATACAATGATAGTGATAATGAAAATAGCGACTGCAAGCTTTGGTCTACATGACATCTTCCTCATTCTCATTGCAGATAGCTGAAACAAAGTATAATATAGTAAGTCATATATATTGATGTACAAGTTAATTATAATTTATGTTTTAAATATATGTAACTGTTATTTATATATAATCTATTTAAAGAGTAATTTTGGCAAGCACTGAAAATAAAGATAAGATTAATCAGGGTGTTGGAGATGTACAGTAAATATATTTTTAAAAGCAGTAAAACAAAGATTAACAGATACATTTGTACAAGAATGGTACACAAAACTATATAAGAGATTCATCAAGAGCAAGAAGTAATGTATTGTTTTGTGATTTCATCTTGCAATGAGTTCTGTCAATGGCAATTAATGAAAATTTTAGGAAATCTTTATCACGTTTCAAGACTTCACATAGATTAAAAGTACGAACTGTAATGGTATTAACCTGAAGAAAAAGTCCTTATAATGAAAGAAAATGTAATATTTGCTCTAAATTAGAAGATGAATTTCATGAATCATTGGAATCATGAATCATCTCCCTTGTACAATGTTTTGAGAAAATAACTTATGAATAAATATTTTTGGAAAATACCACGTATACATATACCTAAATTCATTAAATTGATAACATCTCAAAATGATAATGTTATGAGAAAATTATCAATGTTTATCTTTAAAATGTCTGAATTAAGAACTTTAAATAATGTATTTGGAAGGTATTAGTAAATGTAATGTAACTTGATTGATACCATTATATGAAACTAGTGCTTCATTTACTCTATGCTGTTACTGTATATGGTAAAATTATTATTATGTGCATATTTAACCAACTTACAGTCTCCGTTACATGTTTAATATATGTTGTATATGTACAATAACCTTAATATAGTGTTTCTACATTGTATTGTATTGCATTGTACTGTATTTTCAACTGTTTCGAAATAAATGTATTGTATTGGTATTGTATTTATTGTATTGTTTTGTATTGTATTGCATTGTATTGTATTTTCTGTGTGCTCATGGTTATATTGCCAACATTTATTTCGTAATAAATCTAAATCTATAACAATAGAATTAAATAAGAAAGATATAATTAGTATATTAATGAAATCAAAATGGAAATAAGCTAATTTATTGTATATACCCAAGCAATAAAAAAAATAAATAAATAAAAGTCATATAGAATAAGAAAGAAAATACGATATGAATTTAATTAACTATATACGTTCTATATCAATCTAATACAACGATTTAAAGAAAATGTTCATCAAAATGAAAATCGTTTATTGAAAAGAACATATAGAAGCAACGAAATCAAGCTGTAGACTAAGCAAGCATTGATTCGTATACTTACTTTCTTTCCCTTTTATTTCCTCTTTTAGATAGTTTTATTTCCTCTTTTAGATAAAGTAAATCCAGTGGTTATCATCGTTCATTTATGTCACGTCTGCCGTATGGCATAGTTTACATACCAACTCTTACCGCATCTGGTCACGACACTGTTATAGTGCCTATAGTTCAGCACTGATTTATATAAGCCCTGTTTATAGTGTTAAAGATTAGAAAATACTCTTATCTTAGTGGAAATAAACACAAAATTGTAGATAATGAATTCCAGTCTCAAACAACTCTATAAATGTCTTTATATCTCCTGGATAGCATCATGTTCTCCAATCCCAACTCATCAAATATGCATGCTTATACACGCCCTGCTTAGTAAAGTGATCTGTGTGTGGCTATTTATGGGCTTTAATTAATAGGAATTCATATACGGTGACCGTGACATATAACTTCTGGTTATTTTTGAGTATTGATGAAACTATTAGATATAAAATATTTAACGGAAACTGTTAATATATTTAAGTATTCCCCTATGAACCTTGCAACAGTAACACTTGCTTATAGCACTTTATAAAGACATAGGTAAAAAGTTAAATCTTTACATGCTATTCCGTTGGTTTTTTTTATAGATTTATATAAAAAGAAATTGTAATAAATCCCTCTCTGTACATGTGTTTCGAAACTAGTATATAACTAGTATATAATAAAGCTATATAATAATCACTAGTCCAGAATCGCGGAAAATGTTGGTTAACTAGTTAACGCTAAAGTGTATTACTTTGAAATACACAAAGTAAATTAAGAACTTGACATACAAACTTCGAAGGAAGATACAAAGACATGATTGATTTACTACATTTCACAAAGCATTATATAATTGACAACTTCCGTTCATTATATAGTTGCGCTAATTTGCATTTATATACAATCATTAAAGACGATGTCTTAATTTTTATGTCCATTTAATGTTACATATATAAATTTATCTACTAATATAGTTGTGGCTGTAATCATTAAATTCACACTAATTGAAATGATATAAAGTAAAACTTTCAAGCGTACAAATACTGAAAACCTAGCATTCTTATTCGCGTCATAAATAATTTATCTTCCGTACAGAAAATAAATTTTCCTTTTCATTAAGTTAAAAAACGGAACGCGCAAGCTATGTCCTGTGTCTCGGTAACTATTTAATTAATAACACACTAATTAACACGAAGATTACAGTGTAAATTTTGTTTTATTTTTGGCAAATAATTATTCCAAAATTCCTGTATGACAGACATTTCTCCATCAGGCTAAACAGTAAAAACTCTACATAAAATATCAGAATAATGACATTATATGTGTCAAATCATTCGAGAATGTATCTCAAGATTAAGGAAACAACGTAATTTTACCATTTCCACATTTTATAGAAATATATTCCATGTGATAGAGCTTTATATCCTTTAACATTTCATTTTAAATATCTTTTCTACTTAGCACAAAGTTAATGTTTATTATATAGCTTTAACAAAACAATATTTTTACAAACGATCAACTATCTTGAATATTACATTATAGCATTGAAATATTTGGATAGCTTAAAATATCATCAATAATTTGTAGTAGAATAGGATAGTATATTAGAATAGAATAAATGAAAATGAAATTATCTTGTCAACTACCACAGTTGGTGAGTTGAAGAAAGAAACACTAAATTCATATTTACCAAGTTTTACCATGCAAATGGAGGTAAAATACATTTGTAAAGCATGACATGCATCAACATATGTGTTTTAAGGTCATTTAACTGCTTAAAGTGCATTAAACCAAAATGATTTAAAATGATTCAATTTCAATTAAGTACCAACATTATAGCATGAATGCAATATTCGCAAACAAAATTAAGATAACATTAGAGATGTAGATAACATGTTGTTATCTATGTCTCTGATAACATATTACCATAACATGTAACCATTATACTAAGTATGACATGAGGTACTGAAATAATTAAGTTATCCGTGATAAGCGAAGGATAAATTGTCATTCAAGATTTCAAAATCTTCTCACTCTGCTGAACTTTGTGCTAATATACATGTATATTAAAATTTCCCATCAATTTGATAAAGTCCGAACAATCTGTTGTATTTCAAAAGTTGAAACTTTACCACTAAGCACCTACAAAAACGAAACTTTTCCTTCTTGCTTAGTAGTGTCGCTGGACAATAACAAAAACAATGAGTTGTTGTACAGACAAACTGTACACCTGTACATTTATTTGACAGTTAATCTCATATTCAGGTTATTTTAGAACCCCTCTCTGTTTATGACAGAAAAAAAGAAAACTTCGGGTCGACGGACGCACTAATGCACGCACAGGAACCGCCATGTGATATGCAGCATATGAGAGTAAAGCTTATAATACGTGTAACAATAAACAATTGTGACATCAGATTCTAAGTCAACTGCAAGCGGGCTGTACAAGCACGATTTATTTACTAGAAACTTACGGATGCCATAAAATGATTGATTTACCGGAAACTTTAATGCTAAATATAACCTTGTTGTCAAGTGTCAGATGTGCCAAACATTGCATGTTCAGTAATACTAAATTCGTTTTCTAAATTACATCACTGTATGTCTAAAGCTGATATGCGAATAAATACAACTTTTCAAAGGAACATACTCTGAATTATTTCATGGCAAAGGGGCATTTATGGCCTTAATTACATAAAAGTTTCATAAAACAAGTCGAACATTTATCTATTATTAACAGTGCTCGAAGTTGTTAATTAAAACAAGGAAAAAAACACATGAACTAGCATATCGGATTCTTTTTTTAACAAATATTAAACAGGTTTATTGCCTATAAACAAGTAGTAAACAGTAGATCATGTCTAAAGATCAATGCAAGAGGCTATAGAAACCATTACACACCCAGGCTAAATAAACCGAGGGGTATTTCTACGCATGCAAGATCTATGAAATAACTAACTCAAGCATCTTATGCAATCAAAATACTCGGGAACATATGCCATTTATTCCAGGATATTGCTGTTTTAGAGGATAAGGAACGTAACTATTCCATCTATTTTATAATGTTACTTTTGATTACCCTCCACTCGCTAAAGTTTAGGCCTACCATTTCTAACATGCTTCACACTATTCCCCGACAATCAAGTGCACGATTATTACAGAAACTCCCGGCAGCAAAGAAATCGTTAAATGTCGCATCTGATACCATTATAAATTTATAGGGACATAACACAAAAAGAGAGAAGTTAGTGAGAAGTTTTTATATATAAAGAATTGTGTTGGCTTAACATAAATAAAGACGGTGCTAATATGTAAAAAAATCCTATTACTAACATTCTGAATGTTTGTTTTTTTGTCTGATATGATATGAACATTGTTAGAGTAAAACCTTGCAAAAAATAGTAAGCTAGATGTCGGGAATTACAGACCAGTTAGTATTTTATGCATTGCATCTAAGATGGACCGTGTATGTACAATTGGAGCAAATAATTTAAGTCTGGATTTCGGAAATGGCATACATCTGACACGTGTCTTATTTACCTTCTTGAGTATCCGTCCCCCCGGGTTATCACAGGAAATGGTATAAAAACCCTTTTTTTTTGGTTTAAATCATATTTAAATTTGTAAAGGAAAAGGTTTTCAAAAGAAAAGTATTTTGTAAATTTGTTTCCCCATCCACAATTTTGGTGTTTTTCCCCCTTTGTAGCGACTGGGTTTTCCTAAATGCGAAAATTCAAATTTCACTTTGGGTAAAATTCTTTTTGTGTTTTATGTAAATCATTTTAAAACCACGTTTTTTAAAAAAAAACAGTATTTACTGTCAATTACTGTATTATGCTACAATAATTGACAGTATTGTATATATTTTCGGATAGATATGGAAAACTTGTATATCGGGGAAACCGGGCATAACGTTACATTTTATCTATTTTTTTCATATTTAATGATTAAATATAATTGTGTGTATCAAATAAACTATGTTTTGAAAATAAACAACATCTCTTTAATCAATCAGTGAATTTTATTTGAACAATGTTATATGTATTTGTAAATGATGTTAAATGAAAAATTATGAGTAACCGTAACACTTTGCCCCGATATTTGGGGCAAAGTTATACATAACACGGGGTAATATGATACGCTTACATATCAGTTCATCATTATGTTCGACTAGGCTCAACTAAATAACAATGTGTGAATGCATTTTAAAATCAAAGGGCTGCAGCTCTATGGTATTTTCTGATTTTTGCAATCTAAGTCATACTGACTATCTGTATGTACTTTCCTGTATAAGTTTATTTTTTATACTATAATTCATCTTACGCAGCGACAGCGTTTTGATTTTCTTCTATAACAGTTTGAGATTGATACATATGGAATTTTGCATGAAAAAAAATAGAATTGCCTCGACTAGGATTTGAACCATAGGCCTCTCACACCCTGAACGAGACCGCTTACCTCTGCACCACGGCGAAGTTATACATATGTACCTTGAATAAAAACGAATACATTATGTAATTCTAAATTGAGAATTTCCATTTCTTGTTTGTAATTCTTATTAATTTCGAGGTATTTTGTTCACGATAAACCTGCTGTTTAACACTGATGCATGATGAAAATAATTTAGCGAAAATCTTCTCGCCAAAACAGTCCGACATGTATATAATCCACTACTCGACAGTCAGATTTATTTGTGTACTACGCTCTGGAGTATTCGGTAATCGACATAGCTAAAAATAGCATTTTCATTGATTAAAATGATATTCATGATAATCCGAAGCTTTACGGAAATAGCCGAACATTTTTCATTGGGTAAAAAAGATATTCATCCGCGAAATTTGTGATTGTAACCTCATATTTCTGTTGACTAATCTAAACTTTTAATGCACTGTAATTCGTTAAATGCCTTCATTAAAAATTATTCTTTCTTTTAAATTGCTGGTTTTTAAGCAGTTTTGAGTGAGAACTACTTTGCGTTGTTAGGACTGTGAGGAAATTTTGTGTTAGACCGTGGATGTTAGCTATGTATTTACTGATCTTACGATCAGAAAATACAAATATAATTGCTACAAGACGAAACTATAAATAAATGTCAGTCACAGCCTCTATGGCGAAACACTGAGTACTGTGACAACTTCAATCACTGTAATCTGAGTCACAGTTATGACATGTGAAAACATGGCCCTTAAGACAGCAGGACATTCTTAATGCGCCCAATGTTTACATGCAACACATCGGATCCATTTTTCTCCGGGTCGACTGTTGGAATATGGCTCTACGCAAATCAGACAATACCACTCGTCGTTCTCTGAAGAATCAGACTCTATCACTTTCTTTTTCTTATTAACTGATTTTCTTTTTTGATTTGTTTTCTGTTTTTGTTTATCATTTTCTGTTCTTTGATTTGAAAGTGTTTTATTCATTTTCTGTTCGCGTATTCTGAAAATTTCTTCAATGGCATTTTTTTTCTGGAGTGTCTGTTAATATTGCTGTATTACGTTTTCTACGTCCAGCAGTGCCTTTTCTTGGGGCTGCTTTTGGGTGA